TTCCAAGACAGGATCGTTCTTGTGGAACTTGCGAGCAAACGGAGCATTGCTCTTGACCATATTGTCAAAATCCTTCAGCGAGAGAGCAACCGGATGCTGCTTTGGAGGATTGTCCCAGGCAATGTAGTGTAGATCATGCCCGATCGCAGTGTTGACAAACTCTTTGCTGTTGCAGATCACTGTGTGGAAGTATCCTTCAGGAGAAGATACGAAATTAGTGTAGTACATTAGTATCGTTCTCGGGAAGTTATCCCATCCCCAGATGCAATACTCTAGGAAAGATCGAGTCAACATTATCCAAGCCGAGCCTGCATTATTCACACATAATATCATCTCAACAACATGCATTCATAGTGTATTCAATCGTGAGGTTAAAGATGCTAACCGGTGAACAGCTTGAAAGAACTTGGAAGTGATCGTCGTTGAGTAGTCCAAGCAATGTCGGATTTCTTCGACAGGTAAAGGCCTGGATCAACAATGATTGATTTAGCCCTCTGATTCCTGCAAGAACAGTTCATGTATGTACACATGCTTTGAGATTCCGGTATGAGTCTCAAATAATATAATCTTTGGTTTCTGTGGCTTATCTACTTACAGTTTCCACCCGGTGAGCTGCATATGCTCAATGAAATTGAAATTCCTTGACAGATTTGAGAAGACATGAAGCAAATCTAAAGAATCCAAAAGAAAAGCCACAAACTTTTGTAAGACACAGCTAAAGATGAAGCTCAAAAGGAACCAAATTTGAGAAAGAAACAGATCAGAGACTAGTAAAGGGAAGCAATATACTAACCATCTTGTGTTACGAGAGGATAATCTGAAGCGCTAAGATTAAGAAACCAATCCCAATGCAAGCTTTCTCTTAGCAAGATTGCAACGGCTTGAAGAGTAGAAGCAATCATTGTAGGGCCTTTGTAAGTAACAAGATTAGACTGAGCCATCACCCGAACATTCTCCATCTGACGGAAAGTCGGGTCACTCTTCATAGACATTGCTAGTTCCATGCGTTCTCGAGGAGGAGCCTCAAGATCCAAATGCAGAACATACTGGTTTCTAGGATGGTACACAGCTTGTAAAGTCCTCATCATCCTACGACTATCACCTTTTGTTCCTGATATCAAATAAGCTAACCTAGGAAGCTCTGGTGGATTAACATCATTCTTCGATTGTCTGAAATCTGATTCTACAAAGTAGTCATTAGACTCTGACACAACATCTGATGGCAATGGGTCTGCTTCCACATAAGAGCTGGTTCGACCAGAGATGGACAACAACATCAGGAGAGCAATCGAGATGAACAAGGTTGCTAGAAAAGGGAACATCCATTTTCTGTCGCTGAAAGCTCTAAATCCTCCTGAATGTGAGCTTGAGCTAACGTGTCTCTTCACCCTACCAAATGGGTCTCTGATTGAAACCAGCTTCCTATACAATTTTCTCATTCCCTAACCACTTATCCTCTATCCAACGAAGTTGTATATAGATTACAAATTTTACTAAAGCTTCAATCTTTATGCGATTGCCAGAACTCCAAAAAACACTCTCAACTCTCAAGAATCAAGAAGAAATTTGCAACGAAGTGGCAAGTTCGGCAAAACTCATTTAGAAGAGAGGATTTTGAAAAAGAAATGGCTTTTTTGGCATGCAGCCAATGGAAAGAGAAAAAGTTTTCTTTTTTCTTAGTCCCAAAAGCTGAGCTGAGTCAGATCTAGTCCAAAATCAATTTCAAAATTAGTCAGCAGAAGAAGGCGATACTTCAAGTTTAAGTCTTGATTTACCTTAAAGAAACAAGACACTCGGTCCGCTGAAAGTGACAGACGCTACAGAAGAAAGTTAGTGCAGCAGAAAGTGACGTGACAGGATGAGAGTTTAAACTTCTGATTGGCTAAAAATTTCAGAAATGGGCAAGAGAAGAAGATATCGAAATTCAATTATTTGAAGAAGAAGAAACTTGGGGAGAAATGAAAGATACAAAAGCTGTCTGAAAGAGAGAATGTGAAATTGACGCGGCGAAAGAGAGAGAGAGAGAGAGAGAGAGACAGGGAGATACAGAGAGACATGGCAATTAATTTAAAAATCAAACATTTTCTAGGCGTTAGCCTCAATTGTTGTCAAAATCAAAATCAGGAGAGAATTTAATGATCATGTACGACTCACACGTGGCATTATCGACGGATTAAAACCGTTATACTACTGTAGAACTAAGGCGTGAAGAGAAAATCCGTTTTTGCTGCTTGACTACATAGGAATTTGATACCAGGAGAAGAAGAACAATTAAAGTTTTTGTTTTGATTTACTGTTAGCAATTGAAAAATCTGTGGAATAAACTGGCATTATGAAGATATCATAGCTGAGTGGTTCGATTTGTTAAAAAAAAAACTAGCATACAAAACTAAATAAAGCATGTTTTTGAATTTTGACACACATAAAATTGTTTCACAAAAACAGTTTCATTCAGACTGTTGCCGGCCTCTACCTCTACCTCGCCCACGTCCAAACCGACCACGGCCCCGACCCCTACCACGACCACGGTGGCCTCTTCCCCGTTCAGAAGACTCCCCGGTCCTAAACCCTTGAGACTGTGGTTCCATTGGGGACTGCGGGTTAGTTGGTGACTGCGACTGTGGACGTGTCTGTGTCTCAGACTGTGGTTGCATTTGGAACTGCGGGTTCATCGGAGACTGTGGCGGCCGGTTCAGCATTTGGAACTGCGGGTTCATTGGGGGCTGCTGGTGGATTTGGAACTGCGGCTGCATCTGGAACTGTGGGTTCATTTGAGACTGTGGCCGCTGCATTTGAAAGCCTTGGGAAGCAAACATATTAAAATTCATATCATTCTGTAATTGCGGTTGCTGAATACCGCGACCCATCCCAAACGGTTGTTGTTGGTTGAAACAGTTCTGACCAACCAAGGCAGGCCATGGCGCTGAACCCTGTCCTTGAAAGAAGTTCAAGCCTCCTGGTCCACCTGGCATTGGCATCTGGCCACCATTGAAGTGTGGCTGGAACATCATTTGGTTTTGATTCTGATTTTGCATTGCCATGAAAGGCATCTGCTGCATTGGAGGTAGGTGGTGCATTCCCATCTGGTTAGGTATGGGAGGAAGCTGAAATGGGTTCTGCTGGTTACTCTGAGGTCTCCACGCTCCACCGTTTGGAGGAAAACCGTCCATTTGAGGACGTGGCTGATGATTCGAAACCGGACCACTCATTGGAGGATCAGAACGGTTCGAGGATAGAGAACTAGATCCCTGGTTCTCTGTCCATTCCCCTGAGTAGCTGCTCGTAGGCCTTCCCTGATCTCGGTTCTTCTTCTTCTTGTTTCTTGCGTTACCAGTTTTTTGGTCACTCATACCTCTCTTTTCCATCTTCTGCATTCTTCTGTATTCGGCTTCTTTTTCATCATCTGAGAACTCAAGCTCCTCTGATATCTCCTCGTCGTTGTCTCCAGATGCATCGTAACCTTTCTTCTGCAGTTCCTTGATGTTGAGAATATGCTGAGCGTAATCCGCAACGAATGAGACAGGTGTACCTTCACAAACCCCCTCTGGCACTTCGCTCTCTGAATTGAACCTCACAATATAATAAGGGCACTTGACAGGTCCAAAGATCTCATCCACCAGTCCCAATGGCGTTCTTCTTTCAGTTATCCATAGGATTGAACCTTCACTCAAAGGACTATGCTTTTCCATTCCCTCAACTATGACTTGCGCGCACATCACCTGTAAAATCACAAAACCACACGAGTTTACTTTTAGCAGCGGATAGCCAAGACAATCAAAGAGAGAAGCAATAGCATACAAGTAGAGGTAATGATTATATTACCGAAAGAACAACTCCAACAGGAAGCGTTGCATGATGCGGCTCTAGAGAGACTTCCACAGCTGGAACTGGAGGAAGCTCCTGCAAAAGTTATAAACGGAAAACATCTTTCAGAGTTTACTAAACCAAAAAAGAACACTTCAAAGGGTAATGGCTAATAGCCTGAGGATGGTACACAGTTTTCTTGTTGCAACCTTAATCAGTAGTCTACAATAATAACGGATTGTACTTCTTACTCTACAAAGATAATGAATCATATACTTCTTTCAAGTAAACAAAATTCAGGCATTGGAGTTAGCAACAGTTACCTAAGGCGGCTTAGAGACAACAAAAGAAATCAACCACTAACAGCTATGAAATGTGAAAAGTTGAAGCATAAGTACCTTGAGCTCATTCTTTGACCTTATAGGTTCTTTTGTTTGCAAACCAAGGTCATCATCCTCATCATTGCTCCACGCAACCATCTCATTCACTTCATCATCATCATCATCACTATCATCATCTTCAACCTCGTTTTCGTCACCCTCGTGCTCCTCATCTACACTGTCTATCTCGCCCTCTTCAAGTTCCCCTGCCAAATCATCCTTTTTCCCCATAACCATTTCATCTCCCAACTTGTTTTCCTTCTTGTTTTCCTCCTCATCGCTCTCTTCTTCTTCACTGCTACTACTATCATCACTATCGCTCGAAGAAGAGCTAGAGGATTCGCTCTCGGACTCGGCAGCATTAGCTTTCCCCTTAGCTCCATCAGTCTTATCATCATCCATTGTCAAGCTAACCTTCTCCAACCCAACTTCAATAGAAGAAGCCAAACCTTCATCTGTTTTCTTCAACTCTGATTCATCCAAATTCATGTTGGAACAAGCAGCAGACACAGTTTCACCATCCATTGGCTTAGAGTTGTCAGAAACAACAGCTTCTGACTCTTTCACTGCTGCTTCAGCCACGCCGTTAAAATTTGCAGACATGTCATCACAAAGCTTGGGCTCTACCTCAATCATCGGCTCAGACACGTAACCATAAAGCTCAGGCCTTACTACAATCTTCGACACAGAGCTAATCGAGCTCACTCCAATTTCTTCAAAACTTTCACCACAAAGCTCAGATTTTGCCTCAATCGTCTCAGACAGAAGCGTCGTCTGATTCTCCGGACGCGTTTCCTCGCTAACAATAACACCACCTTGACCAATCTCCATGTCGTCCTCAAAAAAATCAAAGTCCGTATCCTCTATGCTAAACTCTTCAGTGTTGCGATTATTCCCCAACCAGTTGCAGGAATCGAAATCCAGAAAGGAATCGACTGAAGGGAAATCAAGAGTGTCTTTGAAAGCTTTTACCTTTGGGTCTTGATCGATTACTTGGACTGGTAGCTCTTCAACAACGGTTTTAGGTGGTTTAGCGGGAAGTCCGACCATGGCAAGAAGAGAGAGCGCGAAGAACTAGCGAAGGAAATTGAAAAAACATGTCTTGGAGAGTAAAAGCGGCGGCTGAGTTATAAAGGCAGCCACACACACGGCAAAGGCGCGATGAGCTATAGGGTTTTAAGAAGTAATCAGTTTCTGCCACTCCCGATTAGGGTTTTAGCCCTTCCTATCTCCCTCCATCTACCTCTCGACTTTTTTTTGTAGTATTTTTTTCTTTCTGGATACTATTGTAGTATTTATTTTTATTTTAATATACTTGTATAATATATAGTTGCTTTAGAGAGTTATCTTATCCTCAAAATCCAATTGATATTTTTAATCCCGGCGATTTAGACATAAAATTAAACAAAATCCAGTTATATCATTAGTTTGCAATTCGCACATTATATCATATATCCAAATTCTAAAGCAAAATCAAATTTGATAAAATATATGTTGCCTAACCAAGCTTATATAGATACAGAGATTTAGATACACAAATGTTAATGTAAATTCAAATGCTGATCACTGTTAACGTGAAATGACGTACCTAACTTGTAAAAAAGTGTAACTGCAAATTGAATTACATCACAAATATGTAGAGTCATTTGGATTAGCAAATTGCAAATTCGTGCTTATATTTTTTTTTACTACATTGCAAATATTTGTGATCATAAATAGTTCCGATTAGGCAGAAGTACCTAACTTGTAAGAAGTGTTCACCGGCGATTGTGGCGCCTCCAATGAATCTCACCTTGAAGCGCCATTTCAGTCAACACGCCTCTCTATGTCTCACACCTTCAGTTTCATCCTCTTCTCTGACAAAACAATATCGGATCCAGGAGCTCTGTAATTCGAGTCGACTCACGGACGCCATTCGGATCCTAAACTCAACAGACTCATGTGAAATCTCCACCAAGCCGAATCTCTACGCGTCTCTCCTGCAAACATGCACCAAAGTCTTCTCTTTCTTCCACGGCCTTCAGTTTCACGCCCATGTCGTCAAATCGGGTCTGGATACGGACCGGTACGTTGGGAACAGCTTGCTCTCCCTTTACTTCAAGCTGGGACCCGGTATGAGGGAGACCCGGAGAGTTTTCGACGGAAAGTTCGTCAAAGACGCCACCTCCTGGAGCTCAATGATGTCTGGATACGTCGCCGGTAAAGAACATTTCAAGGCGCTTGAGATGTTCGTGGAGATGGTGAGTTTTGGTTTAGAGCCGAACGAGTACACGTTGTCTTCTGCAGTTAAGGCTTGCTCTGAGACCGGAGAAATCAGGCTAGGGAAGTGCTTCCATGGTGTTGTCATCACTCGTGGGTTCGAGTGGAACCAGTTCATCTCTAGCGCATTGGCGAATATGTATGGCGTGAATCGAGAACCAGTAGATGCACGCAGGGTGTTTGACGAAATGCCTGAACCAGATGTTTTTTGTTGGACAGCTGTACTTTCCGCGTTTTCCAAGAACGACTTGTACGAGGAAGCTTTGGGACTGTTTCACGCGATGCATAGAGGAAAAGGATTGGTGCCTGATGGGTCTACATTTGGGACTGTTTTGACGGCTTGTGGTAATCTGAGGAGGCTGAAACAAGGGAGAGAGATTCATGGGAAGCTTGTAACAAATGGGATAGGCAGGAATGTGGTTGTGGAGAGTAGTCTTCTTGATATGTATGGCAAATGCGGATCAGTACGGGAAGCTAGGCAAGTGTTCAATGGGATGTCTAGGAAGAACACGGTATCTTGGTCTGCTTTGCTCGGGGGATACTGTCAGAACGGAGAGCATGAGAAAGTGATTGAGTTGTTCAGGGAAATGGAAGAGAAAGATCTCTACTGTTTCGGGACTGTGCTTAAGGCGTGTGCTGGTTTGGCTGCGCTGAGACTTGGGAAAGAGATTCACGGCCAGTACGTTAGAAGAGGGTGTCATGATAATGTGATTGTTGAATCAGCTTTAGTCGACGTTTATGGGAAATCCGGGTGTATAGATTCTGCTACTCGTGTATACTCCAAGATGTCAGTTAGGAATATGATAACATGGAACGCAATGCTTTCTGCGCTGGCTCAGAATGGAAGAGGTGAAGAAGCTGTCAGTTTCTTCAATGATTTGGTTAAAAAGGGGATAAAGCCTGACTACATCAGTTTTATAGCGGTTCTCACTGCATGTAGTCATACGGGTTTGGTTGAGGAAGGACGAAATTACTTTACGTTGATGGCTAAGAGTTACGGGATTAAACCAGGTACTGAGCATTACAGCTGCATGATTGACCTTCTAGGCCGTGCAGGGTTGTTTGAAGAAGCAGAGAAGCTGTTAGAGAGAGCAGAGTGTAGAGATGATGCGTCTCTGTGGGGAGTTCTGCTTGGACCTTGTGCCGCAGATGCAGATGCTTCCGGTATTGCAGAGCGGGTTGCAAAGAGAATGATGGAGTTGGAACCAAAGAACCACATGAGTTATGTGCTTCTAAGTAACATGTACAAGTCGATAGGTCGCCATGGTGATGCACTCGAGATTCGTAGGTTAATGGTGAGAAGAGGAGTAGCAAAGACGATTGGACAGAGCTGGATTGATGCTCATTAGAAAGCTAGAAATGTTCCTATCCCTCTAGGGGTCTTGCTTTAGCATTCATGAAGAAATGGTTTTGACAACTTTGAACCACACAATTTTTACTTGAGTTCTCCATGTACTCGATTTAGTCTTTACAAAGTAATTCAAACAACAAAAATTTGCCAGCCTAGCCTTTGCAGAGAAAATGGGTTTGCGTCAAATGTTGTGTGGAGGATTCAAGATCTGACCTCAAGCCACCATTGATGCATTTTCGAGTGAAGAGTGTTGTCTTTATAGTGCACGCATCAGGGTTGATTTTGTGGCCTCGCGCTTCATCTCTGCAGCTTTGCCACTCCCTCGGAAGTATGCATATACTTGCTGGAAATTTCAGTATTGCACGTCATGGGTTAGAAAAGCAGACAGATTGAAGTGATTAACAGTGTTGAGTAAGAAGAAGTTCAAAAACCTGAATGACCCAGATATTGAGAACTGTTTCGACGCAGAAGAATCCCGCCCCAATGAAATACATAATCTGTGAGGGAGAAGCAAAAATTTGGTAAGACTGTCACAGGCCAAAGTTAGGTACTTGTAAAAATGGGGAGGAGTAATACTTACCCCAACCGCAGCATTAGTAGTTAGAAGCTCAATCGCTGGCAAGAAACCTCTGTCCCCAAAACCAACAATACATGGAGTTCATCAGAGACTCGAAAGGTCTTATCATCTTCCTCATAACACAGATCGGTAAAGAAGGTAAAAGAACAAGGTTTCGTAGACTCTTACGTGAGAGACTTTCCCTGGAAGATGACTGGTGGAGCAACTGCCGCAAAGCCGCAGAATGCAATGTGAAACTGAAAAGTGCAAGACAGTGTAACATTGAAGGCTTAGTGGTTTTCTTTATCATGGCTTCCTGAAAAAGTATTGATGGAACTGAAATCTACTAATGGGGATGCGATTTATCTTACCACGTAAAACACGAAAAAAGTTCCAAACTTCAGGGCACTATCAGTTCTGCAATAAAGGTATGTACACATTGTATTATTGACTCCTTCAAAATTTAATAGATCTCATGATACTTTTCACGATTTATCTTGTTCCATACGTAAGAGAGCTATGTTGTTTACCTTGTAGCGCGGTAAAGAGGACGATACCATAAGACGTAAGCTCCAGGGACCCCACTAATGAAGTAGATGACTGAGAGAAGCCATATAGTGGGACCTGGTTACAACAAAAATAACATCAGATGAATCAACATGATCAGAGGGAAATAAACGATACGAATCTGATCATTTGGGTAAAAAAAGTTACCTTCTCCTTTGATCCAAGCTACAGTTACTGCCACAATATTCCACAAGAGACATCCTATTAAACCTGCGGAGTTCAACAAATTTTAGTCTTTGAACTTTTGTCTGGACAGATCCAAGATTTGGTCTTAAGGCGGGTTTCACGTACCTAACAATGTGGTGAATGCGACGTATTGGATCTTCTGTAAGTGAATCGGGATCTCATTTGGAATGTCATGATGAATTATGGGGAAAAACTCTGGCCAATTCTTCTCCTCAATGACAACTCCAGCTGCCACAACAACCGTACCAGGTTAGCTACAAAAATGCCGTAAAAGTGTCATTCAAAAACAGATATAGAAGATTGTCTACTTCGCGCTATTGCATCTTCTCTTCTTTTAAGCTCCTGCATTACAATGAGAAGAAGACCGTTTAATACAATTCACATGGAAACTGCAGGTTCTCGGGATTTGCTTGGATTTCAACCATAGAGACCAGAAATTACCTGCTCTTTCCGCTTCAATTCGTTCTCCTTGGCTTGGAGCTCCATCTCTTTAGCTCGAAGATCCTTTAAACGGAAACAGCAAGAATAAGATTTGCCGTTTCATCTAACATGAAGGGAAATTTGCAGAAGGTTTCGAAGATATGATACCTTGCCGGAATCCAAAGGGATATCAACTGTTACACCACGATCGTAAGGTTCCGGTGGAAGCGGCTTGAGATATGAGTTGCTTGCTGGAGGAACACTTGTATTATTCTACAGCATTGTCAAAATCGAGATGAAACGGGTAAGATTACAGAAAAGATCAGTCATTTTTGTTCATGATTCAAGAAACAGAGCTCTTTACCGCGAAAGGATTGATCTCTTCATCAGCAAAAGGATTAGGATCGTGTCGTGCCATTTTTCTCTGAGATCGTTTGTATCAGATCAAGAAACTGTTCAAGAAAGACTTTTTTTTTGGAGATTGGAGGTCATTGGAATTTGAAAGAAAATGGTTTCAACAAATGGGTACTTTGTAGTCAGAGAGAGAAAAACTAATTCAATGGCATTGTGCGCGCGAGAGAAATCCAAGGCATTCCACAACTTCGCCTCTAACAGATTATTCTATTATTAGTCTATCACTTACGTCACGAAATCAAGTATGTGATGGAGCTTATACTATACTGTATTACAGGAAGACCCTTAAATGCATTACTATAATGTTTCAGCTTGAACGTGCTAACATGTTTCTCACAAAAAAAAAAAGATAAATCTTTTAAAAGTCGGAGTCAAAGCTTTCAAACAAAGTCCTAAACTTGACACGCCTTTTAACACTACCCATCCGCTCATAACCAATCCCAATTTTGCTATGCATCAGCTTCATAGCCAAATCTGATTTCCCAACTTTCCTCAAAGCATTGATCATAACAGTACGGATCCTCCCAGGCACTTCTCTTCCTCTCTCAGTAATCCCATCAGCCAGTTTACAAGCTTCCTTAATCCTACCAGCTTTACACAACGTATTTATCATATCTTCACAAGCTGCATCAAGAATCACTCCCATCGGAGCCAACTCATCCAAAATCTTACAAGCTCTCCCCACTTTCCCGGACATACAAAGCCCTGTCGACAACGCCCTGAAGCAAGCTGCCGTTGGTGTAATACCTTTGTCAATCATCATGTCCCAAAGCTTCAACGCCTCTTCGTTTCTATGTTCTTTGAACATTCCGCTTATAAGTATCGTGTACGTATACACCGTTTGATCACAACCTTCTTCTTCCTCCATCCTCTTAAACAGAGCCAACGCTTCATCGACTCTCCCACACTTTGTAAACGCATCGATCAGAGCATTGTAACAGTATGAATCTCTGGTGCATCCCTTCTCAGACATCTCTTCAAAAAGCCTCTCAGCTTCATCTACTCGACCGGCTTTTCCTAAACCGTCGATAAGACTAGAATAAAACATCGAATTGATAGCCAAACCGTTAAACCGGCAAGTCTCGAAGTACTCCAACGCCTCTTCCACTCTCCCGTTTTTACACAAACCATTCACAACGACGGAATAAGTCACCACGTCAGGCTTCAAACCTTCATCTATCATTCTCTGTAAAAGCCTTATCGAGTCTTCAACATGTCCGCATTTCGCATAACCATCTATCAGAACAGTGTATATCGCTACATTTGGTTTGGACCCTTTACGGATCATATTCTCGAAAACAGCATACCCTTCAAACAACTTCCCCTCCTTGCAAAGCCCTCCAATCACTAAACTAAACGCATGTGGTGGGACTTGAAGTCCCTTCTCATCCATTTCTTGATACAAAGACACACAAGAACCAAAGTCGCTATCTGCATAAAACGCTTGGATCACCGTCATATAAGTAATCTTATCAGCCTCAAGGCCTCTGGTCTCCATAGCTCTAAGCTTCTCCATAGCTTTCTGTGTCTGCCCTGCGTTACAATACCCTTTGATCATCGTGTTGTACGTGACAACATCTGGTTTGATCCTGCCACTTTCCATTACCTCAAAGACACGCTCTGCGGATTCAATGAACATGGAGCTCACTAATCCGTTCATCAAAAAGTTATAAGTATACAAAGTCGGCTCAATCCCATTCTCTTTCATTTTGCGCCACACCCACAACAGTTCCTCCACCATTCCAAGCTTTCCAAAACTCTTAATCAGAGAATTCGCAGCAGAAACAGTCATAGGAAACTCAAATTTCCTGATTTCACTACAGACAGACCTAATCCTGTCCACATCATTCCCCAGAGCCAAAACATCAAACAGCGAGACATAACACTCGAGCTTATGCGTATACTTCTTCTGCTTACCAGCCCAACAGAAGAAACGCCAAGCAATATCGGGTTTCTCGCGAATCTCATCGGATTTCAACATAAACGAAACGAAATTGGGCGATAGTTTGATAAGGAACTTACGGCAGAAACCGTCTAGATTCGATTCCATTGAATCCGAGCAATCGAGAAGGTTGAGAATTTGGCTAACCCATGGAGACGGCTGGAGATTTCGAGCCGATTTCACCAAATCGGAGACATCGTTAAAGGGCTCTATCCATTCGGGCGGAGGAAGTGAAGTGCTACTGAACACACACCTAACACTCGTCCCCGACCTTGGCGAAGGCAAGCACTCTGAATCATCCGGCAAAAAGGCGCCATTTTTGTACAGATAGAAACACTGTGAAGAACTACGAGGACGATTCAGAACAGTAACGGAAAAGAGCTTCCGGGAAAGTCTTCGCATCGGTAACAATCCTCAGGCTACCGGTGCGGTAGCGACTTTGGTCATTAACTCATTATAGTACTCGAACATTATTCTTATGTTTTAAATATAACTGGAGCATAAGGTATCGAACGGTCCCATGGTCTAGCGGTTAGGACATTAGACTCTGAATCTAGTAACCCGAGTTCAATTCTCGGTGGGACCTCTTTTTGGTTTGCAAAAACATTTTTTTTTCTACTCGGAATTTTTTTAAGAACATCAAGCACAGATTTTGAAGCAAAAAAAAACAAAAGACCTAACACATTTACACAGGCTTTATGAATTTGATGAGTCCTATAAATCATCCAATGTTTTGGGCAAAGATGCAACCAGAAGACATTTTTTGGGGGACCAGAATCAAATCTTCAAAAACTCTTTGGTTTTGCTCCAGAGAATCTCGGAAGCTGAACAAGTGAGTTCACTCGAGTAACACCATCTAGTCCCGACCAGTTCTGCTCTCCTTCCTTCGTTTTCTCCTTCTCTGCATCACCAGCAGTCTCTGCATTCAGATTACCGTAACTGTTGCGTCCTTGATCCGTTGATGATGCTCTGACAGTGACGTTCCTCTGAAGACACGGTTCTGTTCCCTGGCTCTCGTCTGACTCTGCTGCGTTTGTTGCTGAAGAGATACCTTGTTCTTCGTAATCTGCTGAATCTGAGTCCATCTTCCCGTCTAGAAACAAACACACAACTGCACAATCATCCATCTTGGAAGTCGGATACTTGAGTTTCCATTCGCGTGCAGCTGAATCCACAATGAGCCTAGCCGCTGATGCCCGGTTTGAAGTTGATGCAACAACCTCAACCACTTCTTCGTTGCTTAGCACATCCCACACCTGTCAAAAACAAAGCTTGGAACCATCAGAAAAAGCTTGAAAATATCAATCCTCAGAGATGAAAAAAGTTTAGTGCTTTACTCCATCAGAGGCCAAGACAATGAACTGATCTCTGTCTGTAAGAACACGGTGGGAAAACTCGGGTATCGAAATCACACCGTAGTCTTTCAGACAGAAATCACCAAACGCCCTAGCCATGGCTAGTCCAGGAGCGTTATCATAAGGTAGCCAGACTCGTGACACCTCTGGCTCGTCTTCCAGCGCAAAGACCCGACCTTTACACTGTTTGATCCTCTCTGCTTCCCCTATCAGAACCAAAACAGTAACAGCATTTCAAAAATCAGAAGATGTGATCAAATATCGCAAACTATTGTTGAAGCATAGTACTTGGTAAGTCAGGCTTCAGGTCAACTGTTAGCTGAATTGCAACCATGGAATCGTTGCTGTCTTTGGATCCAAGTATCGCCCGAGAATCTCCAATGTTTCCTGTGAATAGATTTGACCCCTGAAACAACCAAAACACATCAAAACCAATACTTGGAAACCAGAAAAACAAAGATGTTATGGTGTGAAGACTACCTGTTTTATGATTGTAACAGCAGTGCTGCCACTGCAGAAGCATTCCAGATTAGGATGGGATCGAAGTTCCTTATCCATAGCATTGAATGATTTCAAGAAAGCTTCTTCCCATAAGTAATTCTTTTTATCCTCCCCAGCAGATTCTTCCTTATCAGCTTCTTGGCCATCGGATTTGCTTGAACGAGTTCCAGTTGATCCGTTTTGCTTCGACTTAATTGAATTCAGGAAAGAGAGTAGCTTAACGGGCAATGACTCTCTCACTTTACGAGAAACAAGATGGCCATGAGGACCGTGTCCATCAAAAACACCGCAAAATGTCACATCTTTCGACATAAAATCCTGCAAAAGAACACCAAAGCCTGATTACTTGGGACGCGAAAGAGAAAGATCACTGAGAAAGAAGAAGAGGAGAGAAAGATAAACTCACTTCCCAGACGATCATGGCGTCCTGGTTAATACCCTTGCGTCCCTGTTGAGTGAAAATGCAAGAGTTCCTGCTCTTCCCGTTGCTGGTGATCCGATTCGGTATAGAAACCAAGTTGTGAGAAGAAACGATGCGGTCCGAAAACGTTCTCTTCCCCATTTTGCTCCCACAGCATCCCATTCCGAGACAGGGTCGATCCATATGCTCCTCATCGCTACTCTTTGAGACACAACCCCCCATTGGTCAACGATATGAATCTGATCGCAGAGAGATTGTAAGAAAAAAAGACAAAAAGACGACTCCAATGGAAATGCTTTAGCAACACAATTGGTCAAATCAAAGAGCTTTCACACACCAAGTTTCTTATTTCTTTGTATAAAATACCTTTGTGGGCAAAACCTTTTCTTCGAATCTTGGTCAATGATGATGCAAGGACCGTCAGCTGAAAACATTGCAGAGAAATGATTTACTGATTAGTTTATTGCAAAGTTCCAAAAGAGAAAAGCAAGCTCCAACAAATCATAAACAAGAAAACCAGGCATGTGATCCTAGCAATAGAATATCAGTATATATTAGTATCACTAAACAGCCTGTCCTAATTGTTTGTTATTGAACCAGTCTTAAGAACTCTTATCACTCCATGTCACTAGGCCTTGAGAATAAGTTAAATCAAAATAAGAATCAAAACACAGGTAAACAGAAAAAAGCATACATGTCCAGGACAAGAGAGTTTTTCCCATATACGTGTGGATATGAAAATATGAAATCATGAAACGAGTTTTAATACAACTTTTTTGAGAGAACCACTTTGCAATACGATCATACAGTGAGAAACAAAACTGATAATGCAAATCCCCAAAAGCTTTATCAGAGTAGTGAGAGCAGACATATCCTAAAGCGAAAGAGATAAATCTCAAAAATGGGTTTTGCATATATACTAATGCTGCAAGCAGCCTTAAACCCAAAATTGTGGGAACCCAGATTCACGTTAAAGTGGAGATTCTATTGAATTTGACAAATGAAACCTCCAATGTATAAAGGTGGGAGTTTTCAGTGGGAAAGCGGTCACTTTTTCAGTATTCCGATTTCAGATAAATGGATCTGAGGAACTTCAACAGTAACCCAAAACAAGTGCAGAGTGAGAAAGAAAACAGAACAAACCAAAATATGAGAACAGATCCTACGAAAGTCGAAGGAGCCAAGCAAAATGAGATCACACAGTCTATGCGAGAGTGGTAATACCAGAAAACAGAAACAAACAAAGAAATTTGGAAGAAAATGAAAGGAATTGGAGCAAATCAAATGAAAAAGAACGCACCTTTGGGGGACTATGGGCATTTGATTTCACAGACAATGACTATGATAGTGCGAAAGAGAGAGGGGAGAGAGAGAGAGAGAGAGAGAGAGAGAGAGAGAGGAGAGGGAAGAAGAAGAGAGAGTTTGTGATTGTATAGTTGTAGAAAGGGTAGAGATATGGGTGAGATCTCATTAATTGAGGAAAGCGAAGAAGCAAATATTACACAACTGAGAGAAGAAGAAGATATAGAAAAACAAAGAGCTTCCCCACAGAATCTTTTCTGGTTTTCGCTTCTTTCGTGAAATATATCAAATCTTTGATTGACTGCATCCCCTATTTAATTTATTAACTTTCTAAATTTCTTATTCTTCTTATTAAATGAGGTGAGTGTCACACTGTCACTACTAATTAATAGGGAGTAAATTTAACAATACTCCATATTTACAGCCTAATGATCAAAATCAAATCATGTAATTACTGATTTTATTTTCCTTAATTTCGATAATGGTTAATATGGGCATTACCTTTTGCAAGATTAATACATCAATCAACTATATGTGAGATTATCATAAATATCAATCAAACTTTGATAATTGATTGTAAGTTTATCGTAATATCTGGTTTGATTAAATTTGATAGTATTAGTTTGCTGTTTTGGGGGGTGTTCCTGATTAAGGCGAGAAGACAAAAGATATGAGAATTAAATGGGCATTTGCAAGTTTGCAAGACAGATGTGTGCTTCGACTTTTCTACACATCCTCATCCACTTCGCCTAAACTTTATTTTTTTTGCCTTTTCAATTAAAGTTTCTGAATTCATGTATTTTCACCCAACTAAACATTGCTTTAAGAAAAAAAGAAGTAGGTGTTGTTTTAAACGCGGTAGTCCAACAGAAATGTAAATGCAATGTTTGTTGTAAATATAAAAATGCAAACATCAGTGGAAAAGTGAACTCCAAATACATTCATAAATATCATTTTTATTTCACAACTCATCATCTACCAGAAAAACAACAAATGTGCAAGTCTATAACACAGAAGGAGAGGGTGGTTGGTAGATCAAGAGCATGAATAAAAGTATAGTAAATGTGTAAAAATTAGATGGAGTTTCAGTTCACAGAGCTACTTCTTTCCCATTTGGTCTTGTTGACAAATCGTTCACGGCCTTCCCGCGTAGGCCCCTTTCGTTTTTATCTTCTTATTTCTTTTTTCTTTTCACACTTGCCCAATTAAAGACGCCTTAATTAAAAAGCTTCCCATCTTTTTCGTTCCAAACTTTCTTTTGGATATAAACTCGTATTTGTTCCATACTTATTTTTCTCTTATAGATTTTGTGATGATCCATCCAAATGTTTCGTACGAAGACCATAACACGTAAAAATTATACTTCACTCGAATTCAAAATCTAGTACATACGTTTTATTATAAAACCAATAAAAATCACCTAAATAAGACTACAGAAATCAAAGGACTATCTATAGGTCTTGTATATCTCGAATAAATTGGTCACTATTTCCATCTAATTTTGTAATAACTTTTTTAAAAAAGAGAGACAATAAAAAGGTTCATCATCATAACCGTCGTCACCCCATGTGTATGACAGCAATAGAATGTCACGTGTTGGTGGGTCAATTTAATCAAATGCTATATCCTCCAATTGCATTATCATGTTTCAAAGTCAATACTACAAAACTTTATTCACGAAACCAAGGCCACGCAAAATGACTCACTCGTCGGGATGAGATAGCCAGATAGGTGGGAACCGGGAACGGTTAAAGTTATGGGCTTCGCTAATTTAATTTCCAATCATGGGCCAACATTAAATAAACGAAGCCCAAATTATTAGAAGAAAAAAAGGAAACCGAAATCAATCTTTGCGCTGGCAGTAGGACCCACGGAGAGAAACTGATTGTTGGACTCAGATCTTCCATGTCTCAACCTCAAAAACCTTACAATCTAGATAAGATGATAAGGGACACGTGTCACAAATCCAAACACCCCCAAAACATTTGTTTTCCAATTACTAACACACAGACTCTTCCCTCTCTTCCACCTTTCCCCGAATCCCGACAATGGCTTCTGCTTCAGCGACAGCTACTCTTCTCAAACCCAATCCTCCGCCGCATAAACCGATCATCACCGCCTCAGTATCTCCGCCTCTTCCTCCTCCTCGTCGCAACCACCTCCTCCGTCGCGATTTCCTCTCTCTATCAGCCGCATCGACGCTTCTGACACAATCGATCCCGTTTCTAGCTCCGGCACCGGCTTCTGCCGCGGAAGACGAAGAGTACGTGAAAGATACGTCGGCGGTGATCAGTAAAGTTCGGACGACGCTCTCCATGGAGAGGACAGATCCGAATGTGGCGGATGCTGTGGCGGAGCTGAGAGAAGCGTCGAATTCGTGGGTTGCCAAGTACCGGAAAGAGAAAGCTCTTCTAGGGAAAGCGTCTTTCCGGGACATTTACTCGGCGTTGAATGCGGTTTCCGGTCATTATGTGAGTTTCGGTCCGACGGCTCCGATTCCAGCGAAGAGGAAGGCCAGGATTCTTGAAGAGATGGAGACTGCTGAGAAAGCTCTCTCAAGAGGAAGATAAATTTACAGTGAGACCTAACCATTTCTTCTTCTTCTCCAATTTCTTGTTGATGAAGTTTATTTTCCCAAAATGCCAATCGAATTATATGAGAAGAGAAACTTGAATTCGCTCGCATGTGTTTTTTTGTAACATACTCGAAACTTGAAACTTGGAGTACTTAATATCTTTCATGATGATAGTTACTACTTAATAACGAATTCCATTTTATAATTGAAATGTAGATATTCATTGTGTCTTAGGCTTATTAGCACTACATTCAAAACGTATTCTTCCCAAGTGTTAAGAGAGGAACTATGTTTAAACTTAAAATCTTTGTTTGTTTTGGTTTTGTTAACTAGAAATTAAAGGAGAACGTGATTACAAAACCTGCAGCATACAAATATTATTGGAAGATATTAATTATTGATATTGGATCAAACGCAATGTGTGCGTCATTTTGATTTCTGGAATTTACTATCAGCAGATCATGGACAACTCCAAAGACAATGGAACAAACTAGTGTTAACTCTAAGTATGGTCCTTAAATTTGTCATAAATCAAAGATAGTAATTTGAAGTTCTGCTTTTGTACGAGATAACACGCATAAGTTGAACCTGAATCTTCTGATACTTGGTTGTAAATTACACTTTTGTGTGTTCCTAATCATTATTAGACGGCTCCTAAAGGCCCAAACTATTAGAGTTTATTGCATTGGATGCTCAACCGCAAAAATGCTGAGTTTACGAAAACTCTCTTCTGTGTGGCCCATGCAGAGCCCATAAATTGTGTGGTTTTGGTAATTTTCTCTAAGTGACATCCACAAGCATACGAACACGTCACGTGCAGGTCTACACGTGAACTACCACATGGCACGTATTTATTAAAACTGTATACCCATAATCAATTACTCTCTAATTGGATTAGATTTGTTTCGAGTTTAACAGCAGCCGTTGGCTACATTTGGCAAAGTTCAACGTAGTTAATTACTACACACGTGTTAGTTGTTAGGTGTTACTACTAGTCTACTATACTGACCTTTCCAATACGTTAAAATTTGAATAATGATCGTCTTTGCTGCTGTCATCGTTTCAAATACGCCTAATGTATGTAGTTATAAGAAATCTGGCATCATTTTCTATTCATATGTAGCAATTTTAATGATTTTTTTCATATATTTCGGGACAATTTTAATGATTTTTTTCAATATACTAATGATAAAGATGAGATTTATTCACACATTTCGATCTGATCGGATTATATTATTTAAATATATGTACATATGAGTCTTTGACTATGAAGACAACAACAAACCCACGTGAAGAAAATGAGCTGTGGCGAGTGGTGGACGAGGAAAATCGGTCAAACTTAATACCAAAACATAACTCTTTGATTAGATTATCTATTTTCCTCATTTATTTTTAATCTCTTTTTTTTTTCCCTAATTAACGATGGATGAGTTGTTTTGATTGAATGATTGATCATCTTACAAAAACCAAAAACCATTTCACAGATTTTTGACACATCTCAAAGAAGAACATTTGACGACGTCGTGCGTAAAACAATCGTTTTTCTTTTCGTTCCCGATTTCCCGAGAAAAAGTTTTGACTTTTCCGGGAATATCTCTCTCCTTCATTCAACAAGGTTCAAAAAAAAATTTCTATCTTCTGTCATTTTCTGGCTTTACCTTTCATCTCTCTGTAACATTTTTCTTTTAAGCTTTTTTCTTCTCATAATAATCGATTGATCTGACATCATAAACAGAGATCTCGACGCGTGGCTTCAGATTTTTCAGAGAGAATCGTAGGAGAAAGAAAACAATTAAAAAAAAAAGAAGAGAGACAATATTCGATGTTGCTTACACAATGTCGTCTCGATTGTAATCGTTTTTCTCCATACATTTCTTAAGAGAATCGATATATAATTTCTTCCATCCCTCCTCTTGTTTTTGCTTGCTTGTCCCTTAAATTCAGCACTTCATAACGTCAAAGCTCAGAATACTCGATTGCGTGCCTCTCTCTCTACAATCCCCATCCTCCTCCTCCAATTCCTTTTGTGCTCTCCATTGAAGAAGAACCCATCTCTGTTTTTCTGAATTACGGTCGAGAATCATGGTGAATGGTAAAGGGTCAACGAAAATATCGAATCTTGATCGATTTCTCCACTGCACAACACCCGTGGTACCGCCACAGTCTCTCCCCAAGGTTGGTTTTAGCTTTTTCAGAACTTCTCTCAATGCGAATCACGTGGTTATTGATTGATGGGTTGATTGGGATTGCAGACGGAGATTAGAACCCTAAATCGATTGTGGCATCCATGGGAGAGAGAAAAGGTTGAGTTTTTCAGGCTGAGTGATCTGTGGGATTGTTACGATGAATGGAGCGCTTATGGAGCTAGCGTTCCTATTCATATCACCAATGGAGAATCTCTCGTCCAATACTATGTTCCTTATCTCTCTGCCATCCAGATTTTCACCTCTCATTCCTCCTTGATCCAATTAAGGTTTGATCCTATTGCCTTTTGATCCCCAGACTGAAAATTTGAAAATTTTATCGCTTTCTGATTGATTTAGTGGAACCCTTTGATCTGGCTGTTACAGTAATTGCTCTTATGGGTCTTATTGTCGTTGGTCAGAAAAAGTCTCTCTTTTTTTTTTTTTGATGAAATATGGTGTTGGGTTATGTGATTAGGGAAGAGTCTGAAGATGGGGAAAGCGAAGGTAGATACACGTTTAGCGATTCAGGTAGCGATGAGAGTGTGTCTGAGGAAGGAGGACTTGAGAACAATGGGATCTTGCACCCGAATGATCGTTTGGGTTACCTATATCTCCAATACTTTGAGAGATCAGCTCCTTATACCAGAGTTCCTCTCATGGACAAGGTTAAACCAAACCTCTCATGTAGCCAATCCATAGTTGATTTTCATCGACTGACACGTATGATATGTGTTGATTCCAGATCAATGAATTAGCTCAGAGATACCCTGGATTGATGTCGCTGAGAAGCGTAGATCTTTCTCCAGCTAGTTGGATGTCTGTAGCTTGGTATCCGATTTACCACATACCAATGGGAAGAACCATCAAAGACTTGTCCACTTGTTTCCTCACTTACCACACTCTTTCCTCTTCTTTTCAAGGTGCGGATTCTCTCTCTTTAACTCTCTAACTCTCTGTATCTACTGTCCTTTAGCACGGTCCGGTTTGATTGATGCTTTTGTGATGTTACAGATATGGAACCGGAAGAGAATGGTGGAGACAAGGAGAGGATGAGAAAGGAAGGGGAAGACATAACGCTGCACCCATTTGGGATGGCTACTTACAAGATGCAAGGCAATGTTTGGCTTTCCGATGACCACGATGACCAAGAGCGATTGGTTTCGCTTTACAGCGTTGCGGATTCTTGGCTAAAGCAGCTCAGAGTCCAACATCATGATTTCAACTACTTCTGCAGCATGTCGATGACTCATCGTGGCTAAAACCTGGTTCGACTCACTGTGTTTGTTCTGTTCCTCATAAAGTATTAAGTTCTTGCTTTGCTGTGGAACCGCTGGGTGGTGTTTTTCTTAACCGCAATCGAGGGAGTTGGCTTGGCAGCGTTTTGGTTAGAATAGCGTTTTTGAGTCTTCCCTAACCTTTTGAGAGATATATATCATATATGTATGTATGTATGTCGTATATAAAAGTCTGTTGCTTGTGGAAACAGAGGAACTGTTGTTGCTTGTTGAAACAGAGTTGTTGTTTCTTGTAAGTTATATATTACATTGTCCACAGGAAAATAACTTTATTGTACTTTTGAAATAGTACTGTAACAAACTACTCTGTTAACAGTTTTTGTTTATATAAACAATATAGTTGGAGAAGCAAAATTAAGAATCTCATATATTCAAGTAGAGTGTAATCTGTTAAATGTTTTTATTAACAGATTGGATAATCAAGTTGGCCAAAGATGAAAATTAGAGAGGACAAATATATGAGAGTTGGATAACCTGAGCTGATATGATTTAAGTTGGGGACCTCTTTGGTTTAAAAATGTGAAATATATGAGAGGACAAAAAAAAAGATATGGAATTTTGACTTTTTATGGATTTTCATGTTTTGTTTGGTTTCTCGACCAAATTTCCTAGAGTTATTCCAACCTTTTTTAAGTTACTTACTGAAAACGAATCATTGCCTAGGAAAAAAATAGGAATCGTGGAAATGTCAAATGTGGTGATAACTGATAACTGGTAAGGCATCTTATCTTATCCTTCAAGTTAGGTTTCAAAAGTGATCCCTTTAGTGGATAAGACCAACATATTCATTTTACGAACCCCAAAGCAAACGTAAGAACCTTATCTTATTTTGATTTCATTTACATACAAAGGGTCATCAGTTACGCAGAAATTTCAAAATAACGGTTAGGATGATGAAATTTATGTCGGCAGGGACAATGGAAGTAATGATTTTGGTTTTGGGTTTGAAGATCTGTGAAGGAAAAGAAGAAGAAATTGTAGATTAATTAATATCATGTCATATAAAATCAACGACAAAACCACTCACTTGTTATATAAAAAGAACCGACAAAAATATTTCATAATTCATACATCACAGAAACGAAAAACGTTCATTTTTAATTACAAAAGTCAAAGGTTACACGTTCACTTGTTAATTTCCACACCATCATCAACACTGTTACCAGTCAAGAGTGCATCATATAGACAGGATTGAATCTGTTTTTCGTGATCATTCATTTACGACTTTTTTGGCTTCATTAATTAACATTTTCTTTTCGTTCATAAATTCAATTAATGTACAACATAAAGATAGAAAATCAGACTACATTAGAGAAAGGAAAATGATAAAAATAAAATTCTATTGGAACAAGAGATTATAAGCAGGGAGATCTTGAATCCGATGAATATCATCCAAAGAAAGCTCTCTCTCCAGCTGATTCCGAGTTGCCTGTAATACTTCCTGATAGATACACCAACAGTAGTATAGTTACAATCATCAATCTTTACAGCTACTGATCAAATGTTATAGAAAAGAGAGATTAACTAGAGAACTATGTACATTGAATTCCATGTAAGAAGCGTGCATAGCAAGCCATTGAGCATCCATCATCGCGAAAGCTATACAATATAGTACATCGAAGGCCTTCTCGTCCTCTGCGATTTTTTGTACATGGTTTCTTGATTATTTAGCGAATATTATACACTAGTAACTTTCTGAAACCACATTCTTTTCAAATTTAAGTTAGAAACTATTTACCTTCTAAGAGTTTGAGGAAATTCAATCCTGGAAGACATTTCGGCTTTGCTGCAAAATAACAAAACAAAGATTTTAAAGTTTTTTCAATTGCATCACTCTGAGAATATTTGTGTGTTAAAATAAAGAAACGTACGAGAATTTTGTAAATCGAGCATTTGGATCAACATGAAGGAGATGTTGATTCCGGCCACCGCAAATGGGTACTCCCACTGTGCCCTGTCGCCTCTTTGTTTGAATAATAGCCTCCGGAAACAAACCTTCACAAGTTTCATTTGTAAAAACACATTTTCACGTTTGGTTGGAGCAAACAAGTTAAGCAAACAAGCAAATATGTGAAATAAATATCTATATACGAGCAATTACCGGATAAGTTCTGGAGGAAAATAACAAATTCTCAAGAGCGATGAATCCGCAACCCCTACAAACAAAAAGTTAAAATGAAACAAGAGTTAAGTCTAAGTGTTTTCCCTTTAAGATGTTTATACATTTTAGTATAGACCTGATATTACCTGAAATCGGTAGATGGATTGGGACCTTGCCATCCCATATCTTTCCATTGTTCTGTCACTAAACCTGTGAGACTAATATTCGGAAACGCTGCATTCCACAATGCTTTAAGTGATTCCTGCAGCCATTAATTAAGCAAATAGATTCACAAAATGCTTATAGCAAAAACAAGAAGATGTTTCATTCGTTAGACCACCGTTAAATGTCTTATTGATAAGGTCAATTCACCTACCTGATGGTCAGGACGAGCCTCGTCGAAAGGTACAAGTACACGTTCTTGCAGCCTTTGAAGTCTTTCCTCCTATACATGATGATTGGTTACGTTACGTACAACTCCAAAATGTCTTACACTTATATACATGAAGATATTTAAAAATGGTGACAATGCTAACCTGAAGAGGAGACAAAGTGTAGTCTACTGATGACTTGTCATGACGTCTATTGGAGCGTGTGAAGAGTCCTCCTATCCATGACCTTGTTCCAACCATAGCCGTAGCTGTAACCACCGGTTCACTAATAAACATTTATATACAAAAATGAGATGATAGATCTAGTTAATTATTATATAACTAGTAAAATTATTCACATGATCCATAGATCTTTTTATCAATATGTTTAACCCTTAACTATACCCTGTGATCTCTAGCTATATATTAATCACTAAAACATAGTATATTTAGCCAAATGAGCTATTACGTGAGTGGAACTACTTGACCGGTGCCATCTCGGCTCTTTGCTGCCTTTTTCTCGCCTTTCCCACGCTTCATCCTCCTCTACCTGCACACATTTTCAGACATATGTTTGTGTTTGTGTTTGTGTTTGGATAGACAACATTATTAGCATTTAGCAGCACACATGATTCTAAACTCATCTTTGAGTGATCTTACTTACTTACAATTACAACCAAAGTAACACTCATGTACCGTAGATTGAAAGATTAAATAAAGAAACGGGTGGAATTAAGAACAATGTAAGTGCGAGACTGAAGTGGGGTCGCTGTTTACCTAATTCTGATGAAATAGTGCAAATATGATATGAGTTTGGAGAAGAAGAAAGTAAAGAAGAGATAATTACTTGGCGAAGAGACAAACGAGAAGGAAAGTATTGCCTATGCTTCCTGAGCTTCATTAGAGGGAAACAAATGTTGAAAGAAAAGAAGATTAACTAATGATATCATGATAAGGAGAATGCATGATAAGGAAAAAAAATGCATGATAAAGAGAATTTTGGCATTACCCCTACATCCAAATTAAAGAGTCATCAAAAAGTCTAAACCAAGATAAGTCTGAGAAAGTATTAAAAGCTATACGTTTTGCAAAATTTTGGGAGGAAAAATCTAAATTATGCAAGTTGGATGGTAAAAAGCTTAAAACTTCCCGGAAAATAGTTTAAGAAAGAAGGAGAAGGGAGATATATACAGAGTTAAGTTGATCACAGATAAGTTTTAGTGTTGTTTTTGGTTGCGTACAGGTCAGAGAGCTTAATTTTTTTTTGAAAAATAGAAAATATGTTCTTGATTATTTAACACGTTTAACTAAATTAGACAGAATTGTGGGTTGTTATACATCAGTTTGTAACTTTTTTCCTCCTTAATTTAGAAAAAGACAAGAATCAAAAGGGTAAAAGAATGATTTATATATTCAACAACCCATAATCAAATTCCATTTCCCCTTACTCATTTTCTTTTTGGTATGATTGTATACAAAATGGTGTCCCTATGAGTTGTAAGTTGTAACTAACATAATAGCGCAATTAAAGGGTACCCTTTTTCTTTTCAATTTTTTGTTTGTAATGCAAATTTTGGACCTTCACAATGCATTGAATAAAACATTAGTTGCAAACAATGATAATCAAATTTTCACCGTTTCACGAGCAAAACGATATGATTGAATAAAAAGGAGATGAGGGGAACAAAGTTACCTGTTAATCTGTTATAGACAACATAGAAAACAAGACAATCGAGGAGGAGATATGGTGTAGTCACGATGATGACGACGACGGAGGAGACAGAGGAAAGAGAAGAAGAAGAAAATAGAGGAGAAAGAAAAAGAAAAAAGAGGCAAAAATGGAATTCTTCATTGGAAATTTGCCAACTTTTAGAAATTGCAGTGGATGTAGAGAGAGAGCTGTGATCCAAAAGTGTTTTCTCTTTTTCTTTTTTTTGGTTCCTCTCTCCAAATCTAACCATTGACCGTTAAGTTGCCGCCTTCTTCTCTCTTCCACAAAATTCTTCTTCACAACATTTGGACGGTCCAGATTCTTCACACTTGGCCTATCAACGGTGATCAGATCAGTTAGTTAATAAACAACAGACTCAACTTTGGTTTAAAAGCCCAGCTCAAGGCCCAACATATGAGTGATAGAGAGATATCAGAGAGACTCAGAAGAAAGAATCCGAAGCTAGTGATCTGATTGGTTGAGAAGGATAGCTTTACGCTTGAGGACACGTGTCACTAACCCAATACTACCTTATCTTTTTTTGTCTCTCCTCAAATCGACGGAAAGTCAGAAAGACACTGAACTCTAGCATCTTCCGTTCTGTACAGCAATGGCTCTTCAGGCTGCATGTTCTCTTCTTCCTTCTACCATTTCAATCCACAAAGAGGTATGTTTTCGCAATTACCAATATTTGATTTTGGATAAACTCTAGAAATGTCTGAAGAAATTTACCTCAATGCCATGGTGATTTTGCAGGGTAAATTCAGTGCTTCTCTGAAGGAGACGACTTTAACTGGTCTTTCAGTTTCCAACCATCTTAGAGCCGACAAGATCTCCACCTTGTTAACTATCAAGGTAAAACCAATAACCTCATCGATGTTTTAATTCTGATATGATCGGAATGTCCTGAAATTTACTCTGTTCCGTTGCAGGACCAGAGAAGACAAAAACCGCGGTTTTCCACCGGTATTCGTGCACAAACAGTTACAGCCACGCCGCCGGCAAACGAGGCCTCGCCGGAGCAAAAGAAGACTCTGAGAAAAGGCACTGCAGTGATCACCGGAGCTTCTTCTGGTTTAGGTCTAGCCACTGCCAAAGCTTTAGCAGACACAGGGAAATGGCATGTGATAATGGCTTGCAGGAACTTTCTCAAGGCCGAGAAGGCAGCAAGATCTGTAGGAATGTCTAAGGAGGATTACACAGTTATGCATCTTGATCTTGCTTCGCTCGAGAGCGTGAAGCAGTTCGTTGATAGTTTCAGGAGAACAGAAAAGCCCCTCGATGTTCTTGTCTGCAATGCAGCGGTTTACCAACCAACTGCCAAAGAACCTTCTTTTACAGCAGAAGGGTTTGAGCTCAGCGTTGGGACTAATCATCTCGGACATTTTCTTCTTTCAAGATTGCTTATTGATGACCTGAAACAATCGGATTATCCATCAAAACGTATGATCATCGTAGGATCTATAACAGGTAACTAATAATAGACAACGAGTCCATTCCTACATAAGGAAATGGTTGGTTCCTAGTTTCAGACAGTGAATGTTCATTTCTATGTTCTTGTAGGAAACACAAACACATTGGCTGGGAATGTGCCGCCAAAGGCAAACCTTGGAGACCTAAGAGGCTTAGCATCAGGACTGAACGGGCAAAACAGTTCGATGATAGATGGAGGAGAGTTTGATGGAGCCAAAGCTTACAAAGACAGCAAAGTGTGCAATATGCTGACAATGCAGGAGCTTCACAGACGTTACCACGAGGAAATAGGTGTGACGTTTTCTTCTCTTTACCCTGGCTGCATCGCCACAACCGGGTTGTTCAGAGAACACATACCTCTGTTTCGGCTTCTGTTTCCGCCGTTTCAGAAGTATATCACCAAAGGCTATGTATCTGAAGAGGAAGCCGGGAAAAGACTAGCACAGGTCAGTTTGTAAAGCAGGATTATATTGAGCTCTTTTAACAGATTCTTGATTGTTTTGATACTGAGGTTGTGTGACACATATAATGTAGGTTGTGAGTGATCCGAGTCTTGGAAAGTCAGGAGTGTATTGGAGCTGGAACAACAATTCGTCTTCTTTTGAGAATCAGCTTTCCAAAGAAGCAAGTGATGCAGAGAAGGCAAAGAAACTGTGGGAGGTTAGCGAGAAGCTTGTTGGTCTGGCATAAATTAACGAAGATTACCATCTCTTGTACCATATACTAGTATCAAACAATATATATTGGAGTGAAGTTTTAGCAGAGTATAATAAAATAGTCGAGAATTTGAATCTGCAGACACTTACAGTTTGATAAACTGCTCCTTAGTTATTAATTTCGAAGTCTTTCTACTTTTTTGATTTCTTCCTTCAACTACGCTTCTCTTTTGATCGTTCCTTCTCGAATCCGTGCTCTTATCAATAGACACCCCAGATAGCATCAACTACTTCGTCATCCACTCATCCACATCATAATCGATATTGGAGATCAATCACGGACCATTCCTTCCGAACTCATCGAAATTCCCGAGAAGTAAACAAACCTAAACACATAAGCCCCATGTCACAAAATCCGCAGCATCGTTCGTAAACATGGTTCGTATCAACTGAGACGAGTCCTCGCATTAGTAAATTGAGAGAAACTCCATCTTTCCCGATGATCGGGAGTATCAATACGGTTTCAACAGAGCCGGTGGAAAATATTAATGTGTCTATAAAAACGACGTCGCATTAAAGTTAATGATGGCCCAAAATGTGAAATGTTGTGATGGGCTTTTTAAAACGTCGTCGTATTAGAGTTCATGATGGCCTAAAATGCGGTGAGCGTGGATCGAACACGCGACCTTCAGATCTTCAGTCTGACGCTCTCCCAACTGAGCTATCCCCGCTTGTGATATCTTTCAAATAGTATATTAGAAAACCTGTAAAGAGAAACCATTTACCAATCTACATACAATTGTATTCTCGCACCACTTCGTATCAATGAGTGAAAAGAAGATTTTGATAGTCGCTACAAAATGCCATTTCCATATCAAGTGAATTACAAAGAAGTTTTTGATGGTCGCCCCAGCAGCAAAAATTTGGTAAAGTATATTGATGGAGAGAGTAATCAATGAGTGTGGACAAGGCAATTCTCATTCACCATCTATCTGAGAAACTTTGGGCTAATTGGAGTCATCAAAATCCAGGTACATTCTGTAAGCATCTCTATCTGTCGAGTAGTAGCTTTTCACCAGAGAGTCTACTTGAAACCCGAACTTTTTGTACAGATTCACAGCAGCAATCCTCGTGGGGTCGACATGAAGTGAGACACGTTGCACCTTTCTGCTTCTGCACTTCTCGATCGCTGCTCTCAACAACGCTTCTCCATGGCCTTGTCTCCTGCAGCTCTCCTTCACTGCATAATCCAATAGAAAACAGAGGATTGTAAACAGAGGATTCATCACTGCGTCATTTCATCGAACAGTTGGTAGACATGTGCCTATACCTGCGAGCTTGGTTATGGAAGCAGAAAGAGAAGACGGCCAAGAGTACATGACATAGCCCACAGTTTCTCCGCCGGCGTCGACGTACAGCAAACCGGCGTTTCGTTTGCGCAGCTCTCCGTCGAAAGTTTGAGAGAGAGATTCGTGTTTAGGGAACGTTTTCTTCTCAAGCTTCATGATCTCCTCCACCACCTTAGCCCAATTAGTCGACCCTCTAATTAGTTCCACCACAACTCCTTTCTCCATTGTACAAAGATTCGATTTTTTTGTTTTCCGGATGTTTAATTCTCTCGTTTAGTGTGGAAGGAAATGATGACGCCATGACCGGCGAATTCTAGAAACTATTCAAAATTGTGAAATAACCCCGCATATTTTAGTTTTGTAACAATTTAGTCCCCAGAGAGAGAAGAGAATAAAATAAAACCAGAATCTGAATGCATAGGATCACAACAGTCCATGAGACCAGAAACCAATAAGGTTACAGTTTGATCAAATCGTAGTGGAAAACTTCAAGAAAGTATGTTTGATTTCATTCATCCATTGAAGTAGAAGAAACAATCAAGAACCATAATTAGTGTGCTCTAGATAAGTATGGATTGACAATAAAGGAAAATTTCATTTTATGGTAGAATCTTCTCAATCTATCTTTCTGAGCTTGAATGTTTAGAAACAAATCACTTATATGTGCATAGGAGCTAGACATGGAAGAAAGAATGTCACAGACGAAGGATCAAGACAAGACAAACTCCAACCATAAAGGCAACCAACGTAGACACAAAGGCCATAATGACAATTGCCATAGCATTTAGGTTAGTTTGCCGTACGAAAAGAACATTACTCAGATGCTGTGACCTGATAATCTCAATCAAAAATTCAACAGAACAAAGCATTGGAACGGTGTTGCACAGCATAAAAACCGTGAATGCTGCTGTTTTGACCAAACCTGTGATGCTTAATTCAGGAGCAGAACTGATGTAAAGCTTTGTACATGTGAAACCCATAACAATTGTCAGAGTTACCACAGCTGTTGCAGTCCACTTAAGAATTTTGATACCATCCTCTGAAGTTTCTGTATTTTGCCGGCTGTGTCTTCTGTGACGCTGTGAAGCACCCAATAGAATTGGTTGTGAACCATTTGGTGAACGAGCAGATCCAAAGGCCATTTCCAAGTTAAGTACCTGTACAAGAACATGTTTTATATAGTAAATCATAAACTAATGTTTCTTTCAGTTGATATCCAAAAGAATAATTAGAACATAAACATGGAAATACACACTCACAGATTACCTCAGATGCTTTTGAAATCTAGTCGATGAAGGAGGAGGAAGAAGAGGATGATGTTGAAACTTTGAACTTTGTCAAGAATTTTGGGGAAAGAAACCACACTATTTGATCCGATCAAGCCATTGACTTTAATCGCAATAAGAAAGAAAAAGTCTGAATGCGCGTACCAAGCAGCATCAATAATTTAGCTTGCAAAGCAAGCTATTTAAATAATAGAATTAGTTCGTTGACTATATATAACACAAAAGTCGATGATTGGGAGTTTTTGTCTCAACTTCTTCTTCTGCCTCTTTGTTTCCTCTCCCGATGCTGTCTATTCAATCATTGTACTTTGTTTCCTCAGTGACATATTGTAGAAAGATTTGGGTTTTTTCGTGGATGTTTGATTCTCTCGTACTTTTTTGACCCAACATGTTTTAGTTTTGTGTCAATTAGTCCCCGGAAACAGAAAGAGAACAGAATACACCAAGACAGCCTAAAGAGACCACCATAGCAAAACTACAGGATAAATGGATTAGATTAATCATTGTGAAAAAAACTTGAAGAAAGTTGTAACTGATTCATCCACTGAAGTACAAGTTCTAGAATCAAAGTACATGGAAGATTGCAGAGAGAAACAATCAAGAAAGAGAAAAAAATGCTCTAGACAAGAAAGGATTTGATTGACAACTTTTGATTTCATTCCAAGTCATCGTCAGTATCATTCCACACAATGAGCATAAGAAGCCAAAAAGGGTAACGCAAGACATATCTGAAAAGGGTTGGACTCGACGTATAAGGCAATACAAAAGGAACTACCAGCAGAACAAGCATTGGCAAGAAGATGCCGCCTGATGCAGCTAGCAACAAAGGAAGCCAAACCTGGTTTCCCACCACTACAAACATACCGGCTAGAAATGCCACAGACATAGAAATAAGAGCAAAGCCAAGAAGCGGCAGCACGAACCTGAAAACATTGAGGATCAAAACCAGATCGCCAAGTTGTGCCCATATGAGAGCAACAGTCGTGAGAACAGCACTGTACATTGCAATTGTGTTGGAAACCACAAAGACTTGCAACGCAACTGGTTTATACCAATGTTTTGACTCCTCAGGTACTTTTGTCACACTGAAAGCTGCAGAAAATGCCACAGTGGCAACGAGTATAGCCAGCAACAGCAGAGTGTTGACCCTATCTTTGTACTTTTTGGCCGATGGTATCTCATTGGCCTGGATAATTCCTTCCTGGGGCCCATGTGCCAAAAGTGGATCATAAGGCATTAATTTTAGAGCTCTTGGTGTACCAACACACTCTAAAGCCATCCATGTCAGTCGCTGCAATGTAAAGCCGTATGCGGTTATCAGATAGTGCAGACCCAAGGGAAGATATAATAAAAAGATATCAAAAGAATGTACCTCGCGGAAAGTGGGGTTCAATTCCATACATTCTTCAGCTGCATCAAGAGCTGTAAATCCCAATTTGTTCTGTTCACCCACATTAACCCTTCCATCATTTATAAGTGTATGCACAATCTTGGGATACCAGGACATTGTAGCCAAGTGTAGTGGAGTGTTTCCTTTATGATCCTTCTGATTTATGAGGACTGCATACTTTTCGTTTCTGAGAATGTATTTGACAACTTCATTTTTCCCACATTCAGCTGCAATGTGAAGGACATTTTGACCTTGTAAGTTAAGTAGCTCAATCGTGTCAGGGCAGAATTCCAGGATAACTTCCAGAGCACCCACATGACCTCTTCTGCACGCCGAATGGATGGGGAAGAAACCATCATGATCCCTCACATAAGGAACGTTTTCAAACCCCTGTAATAGACGGCGCACTCCGTCATCATATCCTACCGACGCTGCATATGAGAGAGGGCTCCTTTTTTCTTCGTCCCTTGAGTTGATGAGATTTCCGTACATGGGAACTAATAGACTATTTAAGATCGCTGCCATATTATATAAAACAAACAAAGATGGTTAGTTTCATATGATAAAGAAGAATTGAAGACCCAAGAAACAGCTCTAGGAACGTAACCTATGTTTCTGCTTTTGATGGCAGCATGCACAACTGATTTTCCTTCAAAGCGAGCAGCAGGATTTTGTAGCATTTGGTCCACAAGCAACTCATCCCCAGCTTCAGCTGCCATATACAAGGGCGATGCTCTCTCTTCGTTAGGAATATAAGAAACCCTTACATCGACGGCGATGAGAGCCAAAGCAACATCTTGACGGTTTGCTTTCAAAGCTAGGTGCAGGGCAGTGTTTCCTTCATTGTTCTTCACTAACCAACAATCTTGTACTCCCTCCTGTCTTCCTTCTCTCAGTAAAATTTGCATTCCATTCGGTAGTATTCTCAAGTGGTTAATAAGAAGGATCACAACCGGTGCATGGCCTGCAGCAGCTGCAACATGGAGAGGAAGATCACCATGGAAGTTTGGTCTTAACAAAAGGCTTTGGTAATCATTCGGAATTGGGTCCCAATTCTGCATAACGCGTCGCTCAAAGTTGATAATATGCTCAAGTAGTTGGACGTGACCATATATGGCAGCAAGGTGGAGGATTGTATTTCCTTGAGGGGTTATTTCTCTTAGAACAGGTCCTTCAAACACTACCACATCAAATTCGTCAATGTTACCTTCTGTGGCTGCCATATATAGTCTTTTTGCCATGTAATTGATTGCCTCAGGGGGTGAAACATCAGCAGCGTTAAGTAGTTGTCGGTGGCGTAATTCCCTAATCCTGGCTTTTCTGTGCCTTAGAACAGCAATTTCTATGTCAGACTTCCCCATGATCTTAACTCTCGAACCTTCTGGTTAGTGTCTTGACAAGGTACCTTAAAGCAAGAAGCTGTTGGAACATCAAAAAGAAATCAGTGAGAAGGTAAGTGACATGGAAATCACAGCTTAAATCGATTTAGTGACTGAAATGCTTTGGTGCATACATACCTGAGATTTACAAGGACATTTACCATCTGAGAGCAGCCTTGGTGAAGGAAACAAGATAGACAACAAAACGTATGGATTATTATACTCAGGTTGTAAAGTGCTTGATTAGATTATTTTGCAATGTGCTTGATTATACGAATCGTGCTATGAACGAGGTAGATAAGATGTGGAAGAGGGCAAACATTATTGGACTATGCTTAAGGCTTCCAAATGATTACAGTTTACAAGCTGGTGAAGGCATATACCAGCACAATTTCTCTGATTAAAGTAATGTAGTATCGTTTTAATACTAATGAAATAGATATCATGCAAGAAAGTAGCAACACAGATACTATAAAGGACTTTTTTAAGACGGAGACTTGGGATAAGAAGAAGTCAACCAAGTAGCCATCTCTTGTTCGCTGAAAGTTTCTTTACTCCTCAGTGGGGAATTCCATCGAGCAATTGGTCGACATAGTTCGTAAAAATCCCTCCCCTTCCACGTGAATAATGAATTGGTCGCCTTCGTGTGAGACTCCTCGTCTCCTCCTAGTCGAATATCAAGCAATGCATTCGTTTTGACGGAAAGTTTTGTTCTTCGGCCGTGTTTTCGCCACAGGATGATCCCGTAGCCAATACCAACACGCTCCTCTCTCCATCTGTTTTCCATATTTACTCGGAGAAAACTTTGGAAATGTAAAGGCGGAATTATACAGATTACATGCAATCACGGAAAGACCCCAAAAGTTTTAAACATTTCATTAGAAAACCCATAAAGCTTCAATTTCCGAGAAACTATCCGAAATTATGAATTGGCCCAAAACGTTTAGCTTTGTCACAATTTAGTCCCCAGTGAATATGATAGACGTAGCTGAGTTTGAAACTAGAGTAATAACAGTCTAAGAGAACATACACGCATATAAACTAGACAATGCCTTAGAATATGCAGAGGACCTGATCATGATTGTTGCTAACAGTAACATAACTCAGAACTATCATCACCCGCTTCACCAATTGTTAGGTTCAATGTAAGAGCCTCAGTATATTTAATGTTACAAGGAGATGACTAAAGCTCCAGCATCACTTATTTGATTTTGAACACTTTCTTTATACGACACAATAACAGAGCATTTTTACCATCAACCAAAAAAGAATCAGGAAACAGAGAAATTAAAGAAGATGTGTCGGACAAATCCTATAATTGTGATTTGTGAAACAACAAAACACAATTAGGAGCTTATTTGAAATAAGTACGCCATGGGAGAAGGATCAGCAGGAGACAAACTCCGACCATAAAAGCAACCAAAACAGACACAAAAGCAACTGTTACAAGTGCCATGGCTCTTAGCATAGCTTTCTGAATCGGTTGGAAATCACTCTGACGTTGTGCCCAAAGGAGATGCATTAGTGCTACAACAGAAGTGAGCATTGGAATGCTGTTGCACAGCACAAAAGCGACGAATATTGCTTTCTTGACCAAACCTGTGATGCCTAAACCTGGAGCAGAACTCATGTAAACCTTTGTACAGGTGAAACCCATAACAACTGTCACCGCTGCTGCAATTATTGCAGCCCACATAAGAAATTTGATGCCATCCTTTGAATCATCTGTGTTTTTCAGGTTACGGTTAGATCTTCTCCGATGCCGTGAAGCACTCGAGAGAGATGGTTGTGAATCAGCAGATCCCATGGCCATTTCCAAGTTGATGAAATCTCTAGCTGTGAAGAAATTAAAAGAAGCACACACATGATGATAGGAGTTGACAAGAACATGTTTTTAAAGCCAAATTCAGCAATTAGATCATAAAACAGATTCAGAAATTATATCATAAACGCACTCAAAGATTACCTCAGACGCTTTGAAATCTAGTAAAAGAAGGAGGAGGAAGAACAGAAGAAAGAAAATTGGGGTAGCAACCACTCCATTTGATCCGATCAAACCATTGACTTAATCAAAAACAAGAAAGAAAACGTCTAAACGTGCGTACCAATCAACATCGACGATGATGATCTAGTTTGCTAAACAAGCAATTAAATAATATTATTAGGTCGTTGACTTCAAGAAAAAGTCTGCTGATTCGTTGACCTGATCCATGTCTTTAATTTTCATCTTCTTCTGTCTCCTTGTTTTTTACCTCTTCCGGATACCATACGGTCCTAACATCACTAGTTTTATTTCAAAAAGATTGCATGACATAAACACTATTAAACAGAGCATTTTATTATAGCCATTGTTGTTATCATCATCAGTAACAACCAAAAGCATCAGTAAAAAGGGAACGTAGAAGATATTTTGGAGAAAAGCCTTGACTAGTACACGGTAAGATTCACATTAGAATGTCATTGTAAACTCCATTTCTGAAAATCTGAGACATCATATTATCATACATGTCTAGATGGACTGTGACAAGTAGGAGTAGACAGGTACATTTGAGATGCAGATGCATAGAAAAGAGAGAGCTTTAACAGAGACCACTACTTCACTGCAAGAATTTGTCGATGCTGGATGCTAGTGTGGCTTTAGGCACTGCGCCGATGATTGTATCTTTCTTCTCTCCCTTGACGAAGATCATGATGGTTGGGATGCTTCTAACACCGTACGTGCTCGGGGTTGTAGGAGAATCATCTGTGTTTAGTTTGTAGAACTTGATCTTCCCAGTGTACTGTTGTGCTAGTTCATTCACAATGGGATCTATCATTTTGCAGGGTCCACACCATGGTGCCCAAAAGTCCACAAGAACAGGCTCATCAGCTTTGAGAACTAGAGACTCCCATGTTGAATCGTTGACCACAGGAACTGCAGGGATCGAAATAGCAAAACCAACATTCATGGTCATTATGAGTTTAGAATAATGAATGAAGGGGTAACGAAACAATGCTTCACAAGCTAATGCAGAGAGAAAGAGAAAGCCAAATGAAAAAACGTTACTGTAATAGCTAATCTCATCAGCAGTGATATATAATTGCACTCCATTTTCTATTCACCCTAAGAATAGCCTTGGCTCTTCCATAACCCAAAAACATCCAATCTTGCAACAGTGTGTGTGTGATAGATCCAACAAACAAACATCTCAGTTTCCATAGGTACTTCAAAAAGTTCAGTATAGATCCTAATATGCAAACATTCTGGAGTTTCATACAAATGGTAGATGTTCTATTAACCCATCATTTTCAGCATATACTCAAATGTCGGCAATTCCATAGAAAAATTTATACTTTTCGAACTAATTACGAGGTTTAACAGCCAAAATTCACGAAGATTACTTAAGAATTTACACAAACCCACTAATCTTCAACACGAGATTCGTTCATCTACACTCAGAGAAACCTATCAGCAGACATAAATCAAGCCAGACTATTTCCAGAATCAAAGAAAAACAGAACGCATTATCCAGCAAAGAGAGATAAAAGACGAGAACATACTCCCTGTAGCAGTTTCCTGAGCTTCGCAGACGACGCCTCGCCGTAATCGAGAAGCCCTGGAATTCTTGGAGACCGAAGATAAAGAGACGCGAGTCCTCAATCCTCCAGATTCCGGTAACACAGAGAACATCTGTCGAGTGGAGAGTGATACCGTCGTTGAGGAGGCGATCCTCATCTCCGACCGGAGAGAAATCGGAAGACGAGAAGTACACGTGAAAGCAGCCATTGTAGAGAGAGAGAAGCAAGCAAGCAACACACGATAGATTCGATTCCTGAGATTCTCCTGAGCCCGAGATGTGAATGATATCCAGAAAAATTAAGGAGAAGATAAAAAACCAAAAATATCAAAAGGATATTGAAAATGGGAGGAGATAGAAGGAATGATACTGATGTGATGTTGATCTGAAAATACGGTTAAGAGCTCTAAAATTTATAAATCAACCAATAATAATCTAAGCCCATTGGGTTTGCCTTTTATTTATTTAAAGCCCATATTTTAAGATAAGACAAAATGAATAATTTAGTCCTCGTTAGAGAACCCAACTGAAAAACGATGCGTTATTTCGCCGGCGCGTCCGTACTCGATTTCTCTCCGTCTTTACTGTTTCACTGCCGTGAGCTCGGAGCACTTGGCCGGAGATTGGTTATGACTTCCGTTAATTCTCATTCTCGGTCTAGAGAATCCGGCGGTTCTGATGACGGAATCATCACCGTAGAGGAGTGGCGGAGATGGGGCCCTGTGTCTCCATTTCCATCGGCGGTCAAACAGATTGTGGATGATTTGAAGGTTCTGGAGTGTAAATTGAATTCGCCGATAGAGTTCGGTGGAAATGGTGGCAAGTTACAGGTAAACAGAGATAATGATGAGATGAAAAGTCGTTGCTTGTTTCCTTTGAAATCGTTTATGCTTAGATTGTTTAGTGCTTGCAGTATAAAGTTTCCTACTTTCAGAGGATCGTAAGAGTTTATGATTTTGTGTTCAAACTAGTTAGTTAAGGTAGGGAATTGATCCAAACGCCGTTTTGGATTTAGCTATGGTTACCGAATAGCTCTTGCTCCTGGTTACAGTGTGTATAGAACTATAGATGATTCGTCTTATTGAGTAATGCCATTGGTTTATTCGTCAATATATGATTGAGTTGATCAATGGATCTTAAATGTTAGTTAGGTTATAATACTTCTACTACTATGGAACTATCACAGGGACCGTTTGGTGCTTTTGAAGATAAGAAACATAGGGCTACATATGAAGCATTAGATGACCCAGAGAAAAAGTTCAGGTTTTTCTCTGCTCGACAAGTTGCTTGCAGGCTGCTGGGGAGCAGGGGTTATTTATGCCAGAAGGTACTTCATTCACTGTTCTTCAGTTGCTATATTGCTTAGTGGTTTCATGAATAAGGATTCGACTTCCTGAGTGATGACCAATCTTCTTCATTTGCAGTGTTGGCTTGCTATGGAGGACTGCATGTGTGCAGACGTCAAGCCATTTGGTTTATGGAAAAAGATACGTTTTTGGCTGTATATGCATCCTAGGGTTAGTATTTCACCCACCGGTCTCGGCTATTCGGTTTGAGGTTCCGATGGATTAACATGGTGTTTAGATGTTGACAGGATTTCTTACGCCAGAACAACACAGGGAAGTTATTGTGGCAGATATTTGGCGTCCAATCTGCTACTCTCTGCATCTTTGGAATAGCTGAAGACGAAGAGATGATGTGGAACGAGTTTAAGCGAGCAGGTGTTTGATTCGCCTGTCTTACATCACAGCAACTTCGAATGCATTTGTTAAATCTAAAAACCACCCTTGCCGTTTTTTGTTCTGATGGATGCTCAGGAAGAAGCCAAGTCTGTTGCCTCTATCCCAACCAGAACTCGGAACTCACCTTGTCGGTTGAAAAAGCTTTTGGCAATTCAACTTCAGAGAATCCTGGATCTAACATGGTAATGATTGCAACATTATGGCTATAGTCGCTCTCTTCTTCCATCCTATGTTTATGTTGTCCTAGGATAGAAAAGGAAATGTCTTTGATCGCTACAGTTTCTGTTTCCCAGGCAGATGAGGATAAAACTTTGCATTTCATTTTGCTTGATGGGACCTGGAACAATTCAGCTGCAATGCTCAAGCGTCTAAAGGTATATATATATACGTTTTGCAGTTTGTCCTTTTTCAAACTCAAAAAGATGCTTATACTAAAGGTATATCTGTGTAGGATCATGCAAAGTTAGTATGGGGAGATGAAGAACTTCCTTGCATATCTCTTGCAACAGGTGCATCAGCAATGCATAAACTCCGGTAACAATAGTCTCAGATCTCTATATTAGTCTGTGTCCAGAACTCCTCTGTGCTATAAAAAATGGTGATCCCTTTCTACTTCTGATCTTTTACCCTACAGGCCACAACCCTCATGGGACCGGACTTGCACCGCTGCAGCAGCAATTGGACTCCTATCTGAGCTGAGCCTTCTCCCACAGCTAAGCAGCTACGGGTTAGACAAACAAGCTGATGCACTCGAGGAAGCTTTGGTCATACTGCTGGACTCGCTAACAGGACGACGCTTGAGAATGGGCAGGTCTATAACTCGTAAAGTGAGAAACACCATCAGCATTTGCTAACAACAACACAAAACATGAGTCTGGCGGGACACATAACAGTTTTTCTACCATCATCGATGAGGATCAGTGATGGGTGATGAAGCAGAGAGATAGATAATCTAGATTACATCAGATACAAAGATCATGTCTTCGTCCATGTGAGTTTTAATGGTTGAAGCAAACACATAAGTTTTTGTAATCTTTTTAAACCAGTTTCTGTAACTTGAATATGCCTCGCAAGTTTTAAGACCAACTATTGAAGTGTGACAGTGATTACAGGCGGACCCCACCAAACTTAAGTTAGGACAACGCCTCACTTCAAAACAATTTTTTTGCTCCTTTTGTGATGTCATCAAATGAGGAATTATCCTTTTTTTTAAATAAAAGTTTTTGTGTGTTTGTAAGCTACTAATTTCGAAATATGATTAATCTATATACTAAAAAGTATATTAGCTTGAAAAATGCCCAGATGAAATTCATAATTTCATGTTTAATTAGTTAATTGATTCAAATTTTGTTTTCTCTTGCTTTATAAATACGTTTAAACAAATCTTGCATGACCGGTGGAGACAGTTGAAAGAAAAACCAACAACCCAACCAACCATCCAACACTTGAATATCATACTCATTTTACTTTGGTTTATATTCCGTGACTTTGTTTTCCTACATCGTCTCTCTCTATCTATCCTTCTCTCTTCCATAGTTACATTTCACAAATTCAACTCTCTAGAGATCCCAAAAAAAACTATTAAACTGATGGTGAAGCTAACACAGAGATTGGGCGGGTTGGTGCTGCGATTCGCTGCATTTTGTGCCGCATTAGGAGCGGTTATCGCAATGATCACCAGCCGCGAAAGATCTTCCTTCTTTGTCCTCTCCCTAGTCGCTAGGTATAGCGATTTGGCCGCGTTTAAGTAAGTTTCTAATGTTGTTTTATTTGCGTTTATAAACAGGATTGAAGAAAACTTCAAATATGTATTGTAATGATATGTTACGCATTTCTGTGTGTGTATGGCAGGTACTTTGTGATCGCAAACGCGATAGTGAGCGTTTATAGCTTTCTCGTTTTGTTTCTTCCAAAGGAGAGTTTGCTGTGGAAATTCGTAGTTGTCTTGGATTTGGTAATTATACTAGCAACTATAATTATTTATTTTCTTGATCAAACTCTTCGATTATACTGACGTACGTGGAACACTATGCACTGTATTGTCTAATATTGTTATTCATTATAAAACATGTGTTTAACCAATTTTTATTTGTAAATGTGAATTTATCGTGAAGATGGTGACGATGTTGTTGACGTCAAGTTTATCAGCGGCGGTGGCGGTAGCACAAGTGGGGAAGAGAGGAAACGCGAACGCAGGATGGTTGCCAATTTGCGGTCAAGTCCCGAGATTCTGCGATCAGATAACCGGAGCTTTAATCGCCGGTTTAGTGGCATTGATTTTATACGTCTTCTTGCTCATTTTCTCTATCCACTCCGTTGTCGATCCTTTTCTTCTCCGAAAATCTTGAATTGAATAATATAAATTTCAAGACCAAATACGCTTGTATATTGTTTTGTAATTCTGATTTTTCATGCTTGTCTAAAGATTATCAACCCAAAAGACTAATTAATACTTTTTTTAATGGTACTTTCTCACGATAACTTTGTTGACAAAGAGGATAATGTAGTAAGATCTCTTTTTGTACCATGGGCCTCCTTAAAAAAAACTTTGATAAACTATTCCAGTGTTATAAAACACATTTAGGGTTGTTAATTACATTTATTTTTCTTGCGTGTATTATAAGTAACGCACGTTATACTTTTGTTGCTGGAAAAACGGCAAAATTGAATGTAGGAGTACAAGCTTTTGTTTGGTCATTAAAATTACAAAAAAAGTTCTGTAATTCTCACATTTTATCTGCCAACATTTGATTAGGATGGATAAACAGAGAGGAGGTAAAGTCGATATTAGTATATGATAAAAGTTACCTATGTATGAACGGGAAATTTTTTCTAAGATTCTTTTTTTTTTTTTTTTTTTTTTGTAACATCTGCTTATATTAGATCAAACGGTAAATGGAAAATACAAATATTTGACCAACCAAATGGGTGGTGTAACATAAACCATACAAGAAGTAGAAGAAGTATTAGAACTAAACTTAGCAAGAGCATCCGCAGCTTGATTTTTCTCCCTATTAACATAGTCCAATGAGCTCAGAGGAAGCTTATTAATCCAGTATCGGATGTCCCAAAGGATGTTCCCCAATTCCACATTCTGCTTTCCTTGGATATAGCAGACTTTGTAAGATTCTGTAATGAATATAGCAGACTTTTTTTTTTTGATATCACCACATGTACAAAATAGAAAGAAAGGCTGAAACTGTAACTTGACGTAAGTTTTACTTATCATCTTTGAAGATAAATCTACAAAATCCATCCGATTACAGAATCATAATGGGTTGATAATTTCCTGTGATCGTTTTTTCGTTATGTTTGTCTGCTTAAATTTGTTTTCTCCGGCAAACAAAATATTTTACATATTAAAAGAATTTACATAGTCGAAATATAATTAAACTGATAACCACCATAGGTCCATAGTTGATATAATTTTGTAGAATAAAAGATAGACTTGGGAGGTTTTTGTTTTGCGAGGATATGTGCTGAAATACTATTTGCTCTGTTGGAAGACACAATCGTTGTATATGTTTCTCCACTTAATGGATGATGTCAAAACAGATGTTTTTTACGCTAAAATCAAAAGATATTTGATACGCGGTACACACCTCCAAAAGGGTTAAAGACTTAAAGTTATGCCTATCGATGTTAATCCGCATAATGTGATCGGTTATCATCTCGAACAATCCAACCAGCGACAGATTCGTGGGTTTATATGATGACAAAACGATGATTTATGCAAAATAGTTTTGGGCTCTATTAGTATTTAGTTATTTACACAGAATTGTCCCAAAAACCCTAAAAATGCAAAGCAATGATTAAATATGGGCTTAAATTATGGATACGAGCCCAACAACTACGGGTCATTTGCTCTTTGCACAAATTGGTAAAGTCCAATCATTTACTAATAGTAGTAAATTAAACTTTTGACTTTAACCAATAAAGGGCAAGATATAAAAACTGAGCGAGGTTAAATTTATGGCACTAGTGTAAATAGTTATATTTTGGAGGGGTATATGTTTAGGATCGAAGATTATCTATTTTCAATTCTTATCTGCTGCAAGCCTGCAACGCTTTCCCTTAGGTTTTCTTTTGAAACATGATGATGGCTCTCAAATCAAGTGACGCCGATACGGCTGAAGGAGAAAGCTTCGATCTCGAGACGACGAAATCCACAGAATCCATGGAGGCATCTACTGATGAGGATACGGCCGAAGGAGAAAGCACTGATCTCGAGACGACGAAATCGACAGAATCCACGGAGGCATCTACTGAGGAGGGCTCTCCGACTCCGAAAAAACGCAAGATCGGCATGTCTGCGGATTACGGTTCAAGCGACGAGGAGGAAGAGGAGGTGGAGGAGGAAGAGGAGATGGAAGAGGAGGAGGAGGAGGAGAAGAAGAAGAAGGAAGACAGCTGCGAAAGCGACCAAGCATGGGGATTTGATAGCTTCGATGGTTCAGATTATGACCCAAATACAGACGAGGATGATGAAGATTTTGAATGGAATCGGTATTTTTGCCATGTTTACCACAGCCGGGTATGCTAATTTTCTCTTATCACAAATTCTATTTGTTATTCCAAATCTCCCTGAGAGTTTCTTAGCTAAATAGGGGTTGTTTATTTAGGGTTTCAAGGTGGATGAAGAAATCGTTCCCAAAGGATATAGTCTAGGATTAGGTCCATTCCATTTCGATGCTGAGTTTCTGCCCAATGTCAACCCACGTGAGTACATGGATGATATGGTGAAGTTGGCTCTTGATCAACTCAACCAGCGTAATGGAACCAATGTGACTTGTGACCACATCGTGAGGGTCATGGTGAAATGGTGCGCTGGACTCAAATCATACATAACGTTCATGGCTAGGGAGTCTCCTCAAGGGGATCTCATCGAGTATCAAGCTAAGACTCAGTGGAAGGTGTGGCAGAAAAATGCTCATGCCATCCTCTGTAGACCAGCTCCTCCAATGAAGCCTATTCCAGAGAGATATTTGCAAAAGGTGTGAAACTTTCTCTTCCTTCTCTTGTTTAGTTTCCTCTTCTTTCTCTTCATAAGTAGATATGTTGTGTTTATGGCAAGATTTTATTTTCATTCTCATGAATTGTGTGCGTGCATCAACTGAAATTGTCATGGTTTATTAAACTTAATACGAAAGGCATTTGAAACAAGTAAATATGCAATTGAAGATAATTGAATCCGACTCTACTACCTTTAATATCTATTGGCTTGAGCCATTCTGTGGATGAAACAAGATCGAAGGTATGCTTTCCTCAATGAAATGTGTGTGTTTCCAAATTTTCTGTTGCAGATGAGCGAAGCTGCTGAGCTTGCTGCGCTTGCTGCTGCCAAGATTCGACAAACTGAATGGTCTTAAAAAGGAACCTCCTCCTATGAAGTCTATTTAATTATAATTATGAGAACTGAACTTTACATGTTAATGTAAGGTTTGCAGTGTATTAGTTTCTTGATTTCTTCTATAAGACCTATAATGTACTTGTTAGCACTGGATGTGTATTTGGTAGTTGCTCAAAAGTTATGAGTGGATAAGAGTCGTCTGGTTGTGAAGGTGATAAAAATAAAGACTTGCAACTGAAAGCTGAACGCTTAGTCTCAACCAACAGGTCGATGAATTTACACCACCAGAAAAGAAAAGAGTAGACGAATTAAGGTATCAAGTTTTAACAATGACAAGTAATAAAAAAAGCCAACAAAATCCAAAATAGACTCCGAGAGCTGAAGATGCAGCATCGATCCCTGGAAAAACTGGAAGCTGATATTTGTGTTTCTAACACGGGTGAATAAGCATGAAGTTTGACTTATCATCTATGATGATTCGTCCATAACCCTGCACACCCCAATCTTTCCCCAGCTATTTTGAACAAGGAAGAACATCTCTCCTTCTTTCGTATATCCGTATCCCACGATCAAAAGCATGTGCCTCTCTCTTCGAGCTTTTTCTGAAGTCATCGACTCTCCCCGTACGGTGTAGATACCCTGAATTCGATGGATAAAAACACAAGTTTTAGTATTAATTAAGTCGGTTTATTATACGGTATATATTACTTTGTCTATGTAATGAATCGTCTACTAACCTTAGCGAGCCGATAAAATCCGGGACATAGCTCAAAAACTATCCCGACAGGCGACGCATCAACCATTGTTTTGACAAAGTCGACTGGAGCATTTATCACTGTTGTAAATTCCCCCGTTTCCTTATTCCCAATTTTGCTTCCTGCCTTAGAGACGATAACTTTTTCCATGTTGGAACAAATATTTGCAAGAAAAAAAAGTAGGAACCAACTCGTATAATCATGAACAATACCTTAGTTCGTCCTGAAACTTTCTTCTTGAGGAACCCTACGTTCTTCATGTGCTTCAGAGCATCTTTAATGTTCCCGATTGCCAAATACGGTTTCGGTTTCTTGGCTTTTTTATCGAATTTGAGATGCTGAACCAAGTCTTCGTAAAGAAAGTCTTTTGGGTGCTGATGATTGATGTTGTACACTGCCTGATGGAGTCTAGTCAGCCCAATTGCCCAGCATTCTTCTACAAAAAAAAATAAATAACGGATTTACCATAATCAGTTTCGGTGATATACCCATTATAATAAACAAGATATAAATTAATGTTGGATCTTATCAAGTTAATCTTTTTCTTGTTCTGCTTCTATAATGTAATTAGGCTAATGATAGTTTATATATACCGCCCGTTTGCTTGATGACTTCGCCAATTATCGAGTCCCTTAACCTCCAATCTTTGGCTATTACGGAGCCATCTCCGAATTCCTAAAAGAAAAGTTAACAATGGGAGGGAGTATTTAGCCAAGAATCGATCAAATACTTGTGATGAACAAACAACCTCGGAGAAGAAAAGCAAAAAGACCAGATTTTTGCAAATATACCCCTCCAGGATCTTCGACAGGCTCTCCGATTTGGTTTCCTGCGGCTTGAGCATCTCTGCGATCCCTATGGCTGGGTTTGGCTCCGATCGATGGCAAGTCTTTTCCCATTTCTGAAACAAAGGAAACGTTTTCTCAGCCAAAGAACAACCTTTCTCTCCTTCCCGGAGGAAACCAGAAAGAAGAACAAGAAAATGCAAAGATTTATAACTGAGAAGCACGAAATAAGCTTTTAGCAAAAAAAACAACAACCTTTCTCTCCTTCCCGGAGGAAACGAGAAAGAAGAAGAACAAATCGAAAAGATTTATAACACTGAGAAGCACAAAATAAGCTTTACTCGGCAAAAACACAACCTTTTTCCTCCAGTAGTAAACCAGGGAAAAGAGGAAGAAGATGACAATTGGTACGGAAACGCAAACAGAAAAGAACGTTGGGATTATAAGGAAAACTGTTTCCTGCTAAATCAAATCTTTTCGTGGGCCCTACTACTTGATGATCAATTCACAGATGGTCACGTGATCACCCTAGTACTCAAGTGATAAAGAGTCCAAATTGATTGTTAAGGTGAATAGTTAGTTATTGGTCATATACTATGTTTGCTAAATGTTGTGCCCTTTAACCTTGTTCTGGATAATCTATCTACACGCGTCAAACAAGTTACCAGATACATACAAACTTTATGTTTAGTGCAATACAATAATTTTTCACCCAACCCAAAAAATAACCCATGTCCCTTTTTGTGCATTTTAGTGCTTGAAACTAGGCATGCGACTTCGGTTTAACCGAACCGAACCGACCGGTAATTTCGGTTTCTCGGTTATTTCGGAATCTAAAAATCCTACCGAAACTAACCGAAATAAATTTCGGTTCGGTTCGGTTCGGTAGTCGGTTATTTCGGAAATTTAAAATCTTACCGAAGTTAACCGAACTTTTATAATTTTAATTAAAAATCGATTTAAATTTAATTCACTTCGGTTAAATTGGTTTAGTTTGGTTATGCGGTTCTTATTAATTAAAACAAAAAATCAAAACTGCAACATTTCCAAATTCGGCGAGACTCCACAACCAGATCTGTATAGATCGAAATCAACAATCACCGACAAATCTTACAGCCCTCTTACCATTTTGAGATTAAGAAGAAAAGCAATGGAAGAGGAAAAGAAGAGAAGAAGAAGAGGAGAAGAAGAGAGAAGAATCGAAGAAGAAGAGGAGAAGAAGATAATCAGAAGAAGGGAAGAAGAATCGAAGAAGAAGAGGAGAAGAAAAAACGAATCTAAGACCCAGGAAAAAAGAATTGAAGAAAGATTAAAGATGCGGGGGCAGCCATGTTAAATAGTTAGGGTTTTGGTATTTTTCGGTTAACCGTTCGGTTCACTTGAACCGAACCGAACAAACCGATAACCGAACATAAATATTAATTTTACCGATCGGTTATCTTCTAATAACTGAATCATAACCGAATTGCCCAAACTTCGGTTCGGTTCGGTTCGGTAAACTCGGTTCGGTTTTAATTCGCAGGCCTACTTGAAACCATTAGAAAGAACGTCAGTTCATTACATAAATTCGAAAACAGAAAATTCTTCTACTTAAAAAATTATGTTAAATCTTTAATTCATTGTAAAATCAAATGATACTATAATTTTAACCGTACGTTTATAGTATACTATAATTTTTTTTATACGTTTATAGTATAAAAAAAATAAAATAAACACCAAGTTAAAAGGAGCCAATTATTTTTCATATACGAAAAGGAATTAAACATAAGCTATCGGTCACAAAAACCAAATGAATATAAATATACTATTTATATGCACATCCTTCCATTTTGGTGCAACCTATACAAACCGAGAAAGAGACACCATGTTTAATATACAGACAAAAATAGACATGAATACTAAAACAGAAGAAATGGGCTTATATGCGTGACACTCGTATATTCTTTTTTTTTGTCGTTTCTAATCTGTATACTATATTTTATTTTACATGTATATCTCACAATAATAGGAGACAACATTATCAGTTTATCACTAGCTGGAAGTTTGGAACCCTAATCCTATAAGGTTTCAGGCCCATGAAATAATTAATCATTAAGTGCCCCCTGTTTCAGATTACCATTGTTTGAATTTTGTATCTACTTAAAAAGTTTCAATGCAATAGTCTGAATTTTGTGGGTTTATTCTTTATAGTTTCAATTCAAAGTATAGGTTTTTCTTTTCAATTCCGTATTTACTTGAAAAGTTTGAAGTATTCCTGTTTTCTTTACGGCAAAGTATTATGTCAAATATTAGAAAGAAGTTACAATACAAAAGATCTGATAGCCACAAAGGTGGGTTCAGTCTAAAAGAATAGAAAACAGAATTACATGGTTCCTTTGAAGCTAAAATATGTGCTTAAAAAGTCACTATTTTGAATTTTGAAGGTCCTTGGCCTTTTCCTATTTTCTGATTAAAGGTTATTTCCCCACTTCCCATGCATACACATGCTATTATGCTAACTCGTGTAACACACACTACGGGTTGGATAAAACCATGGTGATCTGACAAAGGTTTTTTTCCCTAGCTAGTTCGGGTTGGATTAGGACAGGTCTGGTTTACTCTTTCTTAATTCTATCGTCTGGTTTACTCTAATTTAACCAGTTTGACAAAACGAGATGGCACTATTGTATTAGTAGGGGGGAAAAACATAAAAGGGTTCATGGATTCCCTTGCAAGCAGCGAGACCGAGGTGACGCAAATCATGGATCTCTCGTTGCCTCTTGGAAAACGCATAGCCGAAACGCTTTCACCAGCGGATCCTGTTGACGACGAGGAAGGAAGCGGGAAAGAGGACAATGAAGAGAAGGGAAGCAGTGAAAGCGACCAAGTTTGGGGTGTCGATAGTTTCGACGAATCAGACTACTCGTCTCCTGACGAGGAGCCTGAGGATGAGGATGATCTTCAGTTGCGTCGCTATTTGCGCCATGTCTACGCGAGCCGTGTAGGTTGATTTCTGTAATGCTTTACACTTAGAGATCTGATTTATCGTCCTCTTATTTATTATCTTGTTTGTTCTCGACAAAGAGATGGTTCCTAAGGATCTCTTTCAAGGGTTTCGCCGTCTGACTCTGGAGCGCATTCTCGTAAAACCCAATATCACGGGGCGTGAGTATATGGAGAATATGGTGCAAGTGGCTATTGACAAATACAACCAAGAGGAGGTTAGTATCAACACCGCGCGGCTGATTACTATGTAAATGACTAAATCAAATTCAGACAATTTTATTTTTAATTGTAGAATGCAAGACGGTGGTGCCTGACCATATTGTGAGAGTCGTCGTGCGAATGAGCACTGGAGTCAAAGCTTATATTACTTTCATGGCTAAGGAGTCTCCTGAAGGAGAGCTTGTAGAGTATCAAGCAAAGACTGAGAAGGTGTGGCAGAAAACCATCCATGCCATCCTTTGCAGACCAGCTCCCTAAAGATTAGGCTGAGATATTTCATTGACTTCTTGTTTGATTTCCTTTTCCTAATTTGATATTCCCTCTCGATTCTCGAATGAATAGTCGTCCATAGGTTTTTATTCGCTGGTTGATGTTGTAGAGAATCAAGAGAATATATAATATCATATAATGATATGTTTATAATTGTGAGTATTATTATTGAGATATGTATATATCTAGTTTAGGTAATTAGGTTTAATGTTAATATCTTTACCTCTCTATATAAGCTGTATGTCCATCACCATTAGTGAATATACAATTCTTCCATTACAAACCTCTCATCATATTTACAGATGTTATATGGTCTGGTTTTTTTGTTTTTTTATTAGAGATAAATATGTACAGTTTACTATAGATTTAATATCTGTCTTCACTTTTCTCTTTGGTTATCTTTCAAAAATGAAAATTAATACTATGATTCAACTTGGAGTATAGTTTAAAAAGACAACTAAGAAAATTTGACGGGTGGCAGTATTGTAAATTAACCACGTGATAACTTATTTATGTGAAAGATATTTTTATTCACTCTTGTCTAACTTTAGGGCTTTCGCATTGTCCTTCACTTGAAAAAATATGGCTACGAAGTCCGCTGAAGGAGAAACCACCGAGCGAGAGACAACGGAATTCATTGATTTATCCACCGAGATCTTGGCGCCGGCAGATTCTACTGCAAACGAGGACGAGGAGGAGGAAGAAGAAGAAGAAGAAGTAGATAGCTGCGAAAGCGATCAAGAATGGGATGTGGATAGCTTCAAAGATGAAGACTTCCATTCGTCGGATTTAAGCGATGATGAGGATTTGCGTCGATACGTGCGCCAATGTTACAAAAGCGAGGTAATTTGGGTAATCAGTGTCTATTGGATCTCTTGAGATGATTTTGTAATTTCTTTATATTGTAGCTTGAGGCAAAGCCTAAACCTTTTGTGTTCATTATCATTACTCAGGGTTTCGATGTGCCTCTAGAGTACCTACCGAGAAGGTCGACCCGTATTTACAGCGGATTTAATCCGGTTGATCTTGGTGATTTTTTCAAAGCACCCTACAGTACAGGGCGTGAGTACATGGAGACTGTGTTGAAAGTGGTCATTGAGAAATACAATGAAGATAAGGCTAGTAGTTTCTACACCTTAATTACTTCTGGATTCGCTTTGTCTAAACAAAAACTATCATCTGAAAAGTTATATGGTCTTGTATACAGAAGAAGAATTTGGTGCTGGACCATATCGTGAGGGCCGTTGTGAAGATGGGCGTTGGGGTCAAATCTTACATAACATTTATGGCTAGAGAATCCCCCGATGGAGAGCTCGTGGAATACCAAGGCAAAGCTGAATGGAAAGTGTGGCAGAGAAACATCCATCCCCTCCTCTGTAGACCAGCCTCTGAGCAGAAGATTAATTGTGCAAATCTATAGAATTAGAATTAAAGTCAAGACTTATGATTCGACCGACGAAAATCAAACGAAGCCAGCGGAGAGACTGATAGTGAGCGCATATTATTCTTCAAAGTTTAAACCCCAAGTTTAAACCGATTAACAATATCTCTCGTATTAAAACTTTTTCTCGTGTGAAATTTACCTCACATTTTGTTCGGGTGTTTTCCTTTAAGGTGTTGTAAATTTGACCCATGGGTGATGTTATATGTTTCTAAATAAATTCTGGTTGATGTTATATCATCACTTTTCAGTTTCAGCTGCGGGTAAATCATCCTTTCTCATTTCCTGGAAAGAAAAAAAAAAGTTTCATGTAGACAAGTGGATTAGATTAGTAATGTAGAAAAGGAAAAATAATAAGAGAAATACTATGAAGAAACGACGGTCGCTATTCAAGTCAACGAATTTTTTGCATCTAAAAACATGCATAAAGGTAAAGGTTTGCATACGAACAGTGAGTGAGATTGCTCTTTTTGTTGGATAAAACAGATTATTCGAAATAAATTGAGATGTGAAACAAATAGAAGCTGAAACTTTCCCCTTTTTGAATATGGGTGTAAGATCTACAATAAAAGGTTGGATCTTTAAACCAGAAAAGGTAGAATCTTTAACGGAAAAAAAACAAAAGGGATCATTCAGACAAACTTTAAAGTAACAAAAAGTCCATAAACCTTGGAAAGTTTAAGAGAATGAAAGCCGAAAAATACTTCGTTTTGTTTGAGCATTTGAAATCGAAATAACCCAACCTCCTCTAGTTTGACATTTTCTAGACGGTGGAGTAAAACAGTTGCTTCGAAATAAATAGAGCCAAATGTGAGATACGAAACAAATAGAAGCTGAAACTTTCCCCTTTTTGAATATGGGTGTAAGATCTACAGTAAAATTGATCCCTCTAGAAAAGTTTGGATCTTTAAACCAAAAAGGGTAAGATCTTCAACGGAAAACCAAAAAAAAATGATCATTTATTCAGATAGACTTTAGAGTAACCATAAACCTTGAAAAGTTTAAGACAATGAAAGCTGGAAAAAGACTTCATTTTGTTTGAGCATCTGAAAAAAAAAAAAAAATCAAGCTCCTCTAGTTTGACATTTTGTAGACGGTGAAGGTATCACTAAACTTGAATGAGAGAAAATATGAAGATAGTGTAAACCTGAGCCTAAAAAAATCATTCTTTTCTTGTTGAATTTTCAAACAACCTCCTAAAGGGTTTCCTTCTGCTATGACAGTAAAGATGGAAGAGAGGAGAAAGTGTGCTTTTTGTGCACAAAAAAAAAGGAAACCCCTTTCTCTGATGGCCTAGTTTCTAGAATTAGTAAAGAAAGTTTAGTAAACCATAAACGCTAAAAAAATAAAACTCATTCTTTTTGTTTACACGAAATATTCAAAGAAAGGAAAGATGGAGGAGAAAGAACAATAGATGTAAATGTGGTTCTTTTATCCTCTTGAGTCAGGTTCGACCCTTCGATTAAAAATATACTCGAGTCAGGTTCGAACATTTGTTATTACGACCTGATTCACTAAAATGTTGTGTTTTGTTTCTACTCAATGCAGATTGTGGATGTGGAGCCTGCTATTGACTGATTAAGAAGCCGAGTGATGTGTGTTTTTCTTTCAAAAAAGTTGTTATTATTATCTTTATAAACCCATATTCATATACTAATCTAGTCGATAACCAACTTATTTAAAAGCGACCTCTTATTATGTTGAACTCTACCAAACCAAATTACTGTATGTGGTTTATTATTCATTTATTATGGGTCATTCATCTTTGTCTTTCAAAGCTCGAAAGACCTCTTATTTTGTTGAATTCTTCTTAATCAAGATGTCATTTTCGATTTTAATATGTTTTACTCTCAAGAGTATATTTTTAATCGAAGGAAGATACACAACAACTCTTATTAATTAATAATTTTTAAAAATTATTTTGAAGAGCAAAAGCTCTAGGAAACAGCGACCAATAAAGACAACACATTTTAAGGTTTAACATTTGGCCAACATCTAAAGACATTATAAATTCCGAAAACATTATCCTAAAGACACATATAAGAGAAAGAAATCAAAGCGACACTATGAATAGTTTAGCATATAGCCAAAATTGAAAGGATATCCTAAATCCTCAAAACAGTTCGGAAAAAATCTCAAAATAAAGAAAGAAATCAAAACAACATTTATGGATAGATCACATTAGCTCATGGGTTTTCACCGATGAATATCCTTCTGTAACCCTTCATTCCCCACTTCTTTCCCAGTTGTTCTGGACGAGTAAAAACAACTTATTGTCCTTGGTGTACCCATATCCCACATCCAGAACCATGAGAGATTTTGTTTTCTCCCCCTCTTATGTTCTTCACCTCATAGATGTCCTGAAATTTGAATGTTAAAGAGTTAATCATTAGTTGAGAGATATCATTTGTTTATTAAATAATGCCATTTTTTGTGTGGTACTCACATTCTTTAACTCATGAAGTTTCTGATCTACGTTGAAGCTTATCGCAACAGGTGTTACATTCAACAAGGGGTTATAAGAAGTGATTAAATACCTAAAACTTTTCAAAAATACCCTAAATAATACTCAGATTTTCCAAAAAAAAATGGACATAGTGCACTGAAAATGTGCACCACTAGCACTTGCCTATATCTAGACTAGTTATAGATAACCAACAACTCTTAATTCATAACTTTAAATTTACTTTGAGGAGCAAACACATTTTAACATACCATGTTTATATATTATTCTTAAATAATGTACATCCACGTCATTAAATCTACCGTCTCTAGATATGAAACTATAGTCTCCAAATTCCTTGTAATAAAAGGAGAGATAGATAAATCATGATTCCAACTCCTTTCTCGTCGGTCTGAGCCGGAGAAGATCAACTAACATGTCTTTCTTTCCCAATTCTCTTTAGCTTTATGCTTCAACTCATTTGTTTTTTATTTTCATTTAGTACCAGCAGAAATTCTCTTCTTTACAGAACTATAACTTTTTGATCGTCCTATTAATGGGCTTTGTACATAAATGTGTCTTAACGGGCCATTTCCTTTTTATCATTGAAAAAAGAAGAAGAAAGAAAACTGACCGTTTCTGGATCCTGGTATCAGTGGTATGTACTGGTTTAACTTTCGAACCGGAATATTTCTGGTTAAAATAACAGGAAACAAAAATTGGTCGCGGTTAGATTTCTTTTATCGGTTTATCAAAGAAAGAATCTGAAATCGATTCAATTTTTCTTTTCCTCTTTCTCGTTTCGATTTGGTTTGTTGGGTTCAAGGACGGGTTAACCATGAACCTAACCCAACGTCCCAACTCCCAACAGTTTGATAGCAAACATGCCACAGTTACAAAAACAAATTCAACAATTTCAAGAAAGTAATGATAATAACGATTCATAAGCATCTCTGTTATATGGTCAAGGAAAAAAAGGTACATATACATTGCTAATTGTTACATTAACAAGAGGTTAAACAAGAAGCAAAAGACCAAAGATTTTCATATAATCGTCAAATTCCCAGGCAAAAAAAGCCCTAAATCAAACTCAAAATCCCTAAATCGAATCGAAATCCTTTCTAATAAGAAGAAAATAACCCAAGACAGCACAAATCGCAGCAACAGCATTGCCTTCTTTTAGAAGAACCTTAAACACGAATCCAAACACTTCTCTTGTGATCTTACGAGCTTCAACAACCAAATCTCTTCTCGATTTCCCAAAAAACGCAAGCAACACAACCACCGCAATCCAAATCACCATAACCGCCGGAACCGCAACAGCCGCCGCCGCAACCATCGACATCACTCCGAAAACCGCTCCTAACACAACAGACGCGTAAACCGCCGGTAATCGCGACGGCGACGGCGACGAAGTGTACTGGATTTTGTACCAGCTAAGTACAGATGTCAGAAAGTTCCACGAGGAAGACAGGAGAATGGCGTAGACAGCGACAAAGAGACAGACCCATGTCCGTCTCTTGCTCATGATTCGCATAAAGATAAGGTACGATCTTGGAGGAGATAACGAAGACGAGCTCGATCCTGCTCTTGGAGATTCAGACGGATCCACCATTTGGAGATCTGATCGAGAATTTTCTTTGGGTGATTTTTCCTGAGTTGGAAATTGAAATCTCCGTGATTTGGGATTTGTACGAAGCTGAAGAGAGAAGACGGAGAAGACAGAAAATTGGTGAAAGTCTTGAGATATGGGGGAAATAGAATAGTCCACGTGAGCCCCACTCTCATATTGAAGCGCGTGCTGTCGAGCCGTCGCTTTTGAGGCCTTGTAGTGATTTACACGCGCTTTTATGTCGTTTATTTCCTTTTTTATTTTCCCCGAGAGAAACCAGACATGGAAACTGGGAACAAGTGAAAAAACATACATACATGGAAACTGCATGAACTTGGAAGCAAACAAGAAAAATGCGATTTGTCTTTCTTTTATAAAATGTGATTTGGCTTAAATCTATTAGTTATCTTAGCCGAACAAAAGGAAAAAAATCATATAACCTTTAATCAATGATAATTATATAATTACTTATGGTAGGTCTTACCAAATAAACTAAAACACTAGCCATATAAGTTGAGAATCTGTGATCGTGTCTTTAAACATGGAAATCTATATATATTTTATTGTATATATGGTAAACCATCTTCCAAGTAATTGGAAACTTGGACAAAATCCCGGAAGAAAAAGAAATGTAAACAGTATTTGGTAATCTATATTGCATTTGAGAAGGAGAACAATACTATATCAATTACAATGTCTCATAAGTGTCCTTTCTTTCATGCATAATTACATTTTTGTTTTGTTTACATGGTTTAGAAAAGGAAGCAAATTAGTTGTCACGACATGTACTCAATAGTCCTAAATTTGTAGTTTGAACTCCAACATGTATTGATAACAATGCTCCACCACAAGTCAATAGATGTTGACATCTTAGTAGCCAAGACATATATGTATCGAGGAAGAATCAACGAATTTTTAGCAAATTAATTTAAATGAGTATTTCACTAAAGCAAATGTTAGTAACTGTATCAAAAGAAAGCAAGTAAACGAATATTTTTTTCCCTAAAGACATCTTGTGAGCCAAGTAAATTTTAAGCAACACACATACACACGCAAACAAGCGTGTACATATGTATTTGGCAACTTGATAGCTATCTCAGTCAAACAATATCTTCCAATCACAATTCTGATCTTTTTGAATTCGTGATTCGTCTCCTATCACGTTTCTTCATTGTTTCAAACTTTAAATATTCTCAATGTCGGATAAAGTTCCAGTTAGTTCCAAGCATAATATTATTATTAATAATAACGAACTATTCTGATAACTTGTGAGTTTTCTAGGCATGACTTGCGGTTCAACAAACGATATGATATAGTCGAGGCAATTTTAACAAAATACAGGTAGTCGTACAAGTCATTCTTCTAGCGGGACCAAGACTTTGTTTGACTTAAAAAAGGAATTTGATTTTTTCACTCACTCGTCTAAATTCAAGTAATTTTATGTAGCATTTTTTCCCTCAGATATATGGAAGTTTGATTACAGTTGCACCCTCTCTAATCATTAAGGATTCCATGTAAATTTAAAAAATGAAATACATATCATTTTACTTAATCTTATTTGATAGAAAAAATTGAAATATTTTAGAAAACGACAAAAGAAAAATTCGAGGATTGAGAGAGGAAAAATCAAATCCATCTTCGGTCGACAAAGGGCGGCTAAGTTAGTTATTGACATTCAACTATTATTAAATGTGTTATACTCATTACTAATTCAATTTCTTATATCACTGATGTGAATGAGTGTACGTATGCGTTTATTCAGTCAAATCTGCAACACCAACGAGATATTTTGTATACATTTGATCTTCGCACTCTCTTGATTCGATTCAACGCTCAAACTAAGTCAATCATCGTCAATTGCTCAGGCTGAATTCCGGCGAAAGTCTCGAGTTTTCCGGTTCGAATCACCCTGATCTCTGTTTTATCTCTTGTGCGAATCTCACAGTGTGTGGTCTTCCGAAAAAAAAGAAGAAAGAGCCAACCTTTTGTTCGATTTCGTGAGTTGAGCTTTTCTCGAATGAGCCGTTGAAGTTGTGGCTGTGTGTTTGCTTCATTAGAGGGGATTGAAATTAGGGTTTTGCTTGTTAGTTTTTCAGTGAAGTAGAGAATGGATTGGATTGTTTGGGTATTATCATAGATTCTCGTTACGATGGGTTGCGTAAGTTCTAGGCATAATAGGCTTTTCAGGAGAAAGTCGGCACTGAAAGAAGAATCATCATCGGAGAAACGTTCCTCGCGGATTGATTCGTCGAGGATTGATGATTGGATCCAACCGGAAATTGGGTTCGATAGATCAAGTAGCAGGGGAGACGCCAAAGTTAGGCTGATTGAATCCGAATCCGAAATGTTTAGTTCCGGTAGGTTTTATGCTCATCAGATTGGGAAGATGCTGGAGAATCCTGAGATAGCTCATCATGATCAGGAATCGAGAAGAAGGCCCGGTTTGGAGATTGATCCAAATGTGGTTGTAAAACCGAGGCTAGATAGATGGAATAGCAGAGATTCCAAAGTTGGGTTGATTGAATCTGAAAAGTTGAGTTCCGGAAGGTTATCTGATCATCATCAGATTGAGAAGGAGCCAGAGAAGCCTGAGTTTGAAGATTCGGTTCCTCGGGAAATGAGGAAGAAGAAGACGAGTGTTGTTGTTACAAAGGACACAGAGTTGAAGCAAATTGTAGCAGGATGGCCAATTTGGTTAGTCTCTGTTGCTGGTGAGGCATTAGTAGATTGGGCTCCACGCCGAGCAAATACCTTTGAGAAACTCGAAAAAGTAACTTCCTTTTCTTTAGTTTTGGCTAAGGCATTAGACTATTTTTGTTAACAGAAGTCGTGGTGGATGCAGATCGGTCAAGGAACATATAGCAGCGTCTACAGAGCTCGTGATCTTCTTCACAACAAGATTGTTGCGTTGAAGAAAGTCCGGTTTGATCTCAACGATGTAGAAAGCGTCAAGTTCATGGCAAGAGAGATCATTGTGATGCGACGCCTTGACCATCCTAACGTCTTGAAGTTGGAAGGATTGATCACTGCTCCTGTTTCGTCGTCCCTCTACTTAGTTTTCGAGTACATGGATCATGATCTCTTTGGACTTTCTTCTCTCCCTGGTGTCAACTTCTCAGAGCCTCAGGTAAAGTGCACATAAATGCCCTTTTTATGGTTTAGAAACTGTTGGTCTTTCTCGCTTCAAAATCGGTTTCTGTTGGTTAGGTTAAGTGTTACATGAGACAACTTCTAAGTGGGCTTGAACATTGTCACAGCCGTGGTGTTCTTCATCGGGATATAAAGGGCTCAAATCTACTCATCGACAGTAATGGAGTCTTGAAGATAGCTGATTTTGGGTTAGCCACGTTTTACGACCCTGCAAAGACTGTTCCATTGACTAGCCGTGTTGTCACGCTTTGGTACCGACCACCAGAGCTTTTGCTCGGAGCCTCTCATTACGGTGTTGGGGTTGATCTATGGAGCACTGGTTGCATCTTAGCTGAGTTATACGCCGGTAAACCCATCCTACCTGGAAAAACAGAGGTATGCATACACACATTCTTATAGCTTTCATTCCTTCCAAGTTTCAGGTTTGTTTTACTCAAAAATGTAGCAACTTGAATCTTTCTAGGTAGAACAATTGCACAAAATCTTCAAGCTATGCGGTTCACCAACAGAGAATTACTGGAGAAAACAGAAGTTACCATCTTCAGCTGGATTCAAAACAGCGATTCCTTATAGACGAAAGTTGTCTGAGATGTTTAAGGACTTTCCCGCCAGTGTTCTTTCGCTTTTAGAGACTTTACTCTCCATAGATCCTGATCAACGGAGCTCTGCCGATAGTGCCCTTGAGAGTGAGGTAAAGTTGTTCTTGATGTTTTTACTCTGTTCTTGGAAGCTTCGTTACTCACAACACTCTTTTTATGTGTGTTTTTTTCGTGTCAGTATTTCAAAACCAAGCCGTTTGCTTGTGATCCATCTTATCTACCAAAATATCCTCCAAGTAAAGAGATTGATGCCAAAATGCGCGATGAAGCCAAAAGGCAACGACCCAAACCAGAAAGGCAAGACTCACAGGCGAGAAGATCACACGACAGGAAATTTGTCCCACCGATCAAAGGCAATCACTCTCTATCAATGACAATGGAGGTAAGTAAATTGTAAAAGTTCCTAACTCTCAAGGTCACAAATGATCCAATGTAAAGGTCTTAACTTCAAAGCAAATCACTCTTGTGGCCAAAATGCAGAAACAATACCTAGATTTGAAGAGCAGAAACGATAGCTTCAAGTCGTTTAAAGAGGAGAGGACTTCTCATGGCCCAGTTCCTGATTATCTAAATATGCACACCAGAAACATTCAAACTGGTGGCAGAGTTTCACATTCAGGTCCATTGATGAGCAACCAGAATATGGCTAGGTCCACAATGTATGTGAAGGAGAACGCACCTCCTCCCAGATACCCTCCATCTAGAGTGAACCCCAAGTTGTTATCAGGATCGTTCTCCTCCAAAACATTATTGGATCAACCAGTCATGAATCAAAGAAGAAGGGATCGACGAGCATACAATAGAGCTGATACAATGGATAGTAGACACATGACAACACCAATTGACCCATCTTGGGTTAGTTAATCATCTCTGTTTTGTTTTTTCTCAATTTGCAGCAGTTGGGTGGGTCTTCTTACAAACGTTGTTGTGTTTCTCTGTGTACAGTATAATCCTAGTGATAGCAAGATATACATGTCTGGACCATTGTTGCCTCAGCCAAGGAAAGTGGACCAGATGCTTGAAGAACACGACAGGCAGATTCAGGAACTCAATAGACAAGCACAGAAGAAACGAGAAGGCAAAACTGGGAAATGATAGTGCAAATCATGGATCCGTTCCGTATGGAGGAGAAGAGTTGCTCAAAGGAAAAACAGAACAATTTGAGTCTGATTTGCCATATGAATATGGTGGTAATACGATCTCATAATCGTTTGTCCGTATGGCTAAGACACGATTGTGTGATTAGAGTAACGTATTTAGGTGTCATTATAAAGTTCTCTGTACATAATATACATATCGAAAATTTCTCAATTACATACACACTCTATTCTGAAATAAGTAGCCTATTTGTGGTCTTTAAGTGTCATTAAAGAGTTCTATGTGTACATGGTTTAGTGATTTACATCTGCAATGAGATAATGATTCTTGTACAATCCCAATATCACCATTATGCAGATTAATTGTTCTTGCAGTCTGGTTTACTGGTGATACTCGGATTATATAGAAATAATTATCTCAATAAATCATTAAGATTTCTCTTTATCTCAGTCCATTCTCAGTAACTCGAGTATACAAAAAACAATACCTCCAATAAACAACCAAAATTTTGTAGGATCCTTTAGATCAGAAAACAAAGGACTGAGAGAGATAGGATTGCAATTTGCAAATAAACTGGAGATCAGATTACGGAGTCTTTCTCATACACAGCAAACTGTGTCAGAAGGTGTCCTAAGATATTTCTGATTTCTCATCATTTCTCCAGTATACGGATGTTCAAAGACAAAAAAAACACAATTGAATTGATACTGAATCAAAAACGTCACAGCTTTTGGCGTCAGAACAAAAATTCTACAAACCAGTAAACCAAGCAAACGTTCAAAATTTTCAGGGAAAATTAGAAAACTGGTATGATTAGAAAGAACGTAGCGAGTTGAAATTTTATCGATCATATGAATCAAAAGATAAATCACAGATCTACAACTTTCATCACATTCTTCACACAAAAAGTTAAGAAAATCAAACAATTCACCGGAAAAAAGCTAAAACTAGACAGAACAAAGAAAACAAAATCGTAGAACATGAATTGAAGGTTGGCGTTATTTGTTTTACCCGGCGATATTGTGTAGAGATTTAAATATATATAGGAGATGAACAAGGAGCCCTAAACCTAAAAGCATGTTAGAACACAAAGTACAATTTGGGCTTCGTTTGGTCCGAATTAGCCTGTTTTCGAAACGATTCGGCCCACTTTAGTGAAACCGTTTCGGATTTTAAGTGCGTTAATTTCTCCTTTAAGCCTCTTATTTTCCAATAATTCGAATAACAGTAAGAAAGTTTTCAAATTTCCAAAAAATTACAACTTTCTTTCGACTACTCGAAGAACGCGATCGATTAGCGATGTCGTTGTTACGCACCTTCAAGGCCTTGAAGCCTTGTAGTAATCTGTCTTCATCATCATCGACCCAAGAATCGGAACCGCCGAGAAAACCTCCCAAATCGTCTCTCTCGCAGCAGCTACTGCGTCTCGACGATTCATACTTCTTCTCCTCGAAGCACGAATCTAAAATCTCCATAACCCAGGTCGAAGATTCTAATCGTGGCGAAGATGATCACAAAAGAAGTATCAAGTTTGATGCGGAGGAGAAAGAAGAAGAAGAAGAAGATGAGACATCGATTGAATTCGGGAGACCCGGTTTAAACCGAGCCGAATTTGACTATACCGGTCCTTTTGAACCACTTGTGCTGTCATTAAACGGAGAAACTCCGATCATACAGGTTATCCCCAATACTTCAACCTCTGTTTTCTGACGAAAGTCTTAACCTTTGCTCATTTCTTAACCCAAGTTCTAATTGTTTTTCTCGAATTCATGGTTCGTTGTGATTTGGTGAAGGTACCAGCTTCTATCAATTGTAGATTGCTCGAACATCAGCGAGAGGGAGTAAAGTTTCTCTATAATCTGTATACAAGCAATCATGGCGGCATTCTCGGCGATGACATGTGAGTTCTTCTCTGTTTATGTTTGATGGTTTACGTTTGATGAAAATGGAACCCTGATAATAAGTAGTGACGCAGGGGATTAGGCAAGACGATTCAGACAATTGCATTTCTTGCTGGAGTTTATAGAAAAGAGAGTGACGCTGGTGATGCGTCTGCTTTGGAGTCTAAAAAGGGTCCTGTGCTAATAATCTGTCCGTCTTCGGTTATCCACAACTGGGAGAGTGAGTTTTCTCGATGGGCTAGCTTCTTCAAGGTCTCTGTGTACCACGGAGCAAACAGAGATATGATTCTGGAGAAACTCAATGCGCGAGGTGTCGAGGTACTTGTAACCAGCTTTGACACGTTTAGAATCCAAGGCCCCGTTTTGTCCGGGATCAACTGGGAGATAGTGATTGCTGATGAGGCTCACCGGTTAAAGAACGAAAAATCAAAACTTTACGAAGCGTGCCTTGCCATCAAGACGAGGAAGAGAATCGGTCTCACCGGTACAGTGATGCAGAACAAGATCGGCGAGCTGTTCAACCTTTTCGAGTGGGTGGCGCCGGGATCGTTAGGCACTCGCGAGCATTTCCGAGAGTTCTACGATGAGCCGCTGAAGCAAGGGCAGAGAGCAGCTGCTCCGGAGAGATTTGTGAAGATCGCAGATAAGAGGAAACAGCATTTGGTCACTGTTCTGCGTAAGTATATGCTGAGGAGGACAAAGGAGGAAACCATAGGCCATCTGATGATGGGGAAAGAAGATAATGTAGTCTTCTGTCAAATGAGCGAATTGCAGAAACGGGTTTATCAGAGAATGCTGCAGCTACCGGAGATCCAGTGCCTTGTGAATAAGGACAAGCCGTGCGGTTGTGGAAGCCCGCTTAAGCAAGCAAAGTGCTGCGGAAGGATTGTTCCTGATGGAACTATCTGGAGTTCTCTTCATAAAGATGACTCTGACGGTTGTGATTCTTGTCCCTTCTGCTTGGTGCTTCCATGTCTTGTGAAACTCCAACAGATTAGCAATCATCTGGAGCTTATCAAACCGAACCCGAAAGACGAGCCAGAGAAGCAGAAGAAGGACGCAGAGTTTGTGTCTGCGGTGTTCGGGACGGATATTGATCTAGTTGGAGGTGTTTCCGCAAGCGAGAGCTTCATGGACCTTAGTGATGTTACACATTGTGGGAAAATGAGAGCGTTAGAGAAGCTGATGGCTTCTTGGATTTCAAAGGGAGATAAGATACTTCTTTTCAGTTGTTCTGTCAGGTTAGTGTTGTGGATATAATCCCATGTTTCGATGAATGTGGGATTAAAAATAACTGTTGTGATAAGCTATTGATCCTCTGGATTTATAGGATGCTGGACATACTGGAGAAGTTTCTGATAAGAAAAGGTTACAGCTTTGGAAGACTTGATGGTTCTACTCCAACTAATCTGCGACAGTCTCTTGTAGATGACTTTAACGCGAGTCCTAGCAAACAGGTTTTGATTTTGAACTATTCGAAAGAGATCCTCTTTTCTTCTCACTCACTTATGATCTGGTGAGATTAAAATGAGCTTTTCTGTGTCAGGTTTTTCTGATATCAACTAGAGCTGGTGGGTTGGGACTAAACCTTGTGAGCGCGAACCGTGTGGTTATATTTGACCCAAATTGGAACCCATCTCACGACCTGCAAGCGCAAGATAGATCATTTCGGTATGGACAGAAACGTCATGTGGTGGTTTTTCGTTTGTTGGCGGCTGGTTCGCTTGAGGAATTAGTCTACTCTAGACAAATATACAAACAACAGCTCTCAAATATTGCCGTTGCGGGGAAAATGGAGACGAGGTACTTTGAAGGCGTCCAGGTAACATAAAAAGATACGATCTTTCTTGTTTAGTTTCATCAAACAGACTGTTATCTTTTTTGTTTTTCTTATAATGTTTTGGTACGTCTTATGATCAGGACTGTAAAGAGTTTCAAGGCGAGCTGTTCGGGATTTCAAATCTCTTCCGTGATCTCTCTGATAAGCTCTTCACTAGCGAGATTGTTGAGTCACATAAGGATATTAACATCAGTCAGACTCAGAAGAAGAGTTCGTTGCTTGAGACAGTTGTTTCAGAAGATGAAGAAGAAGAAGAGGCCTTGTGCTCTTCTAAACCCGAAACAGAGGAACCTATCCTTAAGGACTTGGGTAAGAATTAAGATTTGACCTATGACTCTTCTATCCTTGAATACATAGTATGACGGTCTCATAAATCTTTGGTCGGGGCTTGTGTGGCTATGAATAGGGATTTTGTATTCACATCGAAATGAAGACATTATCAACTGTGGAAGGACAACAACGACATCTCAGAAGAACAGCGACGAGAACTTTCAGTTTGGGGATCGAAGGAACAAGAAGAAGAGAAAAGGTCTTAGTGAAGAGGAGGATATGTCTTCTTCAAACAGGGAACAGAAAAGAGAGCAGTACAAAATGGTAGCCAAGTTCAAAGGCATGGAGATATTGGAGTTTAGTAGATGGGTAATATCAGCTTCTCAATTTGACAGAGAGATGCTACTTCAAGACTTTTTAGAAAGAGTCAAGTAACAATACCATATTTCTTGATGTAGATTTGGTTGATTCATTGTATATAATAAGCTTACAAGATGTGTTCTTCTTACTTCATACACCGCATAGAACTGACTGTCTTGGCTACCTTCTCTGTGCCTTGAATCTTGAAACCGGTTTTGATGGTTGAGAAACTGAAGACTGTTTACATATAAAAAACAAACGAAATGCAATAAGAATCATGTTTCCTGCATTGGGAGTGCTGTGTTGTTCGTGTGGTAGAAAAAAGTACCTGCTTTTGGCCGTGTAAGTTGGTTTCTAGATTTAGGGCGTGCTCTACGATCGATCCAGTAAAAGCCTACACGATTAGGATCAGACATTTAGTGAGCTTAAAGGAGAATCATACTACTAGCAAACGTTTGAGCGTAAGAGATATGTAACCTTGTTAGCATCAAATTTGGGCTCCGGTTGCTGTATAGGTGACTGCACCTAAATAAAGTTGGCATAATGATTTGTGAGATTTAAGCTTGATTTTGAATGCAAAAGTGATCTATTCAGGTTCCAAGTATAAGATCCAAATACCTCAATCTTTCGTGAAGCTACAACATCGGTTTTTGCCTTAGCTCTAGAGGTTGCTTGAAAGTCTTTCCATGTTTCAGCGTTTTGTTGGTCGATTCCGCCACGTGATTGATCTTCGTGTGGATGTTTCTCTGGTAACACTTCAATAACTTTGCTTCTGACTCTTGGCTGGAATACAAGAAATCAAACATTGGTAAGACACTATTAACCATAAACATGAACATGAACGCAGATGTGAAATTAACTTGGGAAGATACCTCTGAATATCTTGATTCGCCAATGGAAGCATTCTTAGGAACAGATAGAGTAGTTTCTTGTTTCTTGTTTGTCTCTCCTCTGATTCCTTTTACTGTATCGAGCTCGCTTTCTATTGGAGAATCATGTTTTTCACCTCTACCGTCCCCATCTTCACCTTCCTGTTCCTCTTGCATTTCAAGTTCATTCAACCTGGACATGATTCGTGCGAATTCATCGTCTTCAACTTCATCTTCTGCAGTCTCTCCTCCTGGAAGACCAGAAGGCTCTTTCACACCTGACTGAAGCAAAGTTGCAGAAGAATCCTCTTCTTCTTCTTCTTCTTCTTCAAATTCTTCTCTTATCTCAACAAGTCCTTCCTATAAGACAAAATGACAACACCACTTTAAGATGCATATAAAGATAAAGACAAAAAGAATGAACCACTCGTTGAGCAAACCTACCGCTGCTTCTGAAGCAGTTGTAGTGAAGAAAGAAGCCTCCGTTTGGAAATCATCAATCTCAGCTTTAAGAGAACGGATTTGAGACTGTATAGTCTTGTCTCTTCTACTCAAAATGTCAATCGTTTGTTTCGACGTTCTGTCAGAATAGTAATTCTCTCCCAACAACACCTATCTCAATCACAATTCACAAACCAAATTAAAAAAAAATGAAATTTACAGTGAGGCTCTTAAAACTCAGAAAAGCAAAGCAAAACGTTACTCTACATTCTACAAAACCGAAAAGGAAGAACAAAATCATCATGAAAACTTACCAAACACTCGTTGGTGTGGATCAATCGACCTGGGAAAAAAGCCATTTTACCGAATGGAACCTGTGAGAGCAAGCCGTACAAAGCATCAGACACTTTAACAAATTTGAACGGGCGCGAAATTAGATTACAGAGAGCATGAAAACTTGCCATAACATTGTGGTGGAGCTGATCGGGGAGCTTCGCGACGAGATTGATGAGATTGGCGTTTTCATCGACGAACTGTTGAAGACGATTCATCTCTCCCCGCTTCGCTCCGATTTTCTCCTCCACATAACTTGCTGCTTTCCGTGCCTCCTCCTCTGAGAACAACGATGCTATCGGAGTCACTGTTCCTTTCGCCGGCGCTTCCATCCCGGTCAAGGTTTAAGAACGACGATTTGCAGGAAAAAAAAAAAAAATCGAGAGGGAAGAAGCAAATCTGTCCCAAACAGAAAAAGGCTCCTAACTTATAATGAACCTCCTGGGCCGATTTGTTATGGCCCAAATTATTTTAATGATGTTTTCCGTAAATGAACATTCCCTTGTGTAAGAAAACTTTCATGAGCCAATTTGTTAAGTTTTACCCTACGAACAAAATGTTAAAGTCTGAATTGTTTTTTTTTTTTTTTTACTAATGTTGATTGTTTAACAATTATGATGCGTAATACATAATTACCAACACATGTGTGATGTGTCACATGCAAGGGTGTGGAGATAATGCAAATGGGTTGGCAAGGCTAACACAAGAGAAGAAGGCCGACATGTGCTACGTTTTATTTCAACTTCGATCCTTTACACTTACGCTCTTCGATTTTTTTTTTTTTTTTTTTTTTTTTTGAACAACACACTCTTCGATTCAAATCCGTTTTTCCCGTTGTTTTGCAATCCCAGTATGATGATCTCATACATATTTTAACGACAGAGCATCATTTATTACAAAATACTAAACACTTCTTATTTCGAAATTCAAACAAAGTTGATAATAAGCTTACTAAAAAATGTATAATATGTTAAGTTTGAGTCAGTTTTTAATTAACTATCACCAAAAATAGCATTCTTTCAAGAAATTTTTAACTTGTAAAACTAAATTTCTAATCACAATAGATAAACTGAAAATTATTTCTATTAAGTAAAACCAAAAGAAACTGAATCATAAAAACCATATCAAAACATTTTACAAAATATATATGCTAGTTTAGAGTTTAAAAAAAAAAAAAACCTTAAACGGTTGAATATAAATTTGAAGTTCGATAATCTATTTCTTCACGAGAGTTATCAAATATATCAAATGATGTCAGAATAAAATTTTCGGAACTACAATGCGGCCCAAATTAAGATCCATCTTCATGTGAACTATCAAATATCGACGTCAGAAATAAATTTTCGGAACTATAATGCGGGAAGTATAATCCGAGGTTTTAGTTTGGGCTATAATGTAAAATAGTTATTGCGTCAAAAAGATCGTCAACCCTTAATTTTGGAAAATAATTAAATTCAAGAAAGAAAGCAAAAAAGGTAAAGAATTTTCTCTCGGTTTTCTTCGTCAGCCTTCATTCTCCTTTTATCTATCTCTCTCCCATCGGCACCGAACCAAACCACAAGAGAGAAAGCAAAACCACAAGAGAGAGACGTAGACAGAGAGAGAGAGAGAGAGGCGAGAGTCTTTCTGTTTGTTCTCTCTTCCGATAAGCAAAGATCACTGTATCAACAATCAAACAATGCCTGCTTTGAAGAGCTCTTCCGCCGCCGAGGAAGAAGAAGACCAACTGTGTCCGAACCTGGAAGCCGATCGATTCAATCCCGAAGCTCAGGGGGAAGAAGATCCGGACGATATGGACCAAGATGACGACGAAGGTGGAAGCGAGGAAGACGAAGATGACGTGAAACGTGGCGAAGAGGAAGAGGAAGACGAAGTAGAAGCAGAGAACGATGAAGCGTTAGAAGAAGAAGGTAAAGGTTTCGCTTTTACTTGTTTATACTCGTGGATACGTATGTGAGAGATATTGGAATCGATCAATGCGTGAGTATGTCTGTATGTGCATATGTAACGTGAAAGTGATGGAATTCTTTGATTGATACTTTTTTTTTTTGTCTTCTTTCAGATTCTGAGGAAACAAGCGAATCTTTTGATGACGATGAGGAATCAGAATCACTGTAACGATTCTCTTCCCTTGGCTGCTCGTTTCTCTGTATCAGATTTGACATTTCTGATTATTCGTTTTCTCTGTTCTGTTTGATGGGTCTGAAGCGGAATCAGTGTTCTCAGTTTACATTCTTAAAGTTTGTTTTTTTTCTTTTTCTAAAATTGTTTCACTGATCCTATGCAATGCATTGTCTGGTTCTTGCCTGCATGTTATAATTACTGTCGTGTTTCTTCTCTAATATAACAAATAACTCAGTTTCTCGTGGATGAACAATGCTCAATATCTTTACTCTGTAGAAGTAGTGAGTATGGAATAAGACTTATTGTGTTGATGAGTCTCTTTTAGCTTATCACCAGCTTTTGACTGAGACAGACTTGGTACTAGTTGATATTCTTTACTGTTTTTTTCTTGCAGGTATTCGGGTGTTGAGCTAACGGAAATCCGTAGGGACGTGCAATGTCCGATATGTTTAGGTTCGTACTCTTCTGTACATTTATACAAAGTCTCTGTATTTCATCGACTCGCATGTGAGCAAATGGTTTTCATCTTTATAGGTATTATAAGGAAAACAAGGTCTGTAATGGGATGTCTCCACCGTTTCTGCCAGGAATGCATTGACAAGTCAATGAGATTGGGGTATGCCTTGTCGTCCATTTACATGTTCATCGTTCTTCAGGGAGCCTATTGTAAAGCTTGTTCTTGATTTTGCTACCTGGCAAACGTATTTTCAGGAACAACGAGTGTCCTGCTTGCAGGAAACATTGTGCAAGCAGACGTTCTTTGAGAGATGACCTAAGATTTGATGCCATAATTGCATCCGTATTCGGAGATATTGATAGCTTTGAGGCAAAGGTGAAGCATTAATCATTGTATATTTGAGGGTGCATGGTTACTTATGAGAGATTGTTGTTGTCATATCCTTTTCATTTTTGTTTAGGAATTGGCTGTTCATGAAGATGATTTGGCTCGGAGAAAGCAGGTCAGTTACATTAAGACACTTTAATGCTTCTATTGTGTGACTAAGCAATTTGTGATGTTGCTCTTCAACTGATGTCTATGGCTGTTTTGTAGATTCAAGAATCTATAGCCCAGATATCGAAGAAACAATCTGAGGTCCTTCTGAAAAGAAAGTCTGTCTTACCGAGAACACAAGGTATTGGTAGCAGTTCTGGAAGAAGAAGGAACTGCAGAAACATGGAACAGGAAACATTAGAAGAAGCCGATGATGATGATGATGATGATGATGATGATGATAACAACAACGGAGGAGAAGATTCGTCTTCAGATGAGCCCTATGCCGAAACACAGCGGAGGAAAAGAAGAAAGCGCTCAACACCTCGTTCTACAGCTCAGCCTTCTTCTTCAGTTCCAAACGACAACGATAATAATGGCGCAGAGGAGGCGCATCATAGAGACAGCAGCAGGGGAATAGCACCTGGGCTTGTACGGAACCCGGAAATGCTTGTATGGGGAGGAGGCGGTACAAGGAGTAACTCAAGGCAAGGGGGTCATTACCAAGGAGTTAGTAGTAAGAATGTGAGGACTGCTCGGTTGAACAGACTTGTGGAGTATCTCGGGAGCTTAGAGAGTAGCAGCAGTGCTGAGGTAACAAAAGAAAATGCTTTTTCTTGACCTGTGTCTACAGAATAAAGAAAATAATGTCAACGTTTGAGTTTTGTGAAACTTTAAATTTGTTGTACAGTTGGATATTCGTCTTAAGCTTATATCGGTGGACACAAATTGTATAGCAAACATACCTGAGCCATATCTCTGTTGCCGACCGACGATGCTAGTCAGACAGCTCCGTGAAGTGAGTTCTCTCTGTCTCTCTCTATTCCTATGGTATTATAAGTTTGGAGTTGCAATAACATGGATCTTGATGCTTTTGTTATCTGATGATGTTGAACAGCATGTTGCACTCCAGACGCATTTAAAGGCTGAAGAGGTTGAATTGTTGGTGACTAAAGAAGAGGACAAGGCAACAGAGAAGATGCAAAGTGTTAAAGATGATGAAACCTTGGCAAAGCTCAAAGCTGACTGCGTTTCAGGCCAAGACTATTTGGTATTATCACTTTTATATTTCATCTAATCTTAATCTGGAACCTCCCGTCTCTCACCTTGATGCCCTTCTGAAACTTTCCCTTGTTTGATTTCTTTCAGATTGTAGCGTACCAGCAAAAGCAAATCGGGTAGAAGAAGTTAGAGAAAGTGATTCGAACAATATATGAATGAACAATATATCAGTGTCCTTTTTCAACTTTATTATAAGAGTATTTGACTGTTTTTAGTTCGTGTCAGACATGAAACAAGTTTTATATATTTAAGATAAAAAAACATTTCTCGGTTTAATTCAACTTGAATCAAGGATACATAAGAGAGAATGAATGTGTAGTACTACTTATATTAATCTGGATACATAAGTCCTAAGAAGAGGACTACAAAAATTTACAAAGGTATTATAGGTTCAAGTAAATCATGAACATTTCAGGCTAACAGTTTACTGCAATCTGCAAACTACCTCATCTGACCAGCAGAGGCGCTGGTAGCTGCAGACAAGGTTGGTCGAGCCATCATAGTTCTTCTCTCGGTTCTTTTGATCACTCGAAGATTGGGTGATTTTGGTTTTGTAGTCTCCTTGTTGGACTTCTGAGGTAAGAAGGGCTTGTTGAAGTTGGGCACAGGTCTAGCATGAGGAACCATTGTCTTTCTCATTTGCTTCAGAGATCTCTCTTCCTCCACCATTTTTGCAGCTTCACTCTCTTCACGGTATCTCTTGTACTGATTCTCTTTCTCTTTAATCTGGTTCCAAATAGAATTTAGATTTGTCAAGTTTAGAGTTTACGTGCAAACTTTTTTCTGTTAGTTATAAAATGGATGAAAGCCTTACTTTGTGATCAAAGTCTGCTCGCTCAACGGCTCGGTGCTCTACATGAAGATTGAACTCCTGAATTTCCGTAAGGGGCTTGCGTACTTTCTCTGGAACAGGGATTGGGTCCCTGTGGGTCAGATACATTGTGAGCATTTTGATACAATGTTTCTATAGATGAACAAATAAGAATAAGGGCATGTCACGTACTCTTTGATAACCGGTTGTGCTTTAAAGAGCCTCTTCTGGGCTTCTTCTCTCTCCATTCTCATCCTCTCTTCCATTTCTCTTCGCATTTCTTCTTCGTGCCTCACTAAACTCTCCAACTGGAACGGTGCTGGCTTTGTGCATTGCTTAGGTTCCGGTTTTGGTGGTACCTGAAAGTTGGAACACGGTAAGGTTTTTTCAACACCAATCCATTTCTCTTTCGCAACTCAAGAAACCAAAGCAAGGAAGAAATTGCATACCACGGGATAATCGGTTGTGTAAGGATATGGGTTTGCTTTTGGAACCCTGGCCCTTTCATCTCCTATCAGTTTATGTGTGACTTCCATTACAAACCTTCTCTCTTTTTCAGCGCCTCTTTCCTGGATGCCACAAAGTAAATTTAAAGAACGGTCAGTATACAAAATTGGTGGCCAAGTCAAGTCACTTTTGACTCTTCAAGAGGTTGTTCGTTGTATACATACCTCTGTCCTTAGATTGAAGGGGTTTGGAGCAGTGTTCCTTGGTAGAGGCTTCTCATGGCAACATTCGGAGTTCAATGAGAGCTGACAAGGAAGAGTTGTGTCAAACACGACGATATGCAGTGGGACATAGCTAAAGAAGACTTGCATAGCATAGTGTGGGTAATCTTAGTTAAAAAATCACACCTTGTCGAATATATCTAAGACAGAACTTGGTCGTGATATCCTCTCATCTGTCGCAAAGTGGAACTCATGAGGTATGGTTATGTGCTTCTTGGTGTTGCAAAATATGCCCATCTCTCCTTTGCTTTCAAATATCTGGATGGGTTTATGTGATTCTAAGTTAGGTCGATAGAGAGATAAATGAAGTCCATATAGTAATCTATCCACCACTTGAATAGTACCTTTTTGTTCAACGGTATTGCTTTGAACTTTGGTGCCTTCTCGAGTTCCTCTTGCTCAAGCTCTGCAGTGGTTTTTGCTTTGGTAGGACGAGCTCTTAGCATTGTTTGGAGCACAGGGCTCTTTGGCGCAGTAAGGTGAGGCCTCCAATCATTATGCTGCGTGCAGGAAAACAAGAGGCATATCAGATGGCATGAAACTAACTAAACAAGTGCTTTATGCATACATAAAACATCTCTGTGGGAAAAGAAGAAGTAAGCTCCATACCTGCTTTGACACTTCTGTTGAAGCTACTGAAGACGTCTCTGCATGCTGGCTAGCCCTCGCCATTGTTTGAAGATGAAATTCCTACAACGGTAAGATATGAGCTCCTGGTAGATGAACTAACAGATTCATTTCAAAATTAATGATACTCTCTGGTGGGGTGTGTCTTACCTGAAATTCTGGCAGATGTGGTGTGCTTCTTTGTGGCGCAGGCAAAGCTGGAGCTGCCATAATCTGCATCAAATAAGAGAACACATTGGTTTTTGTTTGTTTGTTTTCTTTTTCAGATCTCTCTTTTTGAAGTACCACAAGTGAAACCAAATGTAATACCTTCTTGTTCACAGGTCGAGCTTTAAACTTGGGAATCTTGGCCAACATCTCTTCCTCAAGCTCTGCGCTGCTCTTCACTCTCAAAGGACGAGCCCGTTGGGATGTCACAAAGTCGGGTTCCTTCGGTCTTGTGAGTGTCAGCTTAGGTCGGCTCTGGACAAAGAAATCATGGACGTCAATTGACGAGATTTCAAGAAAAGTAAAAAGGACTCAGAGAAACTACTCATAGTTTATTTACTTACCTGTGGAAGAGAAGTGTTGGCATGAGGTAGTGACAAGTCTCGTGTGCATGTTTGGAACTTCTTCATCAATTCAGCAGTTGAGATGAAAGGTGCAATTTGCTCGCGGACATAAACCTTTCTGTTCTCCTTATGAGTTTGCGTACTGACTGAAGGGTGTACGTCGAAACCAGAGTTAACATGACCATGTCTTGTCTTGTGGAGCAGAGTAGTTGGTTTTGGATAGAGAATCTAAATAAATCAATAATGAGAAGGAAAACAATTCAGTCCATGCAATGAGATATGGAGAGAGATTGCTGATACTGAAACAATTTAGCTCACCTGTCTGGATTTTCCATCATCTAGCTTTTGCCTTTTGATGGCTTGGTTTTCCTGATTCAGATTGATAGTGCCAACTACGTTCTTAACATTCGTTTCCCTGCAGTGAGCCATTCATCACATAAAAAACGATTAATTACCAAAGTGAGAGTGATATCAGTATTGGAATTGGATGTCAGAATGTAAGCGAACCTTTTCACACTTTTCTGTAGACTGCCTTTTGCATGAGACGACTGTGAGTGGTTCTTGGGCCTAAGAACAGATGGATTTCTAGGTACAGTAGCAGTCTTTCTAGCAGTTTGCTGCTTCTTGAGGTCCGTTGACTTTCCTCCTTGAGATATTTGAAGTGGTGGTTTGGGTGTGCAGGCTTCTGTGTAAGGAGGAGGAGGAATGTTCTCCTTGTTTTCTACCTGCTCAGTCGCCGCATCCCTGAGATTACTGTTGGATGAACAAGAAGAAAGAGTATTAGAACAGGCTTCTAAGCTCACTTAACTTCATTGCAATCTCCGAAAGAAGGATAACTAACCTTGCATCTGCGTCCTTGGAATCATTGTGAGATGGCTTAATTGTGATTTCTTCAGTATGACTAACTTCTTCTTTCTTGGCCTCGGAGAGATTAGGCTCCGGTTGTGAAGAAATAGTTGGAGCTATAGGTTCTGAAGGCTCTTTATCCTGCAAAGTGAGAATACTCAGAAGATTAAAAGGATTATCAAAACTTTCTTGCTTGTAATTGGTCAAATGATTGGTTGATTGAAGCAAACCTTGTGCGGTTTTTCTTCTTCTTCCTCCTCATTGAAGTTGCACATGGTCTCAACCTTGAATGATCTCCTCGCTTTGATTCTAGGAACCGAAGCTGCACACAAAAGGATAACTTGAATACACTTTTAACACAAACTCATTTTGATTCTCCGCACAGATTACCACCTTTTCCCCCAATTCTATGATTCTTGACATGACTAAAGTTGATTCTATGGATACCACATTTTCCCCCAATTAACACACCAAGTTCAGATTTCAATCAATCAAAGATGAAATTTTTTGCAATCGAGAGACTGTTCTAAACGTGCAATCCCTAATTTCGCTTCCCACAACAGAAATCAGTAAACCCTAATTATCACTAATCGAATTGAAATCCACGAAATTGAGACCAAATTTCCGATATCCAACCCACAGATCTGATAACAATAATCACCCTTTCTGTTCCGAAACCAAAAACAAAAAGAGAGAGAGAGAGCAAAGAAACTCACGAGAAGGAGCGCAGCTTAAAGCGGATTGGAACCAGAGCTCCGCTCGGCGAGCCTCATCTTCCGTCTCTCCGTTAATGAAATCAAACCATCTCGGGGCTAAGAACTCATACGTCTGGTCAATCATCGTCGTCACAGCACTACCGGTTGATTCCTCCGTTATTGCTTCCATGCTCAATCACAAATTCACAAATCGAATCGAGTCAGAGAGAGAGAGCAAATGAAGGGAATTTGGATGGAGTTAAAGGTTCTTTCTTGGCTCCTGGTTTTGAGAGGGAATGTGTGTATGTAGTCAGAATAAAAAAGGACAAGGAAGGATATCGCAACGGTCAAAAGGAATTTGAACATGGAGGAGTGTGTTAACTTACTTACTCTTAACGGCCTTATTTTTTTCCTTTTTTTCTCTGCATCCGGCTCATATCTCCAACGGCTATATTTTTCCAGCCAATGATCTTCTTCATCCTAGAAACTGCGTCGTTTCAAGATTTACTCGAAACCGTGTCGTTTCATCGTTTCCCATGAACAGTTAAACTCAACCCAATAAAGAACCCATATGAGCCCACGATGATAATTGCCCAAACCCAAGTGGCACATTGTACAAAATCATATACTCCGAGTTATAATTTTGTCTTTTAACTTTATTTCTATAATAATAACGTTAACAGAACTAAAAACATTGTCAATCCTTAACTTCTTCATTGTGCTTTGGGTTTCACAAACAATTTCTCTTTTCTTTTTAACAAACAAATTTTGATCTACTTTCATATGAAATTGGTTATCAGATTCATCAAAAATGCAACTTGCAAGGCACCCATGGAGTGAAGATATAAAAATCAAAACAATTAATGAAATTGACCCCAAACAAACTATCCAACTACAGATTTTTCTTCGATTCTTCCATTGTTGATTTGTTCCTGACTTTTACTTTTTCTTTAAATGTTTTTTTTCTAGACTCTTCCATGTGGTCTCTTGCAAATATTCAAACATTCAAGACACAACAGAACAAAGGTAGCTCAAACTAATTAAAAGCTTATATTTTTGTCAAACTAGAACAAGAAACCATTATAGCTTAAACTTAAACCTTTTATACTTGTCAAATTATAAAATAAAAAACGTTTGTAATTGGTTGTAGTTTTGAAAACCTTTAAAGGTAATCCAACCAGGAAAATTTTCAAAGTATTATATATTATGTCCTTTATATTTTAAATTTTCAAACTCTGAAACATCTGCTGTCCGATCATAACAGGAGATTAAAAAATTATTTGAGTAATTGCTAGCATACAATAAAAATCAACAAAAAAACGCTGAAAACTAAAACAAAAGCGAACTAAAATATATACAAGCTCCATAAGAGAAATGCGTTGTGAATATCCTGGAGCAAAAACTTAAGTTTAGCGAAGTCTGAAAAGTTCAAAATAACATATATATGGATTGTTACCAACATCAAACAAATATACTGAAATTCAATCTTGTGACATAAACCAGAAATAAATACGTCACATTCATACGATGTAAGAAAATAGGAAAATCATAAAAACAAACTATTTATCCTAAAACTATTTCATTTCTTTTATAAGCTGAAAATCGATATTTGAAAAACTGAGCGTGGTTACACTGAACTAGTGAATTAGTGAATGCCAAAGACTTATCAAGGTAATGTAATAGTGACTTAATGAATGCCAAAGACTTATCAAGGTAAGACAGTATACAATAGTAAATGAATGTAATGTAAGTAGTGTTAATATTGGAATTTTTATTTTCTCGATCACTATTAACTGCTTTTCATTGTTTTTATGTAGACAACGTTAGTTGTATCCACATTCCATTGGCATATTTAAATTTAGTCCAGCATTGGAACATTGCATAGACAGAATATATAATTTTTACAGTATATACTTATAGGGTTAGGGTTTTGATTGTCAAGGTAACCTAATGTGTTGCACTTGCAAATGCACTCACCATTGGATATTTATTATTTTGACAGTGACATCAAACCAACTTTTCTATACATATAATACACATATTTTCAGTATATAGTCTTCATGACTTTCTCTCTCAAGAAAAAACAGTATCACTCATCCGATCTCTCTCTCACATGAATGATGTTAGGTATATAATTAATATGACCCGTTAATAAAATTATATACTCGATTAATTATTCGTCGTATCTAAATTTATCATTAAGTAAATTTATCTAAACAGTAAATTTATCATCCGAACCTTCCAGATCCATATATACATTCGAACTAATTTACATGGCACCGTTTGTTGGTGAAGATGGTTTCCACATAGTACGTTATTGTTTTATTTAAATGTCAAATATTATTCTTTGTCAAAAAAAAAAAAATTGTCAAATATTATTAAAAAAAAACAAGTCAATGATGATGAGAGAGACAATAACGGACAAAAAGAACAAAACATAGACTTCCTTTTCCTTCCTTATTTAGCAATAAGGCTACCTACGCACACAACCTACACATCAAAAATTACTAATTTTTGTTTTAAAATTTTAAATTTTAAATTTTAATTTTTGTTCCGGCCAGTTTTCCGGCGACGGACCGGCGGCCGAGCCGCACTACAAGATCCAATGGAGTCTCTGCTGACTATCTTAAGTGCAATTCTTTACCTCTTCCGGTTCCGGTCGGCTTGTCCCTTCTGTCGGCGAGCCCCACTTGATGCTTAGGCCCGATCCGGAGTCCTAAGTGACCTCATTACCTCTTCCGGTTCCCAAATTAGGTCCACGTAAGTATAGTCTAACATAGGAACATTGTAGACAAGAATAATTTTTAAATATACACAGGTAAGTAATCTGATGTCGCGAACGTACTCACCATTCATTGAATATATGAATATATGATGGTGAAATGATTTTGTCATATGCGTCTTGTCTCTCACCGTATTGATATTCTCGATACATAAATATTTGGAAAGTGACAGCAAACCACACATTTCCTATACCCATATTCTCAAAATAGTCTACGTTTACTCTCTCTCACACTATAAAAGCTAGTATCATTCATCTCTCTCTCTCTCACGCTAAGCAGAAACGCAATGTGGTTAAATATGATACACAAATTATTGCGAATTTTTAATGGGTTCATTATATTAGACGTTAAAATTGGGTGGGTTATAATAATTCAAGGGTGTAAATGGGAAGGAAGGGTCTCAACTAGACCAAATTACCTATTTTTAACATCTCTAAGGTGTATTTTTTTCATAAAGTTTCTTAGACGTGCGTAAGAATATGGAAATGGTTCTAAGCTAACTTAGTCTCTCCTCTATTTCTATTTATAGATACGTGAATAACTAATCACCTAATACATTCAATAGATATCTTCTAGCAATATCAACAAATTAAAGGACCGGAACCACAAAGTGAACACAAGATCGAAACGTCATCGGATAATCTAATTATTTTGAGACATTTCCTATATATATATCGTTACATACTCTCCATTTACTTCACAACTTCACAAAAGGTCCCCACAGAACCTAAAAAAAACCACAAAGTGAATTACTCAAGATCCGACATGACATCGAAGAACGCAATTAAGATGGAGCCTGAAGAAGTTCAAATCTCGCCGCCGGCCAAGACTCAGGCGGATACTGACAACACCTCGAAGAATTCCAAGAGCCCAAAGACTGAAGGAGTACCCTCGCCAGAAGCCGAAGTCAAGATTGATGTCACGCCGTCGGAGATCGAAGAGGCCGATACTGATGACGACTCGTGTGAGAAGGAACCACTCTTGAAGACGACTGAACTTCCAGTCTCCACAGGTGCGAAATTCGCCAAAACGCACACGCTGAAAGGTTCCATCAGACAGCCATTAGTCCCCGTGCTCCACAATGTCGAAGAAAAACCCACCGACCCGGACGAGCGAGTTCTGAACTTCGCGGCGCGAGCGCACGAGCTCCTGCGATGGGCGATAGGAAGCGCCGTCATCTTCGTCCCAATAAAATTCATCGCGGACGCGCAGAAGAAGGAGGAGGAGAAACCCCTCGGTGTCTATCACGCAATCCTCAACGCGTTACAAGGTTTTAACTTTGCTTATCCGTTCATCCTTTTCATAGTGATTTACGGGTTATTTCATCTGGTGGCGGCGTACATTGCGGACCCTGCTAAGGCGAGGATATTAGAGTGGCTTAGCCTCCTTTTTGGATTCGGCGTCCTCGCGTCTGTCATATTCTACGCAGGTGTGTGGGTCTTCGTTTGGAGCATAATCACAGCCATCGTTGTCCTCGGAGCTATAAAATTTGTTTTTATGTGTTGCGCCTGTGCTGGTGAGAAGGATGAGACAATAGATGTCTAAAGCTTCATCTCTCTCTCGAATCTGAATGACATATGATGACGATTAGACAATGATTAGTTGAGTATCTCAACATATTTTATATAATTGTGTCTTTAATTTTCGTTTGCAAGAGCTCTGCTATGACCAGAGTCAAATATATTATGGATGAATATTCTATATGATATAAGGGATTTCTTCGAATTTTCTTAGTTACCAATTATTTAAATTTCTCGTTTCATATTACATCTTCGACTGAGAAATTTCAAATAACAAAAAAATTAGTTGGAACTTTTAATACAGCTTGATTTAAGTTTCTTGCCAATGTACGTAGTAGGTACACCCATTTTATATATTCAGATGTGTGTTTCTTTTTTTTTGACATCACAACTCGTTTAATTTTGATGTTATTTTCGTTTCACAAACATTATAGTTTAATTCGACACATTTCACAGAGACTGAAAAAAAGTCTTAATTGTTTATTTATTTGATATGTTATTAACTAGATAAATGAATAATTAAGAGTTTTTGTAGTCTGTGTGAAATGTGTCAAAACTATAATGTTTGTGAAACGAAAATAGGATATATTTACTACTGAGGGGAAAGAAATGAGATCGTTTAGGTAGTACATGTTTTGCAACGCATCCCAGATTCAAGGATCATATAGTTGGTTCTTCTTAATTAGGCTCTGTATATCAATTATCCAAAATAATCTTATATAATACATTAATTAAAACATTATTTAGAAAGAATCTCACAATTACTGTACTTTATATGTAAAACATTGGAAGCAGTTTTTACAAAAAGATAGTCATTAAGGGTCTGACTGGTTTAACCGCTGCGGTTGCGGTTGCGGGAGTTTGCGGCTGCGGGAGTTTGCGGAAGCGGGAGTTTGCGATTAAAAGCTGTTTGTACGACTGGTATAGCAATTCATAGCGGTTGCGTTTGCGGGATATTTTTGACTGGTTAGCCAGCGGGTGCAAGAGCGGTTTAACCAAAAGTTACTAAAATAAAAATAATATATAATTATTCAAAACATTTATAACCATATTAATAATTTTTTTTTTGAAATATATTTTTTGATGAATTTTTAATTTGAAAACTACCCTTATTTTTTTTGGTTTTGAAAAATACACTTTTTATATGTAAAATGATTATTCCTAATTTAATAAAAACGAAATTCAAATAAGAAATATAAAATATTAATATTTGATAATAATTTTGTATCATTTTAACATCCTAATTACCTGTTTAGTTTTTTTTAAACAATTTAATAAAAATATAAGATTGTTTATATAAAGTTTAAATGGGGTGAGATTAAAGTTGTTTATGCAAAGTTTCAAAAATATTTAAATTTTTCAAAAGATAAACATTAAAAATGAAAGATATATTTCTCCACTTTTAAATTTTTAATAATTTATAAACTTTAAATATATGTAAAGTTTTAATTTATTTAAAGTTTCATTTGGTTTGAATGTGTATGAGGTTAAGTTGTTTATATAAAGATCCAAAATATTAAAATTTGTTTCAGTTTAACATATACTATATTTATTTGAAAAAAAACTTATTAGTTTATTATTTTTTTAAATTTTCGTTTATAATTTGTAATTATTTATTATTTTTTTGTTTAAATCACGTCAAAACATACTTTTTACATTTTAAAAGTGTATTTTTCAAAACAGAAAAAATTTAGGGTATTTTCGAAATTTTTAAACATAATTATGGTATTTTTCAAAAAAATATACCCTTATTCCAAATTTGGAGATATTATGTTTTTTTTTTTTTTTTTTCAAACCGCAACCGCCCGCAACCGCAAACGCTTGCGGAAAGGAGCTTTTGATTTTCAGCGATATAGAGCGGTACAGAGTGGTATAGAGCGGTTGAAAGCGGTTGTCGTGATTGTTATAAAACGCTAAGAACCGCTACGAACCGCAAACGCTGCGTTTGCGGGTGGTAGCGGGAGAACCAATCATCACCTAAAACACCATTTATATATATACAATAGATATTTGCCAAAATATAAGCTCAGAATACATATTCTAAGTTTTCATATAATTTAGTTCTTATTTATTAGGTCATACAACATTAAATTAGCATTTATGTTTTCGTTTGACTCAAATCTCTTTAACATTTTCCTTAGAAAGAGTCCACTTGGTCACTTACCTTGAACATGTGTTGGTCTTCACCAATTCGTCGGCTAAGCACCGTCTGAAAGGTCAATACTTATGTTTTAATAGAAAGTTTAAAGACGCATATGTATTGTGCATACACACATCATAGTGCATTATTATTTTTGATAAAGTGCTTTGAAATTTTGAGTCAGTTTTTACTCGAAACTGTATAAAAAAGGAATTACATACAATTTTAAAAAGTAACCACTTTGTGCAGGAGTTTCCTAATCGGAAAAAGTTGTGATTTTAATCAAAAAGACAGCTCTCTCTCATCTTCTTTATTTGTAGAGGTTCCTTTTTTTTAGTAAATCCACTGAAGTAAATACGGTAACGTGACTTGTTAGTCAAATCTCTCTGGTTTGGGTTTTTACATTTTCAGGCACCAGAGAAAATGACCGATCCTGTCAAAAGCAATCCTCTTTACCCTACGTACACAACAATAGTCACTGACACATCATCGCTTATGCCATCTCAATACACACACCATTACACTAGTCTAATTGGGCTTCATTAGCAGAGCAAGGACCATTCAATTGCTGGTACTTGATGATGATCTTGGAGCCAGCAATCCATGGAAACATAACTCATAATCTAAACCATTTGATATGTGAGACATGTTGATGTTCGAATTTGTTGCATAAGCTATATTTCTTCTTTCTTAGAACTGGTAATTTTGTAGAATAAATATACGAAATTTAGCTTATGTATAGGTGGAGACATTTTAAAATATATAACATTTGTTGCATTGTATTATTTGATGTTAAAATCATTCTAAAAATTCTAATAGCAAATATATTTATACATTTTTGGAATTGATGTTTTTTAAGAATACTATATATATTTTGTGTATACTATTCAACATAATCTTATGTTTTTTATTTTATAGATAATAATAAGCTCTTGTACATACCTTTTTACATAATTCTATATTTTTTATTACTGTTAAAACAGAAAATTCGTTTTGTTTTGTTTTATTGGTAAAAGAAAACGAAATTTAAGTACTAATTTGAAGAAAAATAATAAATAAAAATGTCATTTATATTTTTGTTTTTTTATTTCATAAATTAAAGAAAAAACATTTTACTGTTAAAATACATAACTAATAATATTAACTATTTAATTGTGTATTTGTGATCGATTTAAAGTATCATTAAACATGAATTTCAAATATTATATATTAAATTTATATATAATATATTATTATTTCTATTTAAATTAACATGAAGACTAAAAAGATAGTAATGTCCTTGATTAACAATAATTTTTTCATATATAAATCACAAAAACATAATATAAAAAAAGCCAAAAGATGGTATATTGATCCTAAACCAGAGGTTGATGTAAAGAGTCATGATCTTCGAGAAATTTGCATGTAGTTGAAAAAAGAATTACACCAAGCCACCAAAACACAAATAGTACCCAAACATAAACATAGTCCAAAACCGGAAGCTTATTGAATGTGGCGTCAATAATTGGCATCAGCCAGGCAAATCCAATAATATTGCTCGCAAGTTCAAATGCGAAGGCGTGAATAGGCTGATTGGATAATCTGAACTTAATTTCAATTGAGACTCCACAAATGTACATTAAAAGGCCTGCAGTCGTAAATTCGGCGAACCCAGCCACGTAGTCGTAGTCACATCTATTAACGATATGAAAACCTAGCAAAGCATATGCGCTGATGATCAGAGAATGCATCACTATTGAGTAGAATCCTCCCAGAATCACTCTGTCATATATAATAGGTAGAGTGTTGAGAATTTTAGTCAAGAAAATTTGATATTGACTCTCGATAGTTTTACATAATATACTGTTTGGATATGTTTAAAATCTTTAATTTACCATGTAATCACATTCACAATATTTAAAATATTATTATCAGGGAAGGAGTGTTAACTGGGACCCACGTTGTTTAACAAATCTCTTACTACTAATTAGGGACCTGTTTTTTTCCTTGTATTTCTAAACTCAAATCTGATAATATGTGCGAGAGTAAGCAATGTTATAATTAGTATATAGGGCCCGGTTTTTAGCTGAGCCGGGCCTGTTATATATCCAGAATCAAGACAAATATTCAACTTGTTTGTAATGAAATCTATTAAACGTGTGATAACCAACGACGCTCACCTGAAGAGAATTTGTCCTAGTGCTATGTTTCTTCTTTCTGTGTGGGTGTCGTCCATCTACATGGTAACAATAAGATTGTTTTCAAAGCTAGTCCAATGTTATATATGATTATATAAAGTCTAAATATATAGTAGTAGATTATATTTGAAAATCGGAAAGTCGTATCAGTATCTCTCTAGTAGTATAGACTGTTTAGTACGTCAAGAATATATTGTTGATAATAAATAAAAATCAGATGTATATGATTTACCAACAAAACGATTCAAAAGAAGGGATTGAAATTGGCTAAAAACTCACCGATATGATAGTTTAGTGACAACGACGTAAACGGTGAGGAGAGAGTAGACGAGCCTTTACAAAAATCTTATGTTAAGGATGATAAGTATATATATATAAAAAAAAATCTTATGTTAAGGATGATACATACATACATATATATATACTTATTAATACTTGTTGAAAATTTCTGTCACTGCAACTGCAAAAAAAAAAAAAAAAAAAAAAAAAAAAAAACAGTTTAAGAAATATATAAAAAGAAATTAAATAGAAAAAACTAAAGATGGATTATAATCCATGTCATTGTCAATCCAAAGAATACAATACAGGAGAAGAAAATCTCACAACATTTAACATTTAAGCCTTTAACAAAAATAAAAAATTTCACAACATTTTATTTACATACAATCGCATCTGATAATAATGTTGTGAGATTCTATTATTAAAAGATACTTAAGTTATAGTACTAGATACATTGTTTGTTATTTCGTTCTTTCTAGTTTTCTAATACTAAAATATTTTTTTCGATATAAATTTAAAAAAAATATTTTAATTCTGCAATTTACCCGGATTATTAATTATAAAAAAACAATATTTAGGGAAACAGTAGCTATCACTCATCTCTCTCTTTTCGTTTTTCTTATAATCTAAATCATGGAATTCGAATTAGAAACAGTATCAGAGTTTTGAATTATATGCATCTTTCTCTTCATTACACCTTATGTACTGTTATGTCTTTATTAGGTTGAATTGCACCTGTTATAACTTAGAATCACTTGTCCAGCCCTTAAAATCAAAGATGTTTCAAGTTTGAAATTCAGTCTAGAAACGCATACAAATTTCACGTTCAAAATCCAATAATAACCGTCAAACTATTAAATTGTTTCCCTATTAAACACCAAATTGAGAAGCTTTGGATTTTGCGGAACCATGACGTGCGTACGGACATAGGCGATAGCCGCGGTACCTCCAAATTAGAGTCATGGTGATACCAAACTGTATACCCGTCCAAAAACATTGAACTTACTCAAAACCGAAAATTAATGTCACTAAACAAAAACGACGTTCTTTTTTTCAAACAACATTAGTTCATTTGTCGTTTATACTTTAATGTAAATTACCGCTTCATTGTATGTATTTGTCGTGATCCTATCCAATTCCAAAAGAAAACACATTTTTGAACTGGGCTTATTATCCTTTATAACTTTCGACGTAACAGTAGAAAAGAATTATATATATATCAAAATATCAAATTATGAGCTGAGGCCATGAAGGTAGAAAACTAGAAACCAAAAATGTATTTGCTTCCATCAGGCCACGCAACCAATCGAAAACGTGACACTTGTACATACACATGCACCGGTTTTTAAAAATATTGTAGAATTCTCAAAAGTATAAAAAGTAGTTGTATTAAATCATTTCTAATCCACTGATAAATTGCGTACGAAACAGAAAATTGTATTTTCGTAAACCTCGTTTTGTATTTGGACTTGTATTTATTTTTGTGCATACCCTTTTTGTGTTGCAAAGTCTTTGTTAGATTCGCTGTACCCAAAGTATATCTACCCTCTATCAATATCACAAAACAGAATAAATAATAAATCAAAAAATGATGGGATTGTATTATTGTATTAATTAACGTAGTTCATTTTTAGGTCTGTACGAATAAATCACGTACATTTCGTACCGCTTGTTTAAGAAATGTTATTGAACCATCACGTTACTGCAGTTGTCTGTCAACAAAATTGATAACCACGTTGACAAATATAAGAAGAGTTCGTCAATATTTGACCAAGTGTTATTCAACTGATTTATGATGATTTATTCTTGTTTTTCTTTAATGAAAAGCAGATTTAAACCTTTGTATATAATTTTAAATCGTGGAAATTATATATTGAGTCTTTTGATATCATTACTACATTTCGCTGCTTTGCTAATCCTGATATGTGAATGTAACGGAACCTACAATACGAGGGGGTGAACCAAATCTAATGTTTCTTTTAGTTAAATGAACCAAATTAATTGAATGCCAGTTCATTGTATTTCCATCAATTTGCTCATTCAGGTACTGAACGATTTACTAGGTTTGTACTAGGTCTTTTACATAGATTCTAAAGTGGAATCTAATAATTTGCGGCTACTTTGATGATCATCATAAATTTTACAAAGAAACAGTACGATCAATAACACGGGTAAAATATGAAAACAAAGTTAAAAGGCTTATAAAATATCATTTAAATCATAAAAATGTTCAATATACAGAAAATTACATATTTTATTACTTAATTTTTTATCTAACAAAAAAAAACAAATGGAAAAGGAAGGTATAGTAAATGGATAACTGATAAGGGAGAGAGAAGAGGTGAGTATGATGATGAAAACATAGGCACATGTGTTAGGTCTGAAGCAAGGAGAAAGAGGCAGCTCCTGCTTCTTTGCATGAAACCTCTCTCTTTCTCTTCTCTTCTCTCGCCACGACTCCTCTTCCCCATACCCTCTCACACTTCCTCCCCTCCTAAGCTTTTGTCTTCTTCTTACATCTCATCCATCACAATTCCTAAACAAATATAATAATCCAAACCTAACAATATGTTTTTAACTTATTCCCATGTCTGTCTCTATGCTCAAACCCATATATATACACGCCCACACATTATCCCATCTATCATCTTAAACTAGCCTCAAAACTGAATCAAAACACACACAAAGAAACAACACAACTCAAGACCATCATGGACGTCGTCTGTACGGACCAACAAATCTCCGGTGGTCACATGAGGAAACCAACGGTGGAGATTCCTCCGAGAAAGCTTCTTTTATCATCCAAGTCTTTTCCTCCGGAATCTTCCCCTCGTTCGCCGCGTAAACATAACTGGAACAAAAGCAACAAGATCACATCTGAGCATGAAGAAGATGTCTTCAACGAAGACAACAACAACAAGGAGACTAACACTAAAGAGTATTGTTACGATTCCGACACTGATGATCCTTACGCAAGCGATCATTTCCGTATGTTTGAATTCAAGATCCGACGTTGCACTCGTAGCCGAAGCCACGATTGGACTGATTGTCCTTTCGCTCATCCTGGAGAAAAAGCTCGCCGTCGTGATCCTCGTCGGTTTCAATATTCCGGTGAGGTTTGTCCGGAGTTTCGCCGTGGCGGTGACTGTAGCCGTGGAGACGACTGTGAGTTTGCTCATGGAGTCTTCGAGTGTTGGCTCCATCCGATTCGTTACCGTACTGAAGCTTGTAAAGACGGTAAACACTGCAAGAGAAAAGTCTGTTTCTTTGCTCATTCGCCACGTCAGCTTAGGGTTCTTCCTCCGGAAGATGTTTCCGGCGGTTCAGCGTCGGCGTCTCCGGCCAAGACTCCGTGTTGCTTCTTTTGTAGCAGCTCTCCAACGAGCACTCTCTTGGGTAATTTGTCTCATCTTTCTCGATCTCCGTCTCTGTCTCCACCTGTGTCTCCCGCTCATAAAGCCGCAGCCTTCTCGCGGTTGAGGAATCGCGCCGCCTCTGCCGTTTCTGCTGCCGCAGCCGCTGGTTCGGTTAATTACAAAGATGTTTTGAGCGAGTTGGTAAACTCGTTAGATTCAATGAGTCTAGCGGAAGCGCTTCAGGTGAGTTCCTCTTCACCCGTTACAACACCTGTTTCCGCGGCTGCTGCAGCGTTTGCCTCGTCCTGCGGTTTGAGCAATCAGCGTCTCCATATCCAGCAGCAGCAACAGAGTAGTCCTTTACAATTTTCTCTTTCGCCTTCCACTCCAAGTTACCTAGCCAACTCGCCTCAAGCGAACTTCTTCGCTGATGATTTCACTCCACGCCGGAGACAAATGAGCGATTTCACTACGGTGGCGGTGGGTAGAGACAAGAACAGCTTTGAGGATGGTTCTTGTGGTGGTGACCCTGATCTAGGTTGGGTGAACGATCTCTTGACTTGATTAGATTGACGGTGGGAGATTTGCCGGGAAGATATCCGACGGAGAATGTAAATTTCGGTGGATGAGTTTTGATTACATTCATGAATCATGGGAAGACGAATCGATTCGATGTGTGACGGTTTGGTCAGATTGTTGTTTAAATTTGTTTTGAAGATTTTATTGTTTTACGAATTTCCACGGAAGCTAATTAAGAAGTGTCTTGTGTATTGTCTTTAATTTTTTTTTTTTATAATTTTTTCCTTTTCTGGTGGGATATTTACCAAATAATATGTTGAACTTGTAATATCTTGTGGATCCGTTTTGTGGAATGTTTCACCCATTTCTATACATATTTTCTATTCAATGGATATTTTTGCTTGAATCGTTAATTAGTGGACACGGACTAAGCTAGTTCTACCAAGCTTTACGGATGTATTTGATATGACTTCATTCTCTTTCAAGCTTAATTTAAACGTATAGGAAGGATATCGATCTTTGGCTAGGGTCATGTTTTGAAGATATCATAGGATTGGGACATGTATAAAATTTACGATTATAGAGCACAAATCCTGAACTATATTCATCATCTCTCACATTGAAACGTGTTATGTTTTTGGTTTTGCTTGTGGACGAGAATATATCTGTGTTCGGTTACATAAAGAAATTATATAATACTTGACCATATCATTATTGTATAAAGAAAAACTCCGATAAGTTCTCTGATTGTTTTTTTTTTTTTTACACCACAAGAGATCAATTATTTTTATAAAAGGAGCCTAGGAGGCATGTGTAGGTGATTGACATATGTACACACTGAGACGTGTCCATTACATTAGTATTATCATATGAGACACATAAACAGCCCCTGCGCATACATGCATGTGTACTCCTCCATTTTGTAGATTATGGTCGCTGTCTCGTTGATATATTTAAACATAGATTACACAAAGAGGAAAGACAAACAATGTGTACATACACCAACGTCTGCTATTTTTTATTTGAATTACATCAACGTGTGATATTTTCATGTAACATTGATTGACATATAGCAAAAAGAAGAGTTGTTGTTCCAAATTTCGATTCGACTCCTTCATATTTTTTGGTCAATTGAAGGACATTTCAAGTTTATTAACGAAGAATGACCCGTTTGTCTTTTGGTATCTTTCCGTTTTTCACAATTTTTCCTAAAATACTTCGTAGTCGCATGACGACGAGAGAGCGCGTGGGGATAAAGCGCAAGAAGTGAAAAGCTTTTTGTGATTGTACATGTCACTGGCTCACTGTGGACGGCCAAAAGCACACGTGCCACCCACCTGACACCAATACCTCATCCCGTCAACACGAAAGCCCATTCATTGGTAAAGAAACTTGATAGCCATTTTAAGTTTTTGAGTTGAAACTTGAAACTTGTAAAAAAAAAAAAAAAAAAAAAAAAAGAGGAGAAACTTGAAAAGCTTTAGTTCTCTTTCTCTTTCTCTTTTTCTATCTTAAAAGTCTCAATCTATTAGTAATAAAAATTACAGTGGAAACAGAAAATCTACCGATAGTGGTGATAAAACTAAGAACAGACAGAAATATTTCGTTAAGAAAAACTGAAATAGGATAATCTTGTTAATTTCAAAATTAAGCTCGAGTACAAGATGACCACAAGATACAAAGAAGAACAAAATCTAAACGTCCACCGCTGGAGCTAGGCTAAGATCTAGATTCAGTTCCCTTCGCAGCTCACAATCCACAGCGGAGTAATCCTCCGTCTCGACTTCCAAGGTGGTTGGAAGACCCAAACTTAACCCAATTTCAGCAGGCTCGAACCGGACTGGTCTAACCAGCTCTTCTCCTAACGCAGAAGCATGCGGCAGATCTAAGAAAAATCTAGTAACCTTTTTCTCCGCCGCCAAGCTGGAAAAATCATCCCGACAAGCGCATGAAGATCTCCCATTACGCGCTGTCGCTGTAAGGGTGCCTTTGACCACCGTTTCCGAACCATTTCCGCCATCTCCGACGAGAGGGAAGTTGGTAGTTGCTTTGGAGCCTCGGAACGCTATTGCGGCGGAGTCATAAGCTCTGGCGGCTTCCTCGGCCGAGTCAAAGGTCCCGAGCCAGACCCGATTTTTGTTTCCCGGGTCACGGATCTCAGCCGCGTATCTCCCCCATGGTCTCTTCCTCACTCCCCTATAATGCACCTCCCTAATCTTTCCTCCGCCGCTTTGATTTACATTCTCTTGTTTGGAAGCCATTATTTCCTAATGAAAACTGGCTGTGATTCTGTGACAAATTACAGAAAAGAGTTATCCTTTTATAGGGAGTGACGTAATCCCTCCTAACAATGGATAAAGAAGAGAAAGAGACACGGTCAACGATGTTTGACTGACTCAAGACAGTTTGATGTGTTGTTTGTGACGTCTTTTTACTGTATGTTTAAACTGCGCCGTCACTTCGCGTCTTTCGTCTCTTCAAATCGCTTATTTACTCCCATCCTCCTCCACGCGACTGTTTCAGCGCGTGAGCACGCGCTCCCTTTATGGTTCTTCTCCCTTTTGGGCCTTTGAAGAATTTCCTGGCCCTTGGGCTCATTTTATGATTTATGATGATCCACTAATTGTTCCTTTTTATTAAAAAAATGTAATTACTTAATGTAAATCTCATAAATTTGAAGATAATCCTGCAAGATTTATGATGTTGCTCATTTTGCCAGAGCACACGTCTCCGATTTAAATTTCCAAATTTGGAGAATCAAAACCCTAAAACCAGACTATAAAAAAAGTCACGAATCTAAGAGCGGACTCTATCTAGGTCACTCCAGAGGATTTAAGAAAAAAGGCGGCGAGTTACAACAATGGAGACGACGACTGTGCAGAAGCGGAAACCAGTTTTCGTCAAGGTGGACCACCTGAAACCAGGGACCAAAGGTCATACGTTGACCGTGAATGTCGTTGAATCGAATCCCGTCATCCCGGCGATCCGCAGAAGTGGTTCCTTTTCGCAGCCATTTCGATCTCCTCGCATCGCTGAGTGCCTAATCGGCGACGATACTGGATGCATTCTTTTCACTGCTCGCAACGATCAAGGTAACGGATCTATTCTCTGGAATTTTAGGGTTTCGGATTCATTTCTCTGTTTGTAGATGTTAGGTGAACAGTAATGATTGAAACAGACAGATTTTTTTGAAGCATTTAAGCCTCAGTGGACTAATCTTATTAGATACGGCTTCGAATCTCTGTGTTGTGAAGAATCTACCAATGTCGTTACAGAAATGCAATGAACAGATTTCTCTCTATTTTCACCGTCTTAGTCTCTTCATTGTTCACATTTCTGCAATGCATTTTCAGAGAAAGTGTGTCTGTAATTCCGGATTAGGCTACGAGTTTGATCATAAAGTGCACTTCTTTTTTTCAGATCGTTATTGTTTAGTGATCACTAGAGTATATGTTTCAGCCTGATTACAGTCAAATATGTAACTTTTATTTGTGAAAGTACTAATGACATAAATTTGGGTGCTTAATTGCAACTGCAGTTGATGTGATGAAGAGTGGAGCAACAGTGATTCTGAGGAATGCGAAGATCGACATGTTCAAGGGCACGATGAGATTGGCTGTAGACAAATGGGGACTCATTGAAGTCACCGATCCTGTTCCGTTCGAGGTCAATCGAGCAAACAATCTCTCTCTCGTCGAGTACGAACTGGTCACTGTACTTGAATGACTAAAACCTGTGTCTGTCTTCTCTCCGTTATTTTTCTAGTTGGAATTTTCTGTCTAGTACCGTTGGATTGTATTCAGTTATGATTTTTCATCCGTTGGATTTTGGATGAGATCGTGTACTCTTTTTTTTTGGCACAGTTCTGGATAGTTTCTTTTTTTGTTGACTTGGTATTTGTTTTTCTTTTTTTAATTAGTCAGTATCACTGGTGAAGTCGTGGTCCGTAAATTGAGATGAAGATAAACCTTAAAACGTAGAATTTGACTGTCAATTAATCTACAATGGAGAGACGAGACCAGTTAGTTGAAATTAGATTTTGACTCTTTTCTCAGTTTCTCATTTCCTCCAGTTTTCAAAGTTCCCTATTTTGAGAGGACAAAAGTTTATAGTATGCAGTTTGAATTAGTATGCAGATTCTTGGATAAAAGACATTTCTAGGGACAGAAAATAAAACATAACTCACACAAGTTTGATATTGTATACTAGTAGTATAACTTAGTGACTTTAGTTTTCACTTTTCATGAAAGACAAAGTAAACGGAGCTTTCACAATGACTCCAAAAGTGCTCAAATACAACTTATCTTTGTTTTTTTTAAGGCTGGTACTCCTCTTGAGTACCTTCCAAGCTCTTGTAGTATTCCTCCATAGTTTCAAACTCGTTGGGATGATCATTTCTCTCATACCCACGACTATGAGAGACGTATTCGGAGTTTCGACCTCTTGTGTCGTAGAAGTACTTACCGTTCTCCATAAACCTCGTATCACTCATCCCTTGTCTCTCTTCTTCATTACCGTAGCCTCTCCTATTATCATTATAATTGCTCTTAGTAGTGTAACTGTATCCATTATTGTTGTTGTTATACTTATCCTTTTCCCCATTGAGATCTTCCGAATCCTCGGACTCTTCTTCCTCCTCGAACTCCTCCGGTAAGTTGTTCTTCTTCTTTTCTTCGTCAAATGTAGCCATCAGTTTCTCAAATTCTTCGTCTGTGGTTGTAGATGAAACCGGCCATGACTCTTTGCTTTGAGGAACCATACCGGAACCTGGCCCGAAAGGCCCATCACCGAGTCTTCCATTGCTTTCGGCTAGGCCCGGAGCGGGAGCTGGAGTTAGAGCTACCTCTTTGGTATTAGGGCGATTTAAGTGAGTGAACTTGCTAAAGAAGAGCTTACCTTCCCTAGCTTCAACACTGTGGCCAATGAAGCAAAAAACAGCAACAAGGAAATAAAAAGTGGACTTAAGAACAAATGAAGCCATCAATAAAGAGAGAGAGAGAGAGAGAGAGAGAGAGAGAGAGAGAGAGAGAGAGAGAGAGAGAGAGAGAGAGAGAGAGAGAGAGAGAGAGAGAGAGAGAGAGAGAGAGAGAGAGAGAGAGAGAGAGAGAGAGAGAGAGAGAGAGAGAGAGAGAGAGAGAGAGAGAGAGAGAGAGAGAGAGAGAGAGAGAGAGAGAGAGAGAGAGAGAGAAGAGAGAGAGAGAGAGAGAGAGAGAGAAGAAGAGAGAGAGAGAGAGAGAGAGAGAGAAGAGAGAGAGAGAGAGAGAGAGAGAGAGAGAGAGAGAGAGAGAGAGAGAGAGAGAGAGAGAGAGAGAGAGAGAGAGAGAGGGAGAGAGAGGGAGAGAGAGGAGAGTGTGAGAGCGTGAGAGATTTTAGGTTTTGAGATGTGTTGTTTTTAGTGCGAGACAGATTAAGTATAAATAGAATTGAAGAAGAAAGTGTTTGGAGTTATTAAATTGGCCGAGCAAACATGCGAGGATTGAGGAGGGACATTCGTCATTCGCGGCGAATGATTTTAAATTAGAGTAAATGAAAAGATAAAAGGAATGTAATAAAAGTAGGTCTTGTCTCCTAGATCGAGATGGATTTTTGTATTTGTATTTGTTACGAGTTACATAGCTTATATAGTTATATTTGGTCAAAAAAAGAAAGTATCCAAGACAATAACATCCAACTTTTGTAATTTATACATGCCTTTTGACTTTTCTTTTCACTGCTTGGTAGTTGAGTTAGTTGAAAATGAAGGTTACAATTAGATCATGTTTTGTGGTAGCAAAGCTTAGATAATGTCAAAGACAGATATGATAGATCTCATAAAAAAGTCCCATTTAATGACACATTCATGACACATTGACGAAAAAAAAGGTGTGGTCGAAAATGTGTCATGAAGTTTCTCTCAAGTCTAAACGATTGCTTAATGTTGAATCAAAGCTATCACAGCTTTTGTCCCGTGATCGTCGGAAATTATTTATTGATATTCTTTACGTTTGTCGGGAAATATATATTTTAACAAATTATATCTATAGCAACCACATTCACATTATTTAGTAAAGATTTTAGAAAGCCCAGCCCATTTTCAAAACTAGCTGGCGGTTAAAATCTGAAAATCGTCATGACGCCGTCAAGTAACGGCGGTTTTATTTATTTCTGTTGACTTTTGTTACAGTTATTGACTATTTTTGTTAACCAAACGACGACGCATCGTTGCCAAACACGGCCTTAACGTACAAAAAGCAAACCTCGTCAAAGGGAAAAAAGAACAGAGACAGTTTGTAAGCTCTGCTCTGCAAATACCGTTTTTTCATCTCGAGGCAGCAAAATCCACAGAAAACGAAGAAGAAGAAACTTGACATTGTAATTGTCTCGTGTCGTTACATCTCTCACTTTCTCAAAACGCACCGTTCGTAGAGCTCAACCAACACTCTCTTCCTCGGATTCTTTAACCCAACCAGCTCAGCTCCAAACCCGTGATTCAGTATCTCCTCTCTCAGCTTCTTCATTGTGTATTTCGAATGATCCATCCCTGTGGAAGAAGAAGACGCTCCACCTCCAGTGCTCGTGCATCTTCTTGGGGTCATCGCAATCATACCTCTCCCGCTCTCTTGTGAAACTGTATCTTCTTCTTCAGTCTCTTGCCCGAAATCCGAGCCTGAACAGGTTACACTTGCTTCTACTTTCAAACGCTTCACATGCTGCTGCATCGGTGTTGTTTCATCCGGAACCATGAAAGAGTGTTCTCGCTGCATCAAACTCACCCTCGTGTTCTTCTCCTTCTCGGCATTGATGATTCTCTGCCATTCAGCAACAGCTTCTTCGTTTTGTTTCGCTCTTGTCTCCAACGTTACAGAGAGCTCCGTCTTCTGTCTCTCCAGATCCTCAATTCGGCCCTTAGCTCTCTCATTTTCAATGCTTTTTTCCTGCAACAACGTCTGGAGTTTGTGTTCGTTGCTTTTGGCTGATTCCACTTCCGTTTCCATCGATCTCACTAGTTCCTTGGCTGCTGCAGCCTCTGTTTCCGAATATTTTAGCTTCACGCAGATATTTTTAAGCTCTTCAATGCGGCTCTTAGCTCGATCGATTTCAATGCATTTCTCCTGCAACGATGTTCGGAGTTCGCTCACATTCATACGGAAGGCTTCCGCTTCCCTTTTCATCGAATCCACAAGTTTCTTAGATGCTGAAGAAGCTTCGCTTTCACCACTCTCGAGCTTCGAGCAGACTTTCTCAAGCTCTTCTATACGGCTCTTAGTTTGGTCAATTTCAAAGCTCTTCTCCAGCAGTGACGCCTGGAGTTTGTTCTCATTGTTTCGGGATGCTTCAGCTTCCATTCTCAACGAATCCACAAGTTTATTAGCCGATGAAGCCTCGTTTTCTGCATTCTTCAGCTTCAAACAGATTGCTTCAAGTTCCTTCGTATGCGAAATATACTTCTTCTCTAACTCATCTTTCTCTTCCCTCAGAGTCTGTGTTTCAGTTTCAAGCAATGCAGCTGCGGATTTCACAGACTCATACTTCTCATTCAGAGCCGAGATTTGAAGCCTCAAGTCTTTTGCTTCCAAAGAACATTCGTCCACTTTCAACTTGCCTTTCTGCAAAGAAGCAACAATCAAAAACATGTTACGCAGGCAGATTGTTTCTTATGAAGAACAATGAAATTGCTTCTTATGAGCTCGTTAACCTCTTCAACAAAGATTAAATCTTTAGAGATTAGGAATATGGACTCAAATCATTCAGAGAATCTCACCTTTAATTCTGACCGCATAGAGACCAATTGCTGCTCCAAAGTCGCAAGCTTTGCACATTTCTCTGCGATTACCTTCTCCTATTAGTAACCAAGAATCAGAGTCACCACTTTATCAGAATCGGCCAAATGGTTGAGTTATTGTGTTCAATTATAGATTTCTCATATGATAAAAGCCTAACCTTCTCATCCAAAACACGGGAGAATTCAGCTCTCATGCCATCTTCCGTGGCTGAAGTTTGCTTCAACTTCTCCTCCATTGCCGTCTCCGAAACAGCTTTTCGCTCACTAACTGTATTCTCATATTTAATTTTCCAATCGATTGACGTACTGCACCTAGTGATCGACGCATTCATTCCTGCTCCATTGTTGCTGCTCACACCATTCTCATCCAATGTCTCCTCATACTTCCGTTTCCACTCAGATGCCTCTAGTCTAGTGGACCCCAACACCTCCATCAGATTAGAATGTTCGTTGTGAATCGACTTACACTTGCTTTCCAGGTCATGAATCCGGTGTTTAAACTGATCTGAGAGCTTGTTCATATCATCAATGGCGCTCTCGTAACGCATCTGATATTCCTTCCTCATTTTCTCTCCTCCTTCAAGTTGTTTCTTTAGCAAATCCCTCGTGCTTTCCATCGAACGGTGCTGCAGCTTGAGTTTAGAGTTCTCAGAAAGAAGTTCATCCATTTGATTCCCTCTGCGATGGACGAGAATGTCCTGTATACTAGAAAGTAACAATTGGCAAAGGTTAAATTTGTTTACGAAGATTAATCAAATAAAAACAAAAGGAGTAATCTTTAACTTTCAAAAGTATATAAAGAACCTCTTCCTCAAAAAAGAAGAAAGTGTCTGCCACTTCATAGGACCATTGATAGATGCTTCATACTCCGCAACAGCGGTATCAAGGGCCTGTTTCATATAGATTACAACAATGTTAATAATGAAAGAAAGATTTTCAATGGATACGAGTTGCTCTGGCTTAGGCATTATCATGTCAGTATTGTTAAGACGGGGGAAAAAGAAGATAACCTTGATCATATCGCCTATATTAGCCTCATGAGAACAAGGCAATGCCCATAGTTTCTTGCCCATATCTTCTATAGCATTACAACATCTCGAATACGCTTCAATATTTGCCACTCGCTTGTGATCCTGAAAATAAAATACTCTGTTCAGCACAAAATCCTCAAAACAAGAGCTGGTCTATCCGCAAAATATTAAGAGATAGATAAAAGAGAGATAAAGAAAGAGCGATAACCTCAAATGCCTTTGCAAAGAAACTCCAAAGCTCTCTTTTGTATTTCTGTTTTACTTCAGCGTTTCCAATGGAAGATTCACAAAACGCGGTCAAAGCTTTGACAACCGCCTTATTGTGTGCTTCGACTAGCATCGACTGCAGATCATCATGTCAATAGTTAATCTTACTACTCCACCCAAGTGATTGTTGAGTGTTACACGAATTAAAACTTACTTCTTCAGGACTCTCTACACGCTCCAAAGATGACATATAAACCTCAGTTGCTGTATCACGGGCCCTGCGACCTTCTAATTCCTCTACAGACTACAAGCAAAATACAGAAGATGCATCATAAGAGGCATAATCATTTGATGAGAACACTGAACATTTCCAGAACTTTTTAATACTAACCAGCCATAAAGAAGAAATCTTAGGCACAACGTTGTTGTTAACATTTTCTGAAAACGACTTTGTGAAACCAGCAAGAGGCGGCCCTGTGACGATGGTTTCACTTCTTTTCTTAGGCCTTACTCTCTCAGAGACAAACTTCACTAGAGCATTTACACCGTAGACAAGCTGGGGTCGTAGCTTTTCGAGCTATTCACAAAAGAGTACACAAGTTTTATCGGACAAGAGAAAAGAAGAGATAAAAATACAGTGACGCTTGATTAGGGAGAGGATCAACTCACCTGGTTATTCTGAGTTACATCTTCTCTACCTTCCACTGTTTCTGAGTTAATATCCTGATAATAAGGAAGTTAAAAAAAACCGTTCACAAACATCAGAGACTAGCTGATTCTAAACCTTCCTTAAGAATGTACATTGATGAGGGAATTATCACCGTCATAAGTTGAACAAAAATGGGAGAGAACTGCCCAAGCCCGGAAAATGTATTGTCCTTAGCTTCTTCAACGTGGCCATGCTTGCTAATCTCAAGTAGACGAGAGAGATCAAGTGCAATGTCCTTTACACCAAGTGACTGAAACATGAAGCAGCATTTTTCGTTATACAAAGCACTATGTGTGTGTTTAGACAAAACTTTCTTCAGAAAAGAAATAACTTACCGGACCATAGACAAACACGCTTGATAAGAGGATAGCCAATGCGAATATCTGACTGTTGTGTGCAGCCTAACATATCAAATCAATTTAGCGCAAAATGAAACTGATTATTCCTAAAGTTTTTTTTAAAACATATTTTCTCTTGAAAGACTTGAATGTTTGATAAGATGAAAGCAAGACTAACCGGTATACCATTAGAGTCTGCCCCTTCGACATCGAGTAACACTAAATTATATTCAGTGCCATCTTCTGAAATCCTCTTCACCGGCTCAATCCACATCCATATATCTCCGGTGCATGGTCTGTGAAGATTTTGTACTTCAAATCCAATGCTCCTGCTAAGAAGCTATATATCGAAGCTCAAAATTAGAAATTTATCATCTTCAAATGCATCAGACATAACAACGAATTAAATAACATATACACAAACTTTCACATTCCTTCGCATCTTTTCTACAACGTTTCCCAAAAACAAAGCATATGAGACCGCATAGAAGAATGGTTACGGAAGACACAAATTCGCAGGAGTAAGCAATGCAATGTCCACAAAAAAGAACCAAACTTCCCCTAAATCATCAGAAATTATCATCACAGCCAAAAAAAGCTAATAAAGTGAATATGGGCAAATAACACTAAAACCCTAAACCCTTAATCAAAAATCAAAAGTAAGTAGACCCAGAAAAAAAAAAGTACCTGATTCCAGATGAAGCTCTTGCCATGGAGAGCATTTCCGAAGAGTGAGACAACAGCGACAGGACCCTTAAGCTTCTGAAGAGCGCCAATGGCTTCCGGGTCTGTCTTCAACTCCCCAATCTCGTCTATGTAAACCAGTTGGACGGCCCGACCCGAAACCGACTCCACCGTTTGGTTTCTCATGAAGACCCCAAGGCGTCTCCTTTATTCCCAGTGATGGTGTCACTGAAGAACCTCGCTTCAATTTCACAATGGGTTTGATCTAATTCCGATCGTATAACAGTCGGAATACTGTATAAGTATAAAGGTCTGAACTTTGGGAATGGGAATTGAGAAGTACAGCAAGAAAAGATTTGAACTTTGAAGAGAGATATATTTCCCAAGGTTAAAGTTTTTACAGAAACGACCGGGCCATAACAAACCATCTCCAAATTTGTGCAAAGTTGAAATCTTATTGGTTCGCATTAAATCAAAGGCCCATAAGTATTAAGTCCATTAATACTTGCCAGAATTTTCACCCCAAATTGATCTGAGGTTTGAGGAAGAAGCAAATTTCCCCCCGAGAATTGAGTTTTCTTTTAATCGAAACCTTAAATAAATAGGACCGTAGAAACATAAAAATATATGTTTGTAGTATCTTTGAAAATTGAAACACTAGCTATATCTCTGATGTCTCTTTTGCCTTTTCATTTTCTAATTTCATTTTCTTATTATTATGTGTTTCCTCCACTATGAATTGCCCTGCAAGTTAAGCTAGAATTATTGAGCTCAAAAGCCTCCATCTTTTCTTTTGTCCCCACCACTTCCCGATCCACTCTTTATATATGCATATCAGCATATGTAACAAAGTATACGTATGTATGTACGTACATACAATTAATTATTGAGTACTTATTTATGAAAAGCAAATCATAGACCTTTCTACAAATACAAGTGCATATGCATGAATCTTAGCTTTTTTCTTTAGCGAAAATGCGATAGCAAACGAGACGTGGATATTTAGCCAAATTTTGATTTAAGGAGTATGTTTAAAGACGTGATCATATTGAATTTGATGAATATATGGCGTTACAAAAGAAAACATGCTGCAGAAGAGTTGAAAGAATCAACAAAGTTTGTGATGTTAACTAATATATTTGTCTTGAACATACATAGCGTACTAAGATAAAATTAAGTTCTGATTTTGGTTTAGTGAAATAATTAGTGCACTAAGATATAGAAACCTAAAATCTTTATATCAATCAAAGAAAAAACAGCTTTGATAAGTTCTTATGGATACCGTAGAAAAACCAAATAATTAACTTTTTTTAGAAAATGTTTCAAATCCATCCATCGATAGAGGATGAATGACACATTGTTTGTACACCAACCCCAAGAAAATCCCGAGTTTGCCCTCCTCCTGCTGCTACATCCCCACTCTCAACTCTTCTACGCTTCCAGGGGTAATTCTGTAATTCGTCAATCCCCGAAACGACCGTTACGCCATTTCTAGGGTTCCCGATATCGTGGAGACCATTGTTACTCATTAACCCGACGCTGTCTGATCCAAACAGAGCGAAGAACTTGTCTCTGCCACCATCATCTACAATCTGACTCTGATCAGATATTTTTGACGCAAAGCCCTGGAGAAACGCCGATTGGTCGATGTTGGTTGTCGTCGTTGGCGTGGACAAAGTCGCGCCCATTTGTGCCGCTTTTTGAAGTAACGCAGTTGCCGACATATTCGCAACCGCCGCGACAGCTGCGTTTGCGTCTTGGTTAGTTTGGTCGTCGCTGCTGAATAGAGAAGGCACGGAAAGAGAAGTAGCCGTGTCTGCGTTTTCCTTGATCGGGACAATGATATTTTCATGAGTGATGAGGGAATCGCTCGTCGTTATCAGCTCGCCGCGATTATTCGCGTTCCCGAAAACCCAATTATAATCCTCCTGCGGTGTCTGCGGCTGCGGTGAGACACGGTTGTCGATGGTCACTGGATGATGGTTAATACTTCCTCCCATCCATAGGGAGAGCGAAGAAGCAGGTTTCATGGCGTCATGATGTTGCTGATGATGATCGAAGGTGGTGGCTGCGATAGGGAAATGGTGGTGGTGATGTAGCGGTTGCGGTGGCTGTAGTGGTCCGAATGGAAACGACGGTGGTTGTGATTGTTGTTGTGGTGGTGGTGGGATAAGTGTGCCCATGAGATAATGGTAGTTTAGATTATTACTGGTAAGGCTTTTGAGATGTGAGGCTGCGTTTAGCCTAGCGGTTTCTTCTGCTAGCGCGTCGCAAAACGCTCTATGCGTAATGAAGCTATCTCTCCTGTTTTTTCAGAAGAAACAAAATTAATCAATAAAACTTATATTTATAGTCTATACACACCTACATGTATGTATCTGTATATAGCTACCATAAGGTTGTACCTCTTACTTTAACCAAAATCTGTCAATCCAAGAAACTGTCATATTCAAGAAAATAAGCAGCACGTACGCTCTCAGAGAATGACAAAAACAGATCCTTCATTTTCTAAGTTTTAGACCCTACAAGAGCTAGTTCCAAACAACAACAACATATAACTTATCCTATATTAGCTTGCAAAAAACATAATAAAACAAATTTGTCCAATGATATTTTAATATTAGCGGAGGTAATAGGCAGATTACTTTTTATCACCATACTAGACAATCTAGGTTAAGTATGAGGTACAGAAACTCAGACATGATTAACTTTACTATTACAAAGTTATGTTTGAATGCATATTGAATGCAATTGATGCATGACGCAGCTAGGTGATCATATAATGCTATAATACATACGTATATAGGGTCACGTAATAAGTACCTGGAGAATATTGTACCACAGTCACATCTATACTCTCTAGTCCCACAAGTCTTGGAATGAGCCTTCCAATCAGATTGGACTGCATATCTCTTGGAGCATTTCTCGCACTTCCACTTCTTCTCGCCATGTTTCCGACAAAAGTGTTTCTTGATTCCTGTAAGGTCACCAAGTGCCCTTGTCGGGTGGTGGTGGACGCAAGTCTTCTCCGGACATACATACACTCGCTTCCTCACTTCTTTGCTCGTCCTCTGCTTCAGCTTCCATGGAAGGTTGTGTCCTCGCCTATGAAGCTGTAGATTCTGGTCTCTTTGGAAACCTTTTCCACATATCTCGCAAAGGAAACGATTAGTTGCCATAAGTGTCTTCGGTGATAGAGCTATGACCTCGGCTTCTGGATCTGTAGAGATCAAAATAATCATTAAAACGTTAAGTTATGGATCATACAAAGGATCTATTGAGTAGAACACATGCATGTGTATAAATCAAGATCGAAAACAAACAAATCAAGAAGATGATGACATATATACAAGCCCTTTTTTTAAAGTATCTTAAACCAGTGATAAATTTACTTAAATAATCATTACCTGGATTTCCAGGGAGGTTTCTCTTCTTCTTGACAAGAGGAGGATTGAAGGATTCATGTTGGTGATGATGATGATCAACAATATGATCAGTTGTTGATGAGCTTTGGACATACCCTCCACTGCTTGAGATTGCCTGATCTTCAGCTGTCATGACTTCTTATGGACAAAAGTTTTGTTGGAAGAGATACAAGAATTTGAAGATTGGAGATGGATATTAAAAAGGGTAATTAAGAGAAGAAACAGTAGAAATACTTGGAATATGATGTAAATATAAATGAGAGGAAAACACCCAAGAGAAGTTATATTGGTTGTGTACTTATATATACTCACATACCTGAGCTAGCGCATATGTGTAATAAAAAAAATATTCTTCTCTCTCTTAATATAAATATATATGCACATCTTGATCTGTAAAACTGTCGCAGCCATTTTCATAAATAACTAAAGTATTGTATATTTTCCCAATTTTAGTTTTCCATTCCTTAGTTAAAAGTGTGTACAGTTTTCCTGACTATAATTTTATTAATTTTATTCATATATTTTGAAGTGGCAATGCGTCATGACACACAGAAAGTTAACATGTCTGCCTTTTCTATTTGGAATGATGATCTCATTATGTATTTTCTTCTTTCTTTTCTTTTTCCTTATTCATCATTTTTTGGGGTTAATTTCATTTTTGTTTAAGTTCGGCTGTATTTTTCACGACTAGCAGACCAAAGTGTTTACTAGTGTGGTGAATACGGATTGTATTCTATTTTCGTTACCACAAACTAGGTGAACTGTAGCAACTGAGTTACTGACATCATAAGGCAATCTAGGTGTTCATAAACCTTTTACTGTACGATTTCATAGCTAACGATTTCTCGAATTTCTTATATTGGGATTTTAAGTTCTCCGTAAGTTAAGGTGGTCAAAGAAGTAAACAAATCCAACGGCGCTGGTCACATCTCTCGTCTGTTGAGAATAAAGCCTGCAATGCACGTGTACCCATGCACGTGCTTCTAAGGTAAAATCCAACAACATACGACAAATGAATTAAGAACCTAAATATGCAAAAGAGAATAATCGTCTGGTCGACAGTGAAAACAAAACCCATGCGACATTATAAACTCTTCCCTTCCAGTACGCAGTACCCCACTTCAAATATTCTTTTTTCTTTTTTCTATTTAATAAGAAAAAAAAAACTTTCACAGTGGGATTTTTCTTGTCACTTAAAATATCTGTAATTACAAAACAAGAACCCTTGTAATAGATTTTAACATCGTTTTTGTTTATGTGAAAAATAACTTACAAATGGTTTCTGGAACTGAGAATGAAAAGTTGGTAGATACGAGTATCTTTTATATGCTTTTCTACAAGGATCTTTTCCAATGCTCCTTTTTTTTTCTTTTTCTTTAGCAAAGTTTATTTTTTGCAATATATCAAAGTGTTTCTCTTCACAAAAATGTTAATTTTCAACTTAGAAGATGCGGACTATATATGTCATAAATAATGTAAGTGTCATATTTTTTTTTTAATGTAAAAGTGTTTTATAGAAGGACTAGGTTTTTGCTTAATATTACTAACAAAATTTGCGAGAAACTATTTCGATCATTACTTCATAGTTTCAAGCTTTTGATATTTCAAAATCTCGATCATATCGATTTTCAAACAAAAGTAAACTAGATGTGCTTTTTTTAACCCCTAGCCGAAAAGTAAAATAAATATGGTGAATTAATTAGTTGAAAGAAAAAGAAGAGACAGAACACTGACAAAATGCAGGTGAATTTTTGGAAGGAAGAGAGGTCGTCAGCTTGTGGGCTGACTTAACTACCAATTATTTAGGTAATTTACACTTTAATCATAATGTAATCATGTTATTTAATGTCTTTAATTTTGGACTTTTCTTCTTGAACTTTGGCGGCACTAGAATATTCCCCTAATTTTTCGAGACTTTATCAAATACTTATAGTATTGTTAACTTTACCAAACAATCAAGATTCACATACATTTGAAAAAGGAAAAAAATAATCAAGATTCACATACATACACCAGATCGATAGATAGGCAAATAAGCAAACGGCCGGGGTTTTAACTACAAAAACGCGTTTATATGTGAATATGGGTGTATGTGTATCCATGTTTTTCAACTATAGTGATTATAGTTTGATCGACCTAATATTAAGATATAATGCATTAACAAATCATAAATTAAAATTATTGTTATCTGTTTTACTATGACTCAATATTAACAAAAGTATAAAAATATTCGTTTAACTGTAAAGAATAGTTTAATCCGTGTGTTCACCTATCAAATTAAGTTAAGATGTTACGTGATTGGAGTACAATCATGATATATCCAATCAGCAAACAAGTTAATGCAAACATATATATGCATATATCTATAAGTATATATATAATAATATTAGCTAGCATAGACCAAAAGTCTTAACATGGATTCACATAAAACAACATTAGCTAGAATCCATACTTATTCTTGGGAGAAAAAAAAGAGAGTTACAAACAAAAGAAATCACAATCTAGGAGATGTCACATGTTACATGTATATGTATTAAACGTATGGGCATTTAATTAAAAATGATGCGATAAACGACATTTCAAAGAAGACAAAGGATAGATCCATATCACAGCATAAAAACTTGGCGATATATGAAATCAAAATAAGGACATAATGGAGATATGATTAGACTTAAAGTATACATATGTCACTTAGTGGATGATAATGGCCTTCTTGTTTTTACTCGGACTTGACCAATCCAATACATATTCGGTCAAATTGATATCGACATTCTACATATCAAAATCCCTCTTTGTTTCTTTTATGGCTTTTTATCTTTCAACCACCTTACTTTTTCCCGTTAATTTTAAATTCTTAGAACGCATTAGTGCTTAATAACAGAAAATATTGAAGATATTACATTCTTTAAACGACATTTTGTAAAGCATTATCGCGGTTATAACTGAGAAATGAATATTTTTATATCAATCTTAAATTCATGGAAAAAAATAAACTTGTCATTGAATGGAATGGCAAACTCATGGAAACAAATAAACGAAATGGTTACGTTCCATGCAATTACATGTGGAAATTGGAAAAAAGAAGATTATTTTTTCATGGGTCATAAAAGTAATTAAAAGATAAAGTCGCGCTTTCCAACCATTTTCCACAAAGTTGATTGAAACGGGTCCATGAGTGCAAAGCGAGAAAAGGAGAGTAATACCTAAACATAGGATCAAGTGGTAGTTAATTATCATAAAACATAATCAACTGAACTGGTCATTGTCAATGATTTACCCTTATAACTACACTGTTAAGCCAACTTTAAGAGTTTGCTATTAGAGTCGGTCAATCTAACCAAATTTGGGCTTCGAGCCTCTAAAAACTCTGTGGGAAATGATTTGTCTAACTTTAACAATGTCATGTGTCATGAATTTTATTTTTGTCATGTGTGTTTAACCATGGTTGAACTTGTTGTCTTTCAGTTGAGAGCGATCGTAGGTATGACTCTCCTGAATCACGATATCAGTTTAATTAAAGATTGAAAAGCACTAGCTAGTTAAAATAACCTAAATTGCTACCAAACGGTCAAATTTGGCCCACCTTCATCCATATGGTTCGTTGATGCATTCGAGCTCGTAAAAAGCATATTAAAAAGTTGATGATAATTACTTAAAAGCTATCTTTTCGCAATATTTAATAGTAGTCACAAAATGATATCGCCTTCATGATTGAAGGTTGCTCTCATCACATATAGTTTAGTTTAATCAAATAAATCACGCATGCGCTTGTATGGTTTCTTAATGCTTAATTTCTTAAAATACCATGAATACTATATAAGAGGATTATGACCACTGAAACGTATAAACATACACATGCGGACATATGCATATGTATCAAGTTTATGATTTGACAGAATCTGCACATATCTGCTGTCAAGAATTTTTTTAGCAGAATTGGACTGGCTATTATATTAGCTTATATTGGGCCATATTAATTTTGTCAAGATAAAGGTCACGTGATTAACCCATACAAATGTCAGCGAATGGGCTGTGAAGGCCTAATTTGAAGTTTCACAACGCAGGCTAACTGAGGTGTTTAGCATGTAAGTGTTAAGGCTTTATTTAAGACCAAAGATGAAATCATTGTTTACAAGTAGGATTTCGCTCAGGAATCACATCAAGAAGATATTCAAATAAACCATCTCATCAAAAGCTTCGCAATATGTACTTTGATGATTTGCTCGAAAAAACCTGAATCTTGGTGAAATCAAAGCAGAAGCCGTAGATTTTTTTTATTTGGAAATTCCTAAATTTTAGATGAGGATTTGACTTTCGGCTAGTGTTTAGATACCATTTGATTCATTCCTTAATATGCATGTTTATACACAGATAAAAGTCTTACGAGCTATTAATCACAAAAATTAAACAAAACATTCAAAAGTCGGCAAGTTTTTTTTTTGTTATTTTATGTGTTGCTTTATGATCAAACCAATTGCATAACAATCAATTACAAATTCACATAGGTTGAATCATTGCAAAATATATTAACAAATAATGTAAAAAGGATTATAAAAAAAGAGAGAAGACAGTAAAATAAAATATCAGAAGGATTAAAAATCGTCAATCAAAGCCATAAAGCCCCAGCTTGTCTGAGAGTAGGCACTAAATCACCGTTAATATGAGCAGCCATCAGATTTTCCAACCCCCCAAACAACTTCCCTCCTATGAACATGACTGGTAATTTCTCTCCTAAGATAATGTCGTCGTTTTTGTCTTCTTCATCAATCTCAACTACCAATGGGTTCACGCCATGTGTCAGTAGCAGCCGCTTCGCCACGTGTCCCATACAACAGCCTCTCCTTGCAAACACCACTACAGCATTCTCCATCACCAATACGTTGCTAGATTTCTTAGTGCTTAAAGATGATGGCTTTTGTGATGATGATGACGGTGATGATGTTAACCATGACAATGATGATGGTTTATCTTCATCCTTTGGACGGAAGATGCTATTGCCCGGTATGGTCTTCGTCCACGATGACTCGTATGGCCTTATTGCTTTTTGCATGATTGATGTATTTGAGAGAGAGAGAGAGAGGATAGAGAGAGTCTTGCTTAGTTGGGTTGGATTGGTAAGAGATTGGATCAAAGAATTTATATAGAGGAATTTTGGAGAACATTTTGTTTGGGGTCAACGAAAGCATGTGTAAATTGTATTCGCATAATATCCGAGGTCACGTCACCGTATCCAAAATGAAAATCTTTAGCTATATTTATGACCGTTTTATATTGTTGAGTGTAAATCACCCAAGTACTTAAAGTGTTAATTAACTCAGGAGTGAAAGATAATTTATGAAAGCATTGTCGGAATTCAAATGCGACAGCTCATTTAAAAAATGCAGTAAATAACTGTTTCTCCAATTATCTTAACGTAATGTCATTTTAAACCTTTTGTAAGCTGGAAAACTGTAGCATTTAAATCAATGACTTGCAGGATATAGTTTGATTTAAATATAGATGATGACGAAGACATAGTTAGTGGCTTACGACAAGGCTGATGTCAACATGTTTCTTTATTTGTTTCAAACTTATGTGATAATTTAAATTGTCTTCCTATGGTTACGTTTATGGATAAATGCAAATCATTGTATGGACCATTAGATTTTAGGCCATCTCTATTACGTCATGACGAAGACTTGTTTTCTCTAACATTAAGATATCAATTTGTATCTGATATTCTAGTTGAAGCTTGAAAAATATCTGCCCCTAGCCTTTTCAATATTTTTACAACCTTTTTAAGACACGTTACATTAAAAACGCAGATCAAAATCGGATGACAAGAGGATAAATATACATTTTTTTTTTTTTTTTTTTGAGGATAAATATACATTGTTGAGCGTTAATGTTAGGAACTCAACTTACGATCGGATCGGAGAACACATTAAAGGAACGTCACGAACCCTACAGAAGCAAAGGTCATGACGTGTCAAATTTGTGGAAAATTCTAACAACCCCTTTCGTCAAAAGGAAACAGCTGAGAACTACCAAGTAGGAAAAAAATGACAGGAGATGGGCCCTTACCGTGACAAAACGACATGACGTTTCCATTTAACTTTACGAAACAGCAAGTCGTGCCTCTTTAATTAATTATATAACGCGTGTAATCTTTATATTATTACGCAAGCATTTTAGTTTTTCATCATATATACGAATACGATCATCATCGCTCCTAATTTACAGCTTTATTTTTTCACGTTCGGGACATTAATTAATCATACATGACATCATAAAAGCAGCCGTCGGTTATGTACAAATTAGACATCAAATAAGAGTTTTACTTGGTCAAAATCTAAACTAAGATTGTTTTTAATTTGGCGTCACCAGAAAACTTGCCGGAGTTTCGTCACCCCATAAAACTCCTAACCGGTAAGAGAAGGAAAAAGACGTCTCTATCATGGTGGCGCCGGCAAGGCGTCATTAAATACAAAGGGTCCATGTTGCTATGCTCATACGAATCTCATAATACGTATGCATTATATTATTTTCTCCCAATACAAATCTCTTAATACTCAAGAGGTAGATGTTAGATAACGTTGGCAACTAGTGGAGAAAATAAATGAATTGAATAGCAAGTTAACAACAAACAACAAAACGAAAAGAAAATCTTATGTAGGGATTGGTGTGGACCAAATATCAGGAAAAGCAGGACATTCTTATCCAATATGTATCAGACCAAATAATGTATTTTTCTTAGTATATCTTTTCACCCTGAATATATTGTAAACCTGAACTTCAAGCAAAAACAGATTGAATGTTTTGATGGTTTGTATCCGATCCAAGTTAGGGAATAATACCATAGGCGTTTCAAATTCTACTTGGTGCTTTTGGATTTGTTTGGTTTTGGTACACAAGGTGTCAAATTAGACCATTTGTCTTTGGTTTTGTTAACTTTGAGTTAAAATAATAAGATGAAGAGCATTTTCTTAGATCGTGTGGTACATATACTTGAGGATTATACCAAGGAGCATGTATCAAATCATACGAATATGAATATTATTAGTTAAAAAATTCTAACTTCTTCAGTTTTTCCGAGAAACGACGGGAAAATATCAACAATCAAGTTCCATTGAACGTGACGAGATTAATACTGACCAAAACCAATCCGAGTCATAACGTGTCCACAATAAAGGGCAGAATAGTCATTTGGTCAAAACACCGAACCTGTTCTTAAAACTTCACGGGGAAGATTTTACGGAGAAGAGAAAGGAACGGAGCTTACAAACTCCTCGTTTTACTTCTTAGGCTCCAAGTTCATTTCTTGGAGGTTAAGCAACAGATCGTTGGAGCTGAGGTAAACCTTGTTAGCAGATTGTGCAATGGTCTGAGCGATCTCTCTCGCAGCTTCAATCTTCCTCAGAGTAATGAATGCCTGATTGTTTGCAATAGCTTGTCCGATAAGTTGAGCACTTTTAGCTTCTCCCTGCACAGATAATCAATCAAAGGACCAAACGCTTAAGCAGAGAAAACACATAAATCTCTGTTATTTGAATGGGAATAAAGATCCAACGATCATGTATACCTGTGCACGGATGACAGCGCTTCTCTTGTCTTGCTCAGCTTTCTCCACAATGAACTTGGCCCGTTCAGCTTCCTGAGCTGCTACTTGTTTAGCCTCGATTGCTGCGGTGAACTCTTTGCCAAATGTGAGAGTTGTGATGGAGACGTCATCAAGAGCAATGTCGAAGTTAGAAGCTCTCTCAGTAAGAATCTTGCGTATCTCTCTGCTCACAGCCTAGAGGAGAGTAAAAGCAGTCCAGCATTAGGAACAAAGGAGTAGAAAACATTGAAGAAGAAGCGAATCTTGAGAAACCTACTTCTCTCTGGGTGATGAGTTGACTTGCATTGTACTGAGCCACCACTGCTTTTAGGGTCTCGTGGATGATGGAAGGAAGAACCCTTTCACTGTAGTTCTCGCCTAGGGTTCGGTAAATCTGAGGCAGACGGTCACCCATGGGACGTGTGAGAACCCTAAGTCCAATTTTCACCTTTGCAAACAAACCAAGAAAAAAATTAGAAACACCCTTTCAGAAAAAGAGACAAAGAATGGAGCTTAAGTAAAAGAAACATGATATAGAGTCAGAGCATTCTCTATTCCTTTTCAATCCATTATCAACACAGTCACCGAAGTTCATATAAGGATCTACATTAATCATGTAATATCCTAACAGAGCAAGTGAAATTCAAACTACGACTCCATTGCCAAAATTAATAAACCACATCCAAATTTAAAAACATGGTCTTCATGCTGCATCTAAGGGTCTTCACATTATCTCAAAAGAAGGAATGTGAAGTATGATCTATAGCTTCATATTCAGTAACATCATATAAAACAATATCACAAACAAAAAAGGACAAAAGCAGAAGAAACGCATAACGCACCATCTGGAGGTCATGACTACCGGTGGTGCTCTCCACTAGGTAAGGTCGTGCACGGACGTCATAGATTATTGGCCTTTCAAACCACGGCAACATGAAATGTGTTCCTTCCGGATAGACCTGAAAAAAAGAAAATCCGTGGAGTAAAAGCCAACACTTTTCAAGTTAACTATCCATAGACTTCAGGATCCAAATTAAGTCTTCATAGTTGGAGGAATACAAAACCTTTTCCTTGATACCAGTTAACCGGTTGAACATGACAGCACGATGTCCTCCCTCGACATTGTAGAGGCTATTAGTAATGGCATAGACTCCGAGTCCACCAATTACGCTGACCTTAAGAAGAGCAGATAGTGCAGGAGATCCAGGGACGTTGGGCACTTTGTTGAAACTCATTCTTAAGAGCTACAAAAAACAATGAACATGGCACTCAGGTTTTACACAAGAGAACGGTTTACGGATATAAATTCGATAGGTAGCATCGTTTGTCAGCAGATAAAAGAAAATTCAATTTCCAAAGATCCAGAACACTTAACACAAACATCAGAAATCACACATATAGATAAATCAAAAGCACGAGCCTCCAATAAAATCAAAGAGAACAAACACTGCACTGGAATGACAATGAACAAATCACCAACGGAGAGAAACATGAATAAAACGACGGCATATAACAAGTCCAGAAATTTAAAGCATCGGTAACAGATTCAGATGCTAAAATCGATCGAGCATTTGACCAAGTATCAAATCGATTCAGTGAGTCAATCATAGATCGTGGAACAAGTGGAACGAGAACAGATCGACGAGCTTTCATCACATGAACATTCTACCTCTAAAATCACGCAAGGAATATTAAACCGAACAACGATCAGGCACTGCGTGAATATAATAGGCACCCAAACAGAGCATACCAGTAAACACGGTAAATATTCGGAGATGCGAAGAAGATTCAAAGAGAGAAATATGAACCTTAGCTCAGCTCTGACTCGCCGGCGATGTTCGGGTTTAAGGAAGGATCACGATCGGAGCAGCCAAACAAGCTTAGGGTTTTAGAATTTAGAAATCAGAAATGAAGTGGCGATACGGCAAAATATCTCCTGGTTTGTTTGTGTCAAATTGCTCGGGCCCATTAATAAGAACGTGGTCCATTAGGCCCATTAGCAAGAACTTGATTCATTAGGTCCATTATGTCATTTACTCTTTTCTTTTCCCTTTTTCTTCTGTTTGTCAATTCTCCTTCGTTTACAATTCTCTTTCCTTCAACTTAGTGTGAGTGGCTTCATAACAGATGCACTGCCACATGGTCGAAAGATTATAAGAAAACAGACGCTCACGGTTGTCCTGACTCCAGACTACATCATATTTTAAAGAGTGTGTTTACTATAAAAAAACATTTTTCAGGATTAATAATAGCCTATACGAACCAGCAAAGAGATATATATGGTCCAATCCATGACCATATCTAATTGCATGTGATGTCTACTTTTTCGGATCTGAGGGACCAGTAGTATAATTCAAATAATCTTTCCATTTAAAATATATACTGGTTAATTATCGGCTCTTGTTTAATTAACTTAAACCATTAATTGACTTTGAGTAGCTTAGTGGTTATCAATACTAGCGTTCTTTGATCCAATTTTCACATAGTTAGAGTTAAAATCTGATTAAGTGGAACATGCAACAACAACAACAACAAAAAAGAATCTGCATTTACTATAACTTATTATCTACAATATTGTTTAATTTGGCTTCAAGCCTTCAACTAACAGTTCTAACTTAAGCTTGACACTACATGTGAACCGAGTTTTCCCCCGTCAATATATTGAATTTGAGTCTATACAATTTTAGTATTTCAAATAACAATTTTATTATTTTGCGTTGACCAGCTCAAGGAAAGAGTTACATCGATTTTATGTTATAACTTCCATAAACGAAAATTATATGTAATAGATTACGTGTAATAACTCGCATTTTATTTCATGGAATTGAATAAACAAATTTCAGGTTTCATTCCTCAAACCGTAGGATAGCATCAACATAAACCAAAACAAAGCATCGATCATAAAATTCAGAAGAGAAATTTCAAACACAAGACAACAAGTCCAATACCAAATCCTAGTCCGGCTTTCCTCTCACCGGAGCCTGACTTATCGGAAGGCGAGGCCGGCGCCTTTTTAGTGGAGTTGGAGTCATCGGAAACCCCAGATGATGGAGATTTGGGGGCAGGAGCAATCGGCGAAAGCTTGTTCTCTCCGAACATCTCACCCGGCAACAAAACCATGTCAACAACATAGACTGCAAGAGGACGTTGTTGTCTCAACGCGTTGCTGACACGTGTCTCCACGTAACCGGTTGATACATTGACTTGGTTCGCTTCACCAGTGAAGTTAAGCCCGTAAACACCGTTGTCTCGGCCGGAAGCTTGAGTCCTAACCGGGTTACTCACGGAGAGGAGATCATCCAAACTGTAGTACTTGGGGCTAACGTGGTAGAGAATGAGTTTGACTTGTTCGTCTGCGGTTAACTTGTTTAGGGTTCCCGGTTTAAGGTTTTGAAAAGCATTGTCCGTTGGAGCGAACACGGTCATGCCTTCAGACGAACTGTTGAGTTGAATGTTCACTTGGGCACCGACTTGAGTGATGTTTAGGAGATGCATAAATTTAGTGAATTGACCTCCTTTCTCGAGGATCTGTGTGAGGTTGATGGGACCAGCAGGGCCCGGAGCAGGGGCTGTTGGCTGAGCCGTTGTCTCGGTGGAGAGAAGTACGGCGGCGATGAGGAGGATAGGAGCTAGGGTTAGACGAGTGGTGGCCATTGTTATTGGTTTGTTAAGTTATTGTGTGAAGAGTGAGAGATCGGAAGGGAGTGGTTTTTATATGGAAGTAAAATGTTTACGAGTGATGAGTTGTGACATTGTTGGAATGAGATGGCCAAGTCAATACAAAACGGTTGTAGACAAAATAATGTCTATTCAGATTTATTTATTTATATATATAACCGTTAAGATCCATTTATGGTTCTCGATTAATTTAACACTTGAGAAGTATATATATTAGAATATATATGAGGTTGGTGGATCCGTGGATAGAGCCCACATCACATGTAATGGGATCGAGTGAATAATTCGAATTTACATACAATTTCGGATATAAAAGATAAGGTTCGACAACACAACTTAAGGTCGACGTAAATCGAAATATGAATTTCAGGGGTACGAAGAGGAGGAAAAAAAGACTCTTAGACGTAAAATCTTCTGCAATGAACTTAAGTCAACTATTTTTGAGATAATACCATTTTTAGACGTTGATGACAGCTCCATTTTTATGTATGTTTGTTTGTAACATCTTTCAGCAGTATTAAAGATATGTAATGGAATAGGCGGAATAGCTGAAGAGAACCTTACTTTACAGCATACAATAGCCAATATGTTAGAAACCGTGTAATTAACGTGATCCACAGTTTACATATATATGCCGTGTAGATACATACATTCGTATATATATATATGCTAGTGTATCATGTATGTATAATGTAGAAGAATATATGTGTGTGTGTGTTCTGTAAAGAACAAATTGAGTGGACAAGCCGACTAAGTGACAGCTGGGAAACACAAGTTGGCATGTGGGTGAGAGTGGAAGACCAATAAATTTATATTGCCTCATCACTAACAACAATTGCATATACAAATATTTGATTAAGAGAATAAATTAATTGCTTCGTCTTACCAAACATATTATCACCTAAATTACATTCATGCATTCAGCATACGATACGTTTGCGAAATTGTGAAAGTTAATGATTTTTAATTTTTTTAATATTTTCATTTCCCCAAATGTTGTATAATTTTGTGCTTCTTAAAGTGCATTGCTGTCTGACGAAAAAGGTGTATTGCTGTCTTTCCTTGAAACGAACGGCACGCAGTTGGAGAACATAAGGAAATTAGTACCATCCAGAGCTTCAGTTGGGGCCTATATATTTGGCTTTGACATTGGTCTGCAGATGATGACTTGAGAAATCAGGCCTAATTTTGTTCAGTATTTTCAACACAAGAAGCAGAAAATTTATAAAAACATAAAAAAACTATGGGAATCCTCGCTACTGACTGGCTGGTTAACACTGTCTAAAAAGTTTATATTACTCAAAGGTTATATGGTTTGATAAATTAATCATACTGTTTTCCTTATTAGGCACACATAATATTAATTACTTTTATCTCATATACATTGAATATTCGAATGTACGTGGGTGTACAGTACACTTGGCAGCGATGACAATATGATGTGTTGGAATACTGTGATCTTGCCATGCAACGCGACTCCTGTGGCCATTCATGTCACAATGTGTCACTCTTTGAGTATCCATTTTTCTAAAGAACAGAAAACATACCTTTGTTGCTTTGCAACAATAGTAAAACAACAACCACGTCCATTAAATACCTTTTTTCGCACAAGTCTCATCGAAAATCCTTATGCAAACTAAAGAGAGAAAAATGGATAAGCTTTTGTTTTCTCTTCTCTCAGTCGTTTCACTCACGCTTCTCCTCTTTTCACACGGCAGTGAGGCACGCCAGCGAGAGCTGCCGTTGTTGAACGCATGCCATTTCAGCTTAATCAACAGCCTTCGCCCCGCTCAGGCTACCAAGTTCGAAGCCGGGCAGATGGAAGTATGGGACCACACGAGCCCCGAGCTCCAGTGCGCCGGTGTGACCTTTGCTCGCATCACCCTTCAACCCAATTCCATTTTCTTGCCCGCTTTCTTTAGCCCACCTGCCCTCGCTTACGTTGTCCAAGGTACTTCCTCTAGTATAATTGATTATTTCGGTGTTAGAAATGAATATCACTTTTGGTTTTCGAAATTATAAAACTTATGGTGACTATTGTTTTTCTTATATTTTCAAATTTTAATCTTGTTACGTTAATTTTGTAGATGTTATTCCGTCATATACTAAGTATTTTTTCCCTTAAAAAAATAAAGAAATATAACCTTTCAATAGAAAACTTAAATATATTGTTTTCTTTTATTTTGATTGTTTGTAGGAGAAGGAGTGATGGGAACAATTGCTCCTGGTTGTCCTGAGACTTATCAAGAAGTTGGAGGAGGAAGAGGAGAGCAGCGTGGAGGTTTTGAGGACATGCACCAGAAGTTGGAGAATTTCCGGCAAGGAGATGTGTTTGCTTCACTTGCCGGAGTTTCACAGTGGTGGTACAACCGTGGCAATTCTGATGTCGTCATCGTGATGGTTCTTGATGTCACCAACAGAGAAAACCAGCTTGATCAAAACCCTAGGGTAATTATCAAATTCAAGAAAGTCCAAATGTATATTGCATATTTGCATGCAATCGATATGTTTACTACAATAATAATACATTTATACAATTTATTTGTGAACCATTCATATGTAGATGTTTCAAATAGCCGGCAGCAGGACGCAAGAAGAACAACAACCATTAACTTGGCCATCAGGCAAAAACGCTTTCAGTGGTTTCGACCCAAACATAATCGCGGAAGCATTCAAAATCGACATCGAGACAGCTAAGCAACTGCAGAACCAGAACGACAACAGAGGAAACATAGTCCGAGCAAACGGTCCCCTCCATTTTGCGATCCCCTCGCCACGGCAATGGCAGCAGGATGGCACTGTTAATGGCATCGAAGAGACGTATTGCTCGGCGAGGCTTCACGAGAATATTGACGATCCAGAACGTAGCGACTTCTTTAGCACACGAGCCGGAAGAATCAGCACTCTTAACAGCTTCAATCTCCCCGTTCTACGTCTAGTCAGACTTAACGCTGTTAGAGGCGTACTCTATAGCGTAAGTGTGACACTCATTTTACTTTGTTTAACATCTTGTTAAATCATAATTTTGTGCTATATGTAATGTTTATTGTTGAGTTAGGGAGGGATGGTGTTGCCGCAATGGACAGCAACCGCGCACACGCTGTTATACTCGACTGGCGGTCAGGCGAGGATACAAGTGGTGGACGACAACGGCATGTCCGTGTTCGATGAACAAGTGGGACAAGGTCAGCTCCTATTGGTTCCTCAGGGATTTGCTGTTGTGAAAATCGCGGGTGAAACGGGTTTTGAGTGGATATCGTTCAAGACAAACGACAACTCTTACATTAACTCAATCAGTGGCGAGACATCCTTCTTGAGAGCGGTTCCCTTGGATGTGATCAAAGCGTCCTATGGAGTTACCGAGGAAGAAGCAAAGAGGATCAAGTTCAGTCAGCAAGAGACTATGTTGGCTATGTCACTAAGCTCCTCTTCTTAAGCATTCGCTTTCGCCTTTGCCTTTAACCATGTTTTCAGATTTTCCAGTTTTAGTGAAATAAATAAGGATGTGAGTGTGACTAGTACAAAAGCTTCAATCATAACAAAAGTTTTAAGTTCATTTCTACCAAGTGTTGCGAGTAAACGGAGAACTCCAAGACAACGTTATACAGTAACATAAAACGTAATAAGGATTTCTTCAGGTTACATAGCGAAAGGGAAAGAAAGAAACTGAACTTTTGTTGTTCTCAGACGAAATCTCTCATTGGATCCTCGTGGTGAACTCTCTTCATTCTGTAAGCTTCCATTTCTTCCGGAGTCACCTGCAAATGAAATGTGAGATTTTGATTAATCTCCGTTAAATCAAGACTATAATTCGATGCGTATAAAAGAAAGGCTAACGATCATTACATCATTGGTGTATTTGACATTGTATTTACGTTTCCTCTCATCTTTTTCTTCCTTCTTACGCTCATCCTCCTGCGCACCAAAAAGAATACACGCACGTTCGTCAGATAAATCTGCAAAGGCATGGAAACGTCTTGACAGAAGTAAACTAACTAACCTTTTTAAGAGCATTAGCAAGTGCCTCCTCGTTCAGTTCCAGATCTTCAGGAACATCGGTTCCCCATGAGGCCATTCTCTTCTCTTCAACTTGCTTTGGGCTCTCTGTTCACAAAAAAAAAAACAGCCATTGTTTCGTTACCACATGCGTAAGAACATCAGCATAGGACATATGCAGAAATGGGTGTCATCAGCCATTCGACAGGAGTAATTTAATCAACGTAATAACAAGAGTCAACATCTGCACAAACCTTCAGTGGCTTCTTTGCGAGCGATATTCGCCTTCATCAGATCAAGGGCAGCCTCTGCAGCTTCTATTCCAGCAGAACCTGTGCAGTAACTGTTGCGAATGGTCTGCTGGCAACATTTATATCCCCATTGGTGGTCCTTCCACCATGAACCCCATACACTAGTATGATTGTTCACGTGGACATCTTCTTCGTATTTGCTCTTTGGCAAGATCACCTCCTGCACATGGCAAACATGGATTAAGATCGACATAGAATCAAACGAAAAGCAGAAAACTCAACAATTATTGTATTGACTCGAGAAAGAAACTATCAGAAAGTAATACCTGTCCCTTTATAATCCTCCCAGCACGGTCATACTCGACTTGTCTTTCACTTTGCCCAAGCAAAAGCTCCATTGGAATCTCATCTTCTGTAGCTGCATTCCCATACTTCTCCATGATCGTGTCCTTTGTATGAGATTTCAGTTTGTCCTTTGCAACCTTGAAGTTCTTATAGAGCAACTCAGCCTGGGATGGAGCTGCTTGCATATGCATGTCCTGTCCCTTGTCAAATGCTTCCCATGAGTGGATGTTCAACTGTTTGAACTCTAGAGCTTGGCCACTGTTTCTATATTGATTATCTCCCTGGATAGATGATAAGCAAACAGAGGTTAGTATGTATATATATTATCAAAATATAAGATACAACTAAATTGATAATGATGAATCACAACTAACCAAATAAAATTTATCATTGGGATCTGCATCTGGAAGCGGGTCTTCACGCATGGATCGAGTTTTGGGGTCATAATGAGCTGAGTTGACATCAAGGTTCAAGAGGTATTTTGCTGTATCTTCCCTAATTCGCAGATTCCTGAAATCAAGAAAACGTTACTCCATTAGTGCATCATATGAAAGCATCAAACCAATTAAACAAGCGTGTTACGAGAGATGATACATTGTAGTTGCAGAAACAAAGGACTTAGACCATACCTAACAGTTCCTGTGCTACCACCACCAGTTGTTCGAACACGCTTTTCAACCTTTGCAAAGTCCATCTGCCTGCTCTCATCAACCTTGGCTTCATCGACCCTTAAGTCGTCATCTTCTTCGTCCCCATCACTGGTTGCATCAGCACCTTCTTGGTTATTGTTCTTCTCCTCTAGTTTCTTAATCTGCTGCTCCTTTAAGAACTTCTTTCGTGCATCCTCTTTTGCTTCATAAAGCTCTATCACACGGTGGTAGGTTGAAGGATCATAACCATTCCATCGGTCCCTCTTGCCATCATAGTCGAGTTCGAAACTCTCGATTTTCTCATCAGGCGCAATGTTCATGTTTGTGTATTTCGCTCCAACCTTACGAGGTCTATCCATGCATGCTTTTGCAGCATGCGTCATTGCACCACAGCTTCAAAAATAAGAGGGGCCAAGTAAGACAATGGAACAAATTACAAAACGAAGCGTATTTTTCATTTATCAATATAGCCAAGATTTCAAAATCAGAGAAATCACATGTTCAGCTAAGGAGTAAACATTCAATGGATTGAACAATAAAACTAAAAACTGACGTCAAAGAAACAGAAGGGGAAAAAGGGGAAGTTACATACTTCTGACATGATCCCTTTCTGAATTTTTCGGCTTGAAAGGTCTTAGCACCTCTGTCATACCATGACTTGGTGTAATTGGGATCACTCTTCCATTTCCTTTGATGCTTCAAACTCTGTCAAAACAAACCAATGAAACCAGAGTAGTCAGTGTGGATGTTCAAAGCAAAGACAATGCAAATATGCAAGTAAACCACAGAATGATTCAGCTTACCGGTTTTTCAGAGTTGAGATACCATGGAGCAGAGGACATATACTGCGGTATGTGAGGATTGATTTCCTTTCCATCTTCATCAACCTCAGCTGGTGCAAGTCCGGCTTTACGAGCCTCCTCTAACTCGATCTGCTTCCTGTGGTCTTCCCTAGACTTAAAAGCAACTGCAAAATCCCCCACGAACATGTCAGAAAACATTCAAAATTTCACAGAAATTAGCCTAAATCAAAAACAGCAGAGCTATAAGAAACACTAAATCAGATAACGTATCGACTTTATCTTACGAAAACTCTAAGAAACGCAATCGAAGATAAACAGTACGTAGTGATTTTAACAAGTCCAATTATCTTCTAACAATTCTCAATTGGCTAAATTCAATTCCTCCACATTCCACAACCAAGAGAAAAGTAAGTAGCGAGGAAAAACGAGGACATGGCAAACAAAAGCACCAAATTAAATAAAAGAACAGCCTCCAAAATCAGAGTATTTTAAGCATCACAAAATGGATCTAACAAAAACAAATACCGATACGAAATCAACAAAGCAGCAAAACCCCTAATTTCCAGATTACGGAATACGAAAGTAGATAATCAGAACCGAGATTCATGACCACCTAAGGAAAATTAACAACGAATTCGAGGACCCAGCTTCAAGTAGATCTACCGGAACCGTAGAAGAAAGAACTGAATGAAATCGGTACCTGAAGCCGTCGCCATGGCTAAGGAATTGTAAAGGTTCGACTCCTCTCAGGCAACAAGAGAACGTAAAAAAAAACGACGAAAGAAAATTGATAAGGAAAATCTCGAAGAGTAGAGAAATCAGGAAGAGCCCTTTATTGTTACTTTGGGCCTTAAAATAAAGGCGGTGTACCATCAGACGGTACCGTATTATGAATTTGCTTACATTTTATTTTACGACACTTTGGTCCGGATTTTAAAGATAAATCAATTAATTAAAATAAGGTTCCGGTCTTGTAAAGCTTCCGAAGTCAGCAACGATCGTCAAAGCTTCACACACGTCTTTCTCCGAAACTCGTCTGAGGTCCACAGATTCTCTCCGAAAACTCGATGTCGTTCGAGGAGGAAGAAGAGGAAGAGACATTCGAGCACACACTTCTCGTGGTGCGTGAGGTCAACGTCTACAAGATCCCGCCGCGAACCACATCCGGGGGATACAAGTGCGGTGAATGGCTTCAGTCCGATAAGATCTGGTCTGGGCGACTCCGCGTTGTATCCTGCAAGGATCGATGCGAGATCCGGCTCGAGGATTCGAACTCCGGCGATCTGTTTGCAGCTTGTTTCGTGGATCCCGGCCGGAGAGAGAACTCCGTCGAGCCGTCTCTCGATTCGTCTAGGTACTTCGTTCTGAGGATCGACGACGGGCGTGGGAAGTATGCGTTTATCGGGCTAGGATTCGCTGAGAGGATAAGTTCATCTTATACACTACAATGAGTTACCACAATGTGGAGTCACAGAGGTACATTTCGGACTCCTTACCTCTTCCGGTTCCCAAATTAGGTCCATTTGATGTTCCTCCCTTGGATTGAGACCGTTTCACTCATGTTTGTCCTCATAGTCATGTGAGAACCTATTAATCCATGTTTGGTAAGTATGGGTCCATCTAGTTCATCTTATACACTACAAGTGAGTTTCCACAATGTGGAGGCACAGAGGTACATTTCGGACTCCTTACCTCTTCCGGTTCCCAAATTTGGTCCATTTGATGTTCCTCCCTTGGATTGAGACCGTTTCACTCATGTTTGTCCTCATAGTCATGTGTAGAAGCTATTAATCCATGTTTGGTAAGTATGGGTCCATCTAGTTCATCTTATACACTACAAGTGAGTTTCCACAATGTGGAGTCACAGAGGTACATTTCGGACTCCTTACCTCTTCCGGTTCCCAAATTTGGTCCATTTGATGTTCCTCCCTTGGATTGAGACCGTTTCACTCATGTTTGTCCTCATAGTATTGTCCTCATAGTCATGTGTAGAAGCTATTAATCCATGTTTTGGTAAGTATGGGTCCATCTAGTTCATCTTATACACTACAAGTGAGTTTCCACAATGTGGAGGCACAGAGGTACATTTCGGACTCCTTACCTCTTCCGGTTCCCAAATTTGGTCCATTTGATGTTCCTCCCTTGGATTGAGACCGTTTCACTCATGTTTGTCCTCATAGTCATGTGTAGAACCTATTAATCCATGTTTGGTAAGTATGGGTCCATCTAGTTCATCTTATACACTACAAGTGAGTTTCCACAATGTGGAGCACAGAGGTACATTTCGGACTCCTTACCTCTTCCGGTTCCCAAATTTGGTCCATTTGATGTTCCTCCCTTGGATTGAGACCGTTTCACTCATGTTTGTCCTCATAGTCATGTGTAGAACCTATTAATCCATGTTTGGGTAAGTATGGGTCCATCTAGTTCATCTTATACACTACAAGTGAGTTTCCACAATGTGGAGTCACAGAGGTACATTTCGGACTCCTTACCTCTTCCGGTTCCCAAATTAGGTCCATTTGATGTTCCTCCCTTGGATTGAGACCGTTTCACTCATGTTTGTCCTCATAGTCATGTGAGAACCTATTAATCCATGTTTGGTAAGTATGGGTCCATCTAGTTCATCTTATACACTACAAGTGAGTTTCCACAATGTGGAGTCACAGAGGTACATTTCGGACTCCTTACCTCTTCCGGTTCCCAAATTAGGTCCATTTGATGTTCCTCCCTTGGATTGAGACCGTTTCACTCATGTTTGTCCTCATAGTCATGTGTAGAACCTATTAATCCATGTTTGGGTAAGTATGGGTCCATCTAGTTCATCTTATACACTACAAGTGAGTTTCCACAATGTGGAGCACAGAGGTACATTTCGGACTCCTTACCTCTTCCGGTTCCCAAATTGGTCCATTTGATGTTCCTCCCTTGGATTGAGACCGTTTCACTCATGTTTGTCCTCATAGTCATGTGTAGAACCTATTAATCCATGTTTGGTAAGTATGGGTCCATCTAGTTCATCTTATACACTACAAGTGAGTTTCCACAATGTGGAGGCACAGAGGTACATTTCGGACTCCTTACCTCTTCCGGTTCCCAAATTTGGTCCATTTGATGTTCCTCCCTTGGATTGAGACCGTTTCACTCATGTTTGTCCTCATAGTCATGTGGAGAACCTATAATCCATGTTTGGGTAAGTATGGGTCCATATAGAAAATGTTTAAAACTACAAAAAAATCCGAACGTCTGTTTTGAACACATGTTTTTGCATATTGCATTATTGTACTTTCCTATCAATCTTATCTAAAATTTGTCACTATCAAAATACTTTTAAAATCATATATATGAAAAGGGGCAACTCTCTTCATATTTTGGACATGTGGACACACTAGGAATTGACATGTGTCATGATTTTTCATATTTTTTTCAATTAACAATTTTTCATTTTCTTTTCTTTTCAATTAACAACTTTTCATTTTCCTTTCAATTAATAATTTTAAATATTTTAATTTATTGTAATAAAACCACTATCTTACTTTAAAACTATGATTCTTCAGCTTTCATTTTGAATCACTATTAAAAATCTAAATTCTCCTAATATACGGAAAAACGGATCCAACAAAGAACAATGACGGGAAACATAGTCCATTTCATATATCAGTAAGTAAACAAAGAATTTGATGGCATAAAGACATGTGCTATAATGCAAAAATAGATATTTGAAAGCACTTGCTAATTATACAAGTTGGAATTAAAATGTCCGTGTTATTTGGGTAATATTTTATAATATTAAACACAAATTATAATTGTTTTCCAATATTTTTTAAAAGTTATAACAAGAAATTTTTTATTATATATTTTGAGAAGATATAAATATTTATCTGATGTTTATTGATGAGACCTTATATTAAAATAAAATAAATTACTCTTTGACTTGACTCTCAAAAAAACAAAACTTTCAATTCTTTTTCAATTTCCATGAAGGATCTAACATCAAATCAAATGAAGATCCTTTTGAAGACAGAGAAATCCTCATTTGTTTTACCCTCTCAGAACAGTCGACCTAGCAGCGAAAAATCCCATCTTTTTCTAAAACCCTATTCCACCATCTCCATTGATAGATGTGAAGCTGTTCTTCCTCCTCAAAAGTGAATCTACAAAAGCAAAGATCTGGTTCTAGGTATTGTAGAGAAATTGTGTCCTGAGACCAACAATTTCGTTTTACCGTTGGGAGGAAATAACCATTACACTTGAAGATGTCATGGTGCTTTTAGGCAGAGCCATCCCTGAGATATGAGTGGCCGCAAGCTAGGAAAAGAAAAATATTGTTTAGTTTATTAAGAAAAAATGTTTGATAATAAAAAATTTGAGGAAAATTAAAGTTGATAGTACTATGCAACCACTAAACTACGAGTCAATTTTAGGAAAAATTGGTCGAATAATTGGATATAAAAAGAAGGGCCGCACGCACGTGCTTGTTTCCAAAGCCGGCTCTGCTTTTAGGTTTTTCTGTTTGGGGTTTAGGGTTTAAAGTTTTGTGCATAACTAGTACAATAACACAAACTTTATTATTTTGCATTAAGTTTAGGATGAAACTTAAATCAATAATTAATAGTTTCTTGAAGAAACCAAATGATAAAAGTATTATTAGTTTGAAGAAACCAATCTGAGAGTCTATCATAATAAATGGGGATAGCTTAAAAGCATCAAGGCCTATAAGCTCAGTTGGTTAGATTTGCTTGCTAATAACGCGAATGTCACAGTTTCGATCCCTGTATAGGATATTTTTTCTATTTTGGGGTCTTTTTATTTTTGTCTTTGGTTTTTAGAATTCTATGGCATATGTTTTGCAATGTTATTTGAATGTGCTCTAGTAAATAAATTGTAGTTATGTCACATCAAACTTTTATGAATTGCATGTACAACATGTTAATGAAAACTGTATTTCCTGTGAATGTGTATTTATAATATTTGAAAAAACTATTAAATGTTACCAACAAGAACTTTTCATTTGTACGTTTTTTTCCCCGTTTAATGTTACTTGAAAGATCTACTACAAATGAAATTCTAATGATAAAAATTCTAATGCAGAAATTAAATGAAAGGAGTTTATATCAATAAATTTCCATATGATATACTTTGGAGAGAAAAACTTGAACAAAAGCAAAATTAAAAGCAAAACTTAAGAGTTAAAGATCATTAGTGGAGCACATAGTTTAATCGGAATCTTCATCTTCTTCTTCAACTTGGAGCGACTTGAAAAGCAACGATGGAACCACAGAATTCGCTACCAAAATACATGGAGATCATTGCTCCACTGCCATAAACAAAAATAACCATTTTAATGTTTCCATATTACTAATAAATCTCCATAAACTTAGAGTTTTCTTTCTTAAGCTAAAAAAAAAATGGAATAATTTGGAGAGTAGAGAGACTACCTTACGATGAGGAAGGTATCGGTATCACCAGATTCGGAAGGAGGCACCACACTAGCTTTTAGTTTTAACCTAAGCCCAATTTTGGGATAAGTTCTGATTTGCCATTGATGTTGTCTTAAGCTTAAAGGAGATGACGATAAGAACCAAAACACTTGTTTTCTTCTCAGACTCTCTTTTTGCTTCGTTTGTCGATTCAAGACGACAGGTGATGGCTGATGATCACGAGCGCACCACATTTTCTGTTGCTGGATTCACACTTCCTTCAATTTTGACAAACCAAAGTTCTCGTTGAGTTATCTATGTTTCATGTCCAAATATGGTGAAGATATATTCTTTGGCCAATCCTGTCTAGCCACGTCACCATGTGAAGGATTATTTTTGTTGCGCTAAGATAAGGTTTTCCCGGAATATTCTCATCTTCTTATTTTTGTGGCTTATGACAAGAAGCATAGATATATTCATGCATGATAGTTGGTCGTACTTTGACAATTTTAAGATTTTATCTAACATTCCATAGCTCAATTGGTTACCTCCAGAATTCATACCAAAACCAAATGATACAATCGCTAAAAGTTGCGTTGCTTATTCGTGAGTGCAAAAATCTGAATGTTACGATAAATCTGAATGGCAATATGAAATTATTATATATGTACAAACATGGCTAAGAAGCAAAGTAATGACAATTCGAATAGAAACATTGTACTTCTCTTTACGGTTTCGTGTACAACAAGTCAAATGGAAATTTGCTGAACTGTAGTTATCAACTTGATTTGGATCTTCTCCATGATCAACACAATCTCACAGGGATGCAAGAAGAATATACAAATATCACAACTTAAGTGATTTCTTAGTCGATTCGAGGTACCTGTCCTTGGCTCCCAAACACCCTCTTGCGATTTCGAACAGTCTCAAGCAAAGTTGTGAGACTTTCTCATTCATCTGCACATCATCAAAAACATCAAACATGTCACCAACCCAGTTATTACTGTATATAATAATTTTGAATTTTCAGGAATGACTATAAACAGTACATTTAGTGCTGATGATACGCAATTGCAAGCTTCAAGCGCCATGTTCCCACGAGCAATCTGCAATCATATAAAACCTCAAGAATTAGCAAGAGAACAGAACAATATATATTGTAATTCGTTTTCTTAAACTTTACCTGTGAAGATTCTTGCTCTATAGAGTCTACAAGTTCACCTAGAACTAGCTGAGTGCAAGAAACAAGCTCGTTCTTGTAAGATGGATCGCCAAAGAACAGCAAATCATTTCCAATTATCTGCAGAAAAAAAGATTAAGAAAACCGAAAATGTTGTTTAACATAAGTTTCACACACCGAGTTTCGGCAATGCAACAAATCTTTACATGTAATAAGATGATGAGAGCTTTTGAAAGGCACAGTAATACCTCAGGATTCGCAGAACGGTAAGGCAGATTATCCTGAAAAAGTGTGGACGACAGTGTAATTATAGCGCAGAATATCTTCACCTTCAGTCTCGGCATTGCCCTATAAGGGACGGTAAAGCGTAATTGCCCTATAAGGGACGGTATAGCTTATGTTTTTCAATATTTCATATCCAATATGTGTCTCTAAAGTTAACTATAGTCCTTCTGATAAGCATACCATGAACTAGAGCTGTAGGACTTTGAACTCTCAAAGTTGTTTAAGGATCGGACAACACAGATGTTACTCTGTTTTGTCTCACGCTCTGTTTTGTGTTTAAACTCTCGATGCTTTTACTCAATAGAGAATCACGAAAACCACATGACTTTTATTAAGTGTGTAAAGAGTATTTATAAGTTTACATGACACACTTGGACTAAGGGACATGTCTCTAGAAGACAACCCTTTGTGGAGACACATACAAACATTGTAACTGTTTTTCAGTTATTGATTTCATTCGCATCTCTACAAGTGATGCAAATATAATTTACATAAACAAGGTACTAAACTATGTAATATACGACTCTAACTTAACTATGAAGACTTGATCACTTCCAACAAGAGCAAGTAGCATAAAAGATGCTCTTGAGCATGTGGCTTTCCTTGTGTTATGGCTCAGCTACTTTGTGTTTCCATCATGCTATTATCATATCCCTAGAACCATTATACCAATCGCTGTTCACCTCTCAAGAGGTACTAGGTTAGCTCTTGCCCCTGCTGTTCTTGCTCACTTGTATGAAGACCTCTCTCTCTTGAAAAACCACATTAGAGATTTCAAGGAAGCAAGGACAACCGACACAATCGACCTGAGCTCATTGTTTAATTAGCTGGTCCAAGTTTGGACATGGGAGAGATTCAAGGAACTACAGCCAAAGCCTAAGCGTTTGGTAAAGGGTGAGCCAAGAATGGCTCGTTGGGATGACCTGAAACAGAGCAAATGAATGAATTAACTGATGAAACGGGAAGCAAAGCAGGGAAGCGTATGGTTCTGAGTCCTAAAGATGAAACCAACTCTTCGGATCCTCGTGTAGGTTATGATGGAGCAATTGGCATTGTTGTGTCACCACCAGAGACAAGGAAATCCCGTGATAATGAGCTTGATGTATATGGAAACAATGCAGAGAAAATGACTTTGATCGATGATGGCAGTAAGGAGGCAGAGTGTTGTCTCCATGAAGATGTTGCCATAGCTGAAGAAAAGGCGAGCTCAGATGAGAAAGAAGATGATGATGGCTTGATGGTCGAGAAAAGGCTTGCAGTAGATGAGCAAGCATCAAAGGAAGACAACAATGAATCTAGCCCTTGTCAAAACCTTGCTGTGGGAGATGGAACTCAGGGACAGAATT